AAGAATCATAAGTCTGGATTGGTGACCTCACGCTCGGGCCGCTCTATGACTAGGCGCTACAGTAGAAGAAAGAGACAGGGGAGGGTACGAAGACGTTCAGCAGCTCATAAAGGATCCAATCTAGCTCTCTAGTGGTGAAATTTGCCCTTCAATACAAATCGCGCTAGCACTAAAGCAGCCGCCTTGAAGACCTGCTCGCTTGTTCTCTCAGATTTGCATTGCGGATCCAGGACATTGGTTTACGGTAAGTGACTTCATTATGCCCGAACTATACTTTCTCCCTGACCAAAGAATTGACAATCTGGTTAGAGCTCGGATCACAAGTTTGCACAATTTCTGAAACACAGGGCAATCAATCACCTAACCGTGCCAGCTAAATTTGCAGATGGCCATGGCACAGGCCCAAGCGGTGAAGGAGGCAACAACTTCGGTGACTCAAGAACAGTCCCTTCAGCTCGTCCGCAACATTATCCGGATTTCTATCTTCAACATCTCGTAAGTTGAATCATCTCTCATTTCATTCTATTTGTTTACCATCTCCTCTCGTTGATCGGTCGCAGAATTCAACATGTGCTAGACGTTCCAGAGATTTTGATCGAAGTCTGATTACGATCAAGCTAACCAGTTTGATACTCTCTAGCAGTTACTGTCGGGGATTATTCAGCGAGAAGCACTTTGCGGAGAAGAATGTACCAGCACTTGGAATGACCATCAATGTGAGCATGTTGGCTACTTCCGTTTGCACGCTGGTTCGTTCCGGCTGCTAAGCAACTTGAATGTACTGACATGTATCCTTTCCTTTGACACAGAACCGATTGATACAAAAAGTCTGATTTTGATGTGCAGAAACTCATTCCAGTCGACGCGGAATCAAAACGGCTGATCGACTGGATGGAGAAAGGTAAGGTCTGCTTCATGCTAAATGGATTCAACAGTTGCGTCAGTTCGATCAGACCGTGTACAGCAACTGTGAAGCGCGCTACTATTGCTTCTGACGTCTTCCAGGCATACTGCCCCGCTCCTCATTGTGAACACATTTTGCAGGGGTGTACGATGCCTTGAAGAACAAGTACCTGAAAAGTCTGATATTTGCGATCTGTGACAGCGATTCGGCTACAGATATGCTCGAGTCTTACTCAAGTAAGCTTCATTCTCTGCAATTGTTGGCACACGTTAGCTGCAAGTGTGCCCTCTGGATTCCTGAAAGTCTTATCACCCTGCAACCGTATTCCTTGCATGACACATACATTGCATTTAGCAAACCACGCTATCTCTATCTGCTTTGGAAGAATGAGAAATATTTTCGACGCATCGGTTGCAGTGAGCTTCGAATATGGAGAGAATGGTGAAGTTGAGATGAAGCTGGGCGATGATCGCTCTGGGAAGATTTTCAACACGAGCGACAGTCAGGAGCACATGAAGTAAGGCAACTTGACAATGATCATTTTCTCGATTACTGAAGACTTTCCATCCCAGCACGATTGTTGTTTTAAAAGAAAATCAAGAGCGTCTTTTACTTTGAAGAAAGATCAGGAAGTTGTTTTTACGCACAACGGTAGAGAGTACTCCAGCAAAGGCCTCTTTGTTTTGCAGAGGTGGAGCTTGCCGACTTGTCAGGCAGTTGTGTTCGCTTATGCGGACGCTAGAAGCAGTTCCGGGTAAGTTCCCGTTCGGTTTCTTCATAAACTCCTGTTCCACTCCTTCGCGAACAGAATCAGTTGTCTGCTGCACAAGGTTTCTGTCACGAAGCTTGACCCTAAGTATGACTGGCACATCCAATTCTGACCGAGATTTATCGCTGTTTTCTCACCTGATCCTGGATCCTGCATGACTACACTGACACCTCAACGCCAATTGTATGCAGAGAACCGTACTCTCATCATGAAGCTTTACTATTACGACGACGTCACGGTATGCAACTTCACTTCCAAACTCTGTCTACACTTTGTTGTATACAAATCAATTTTTCACAAGAAACTTCAATGGATTCAACTATGATCACACTGTTAAGGAAGAAACATTGAATGAGAACCTGTTTCCTGGAAGAATAAGCAAAAACTGTTTTCTGACTTCTGCAGCCAGAGGACTACGAGCCACCCTACTTCCGTGCTGCGAGCAGCGGAGACAAGCTTTCGTTCGCCAAAATGCCACTGAACATCAAGTGAGCAAAAGGACAGAGAGGTTTCAACTTTCATTCGCACGAAATTTTTGCTCGCACATCCAAAACAGCTGGAAAGGTTAAGAAAGCGTATATCAGCCTGATGCTTGAAGTTCCATAAGCTTCCGCATCTTGCTGACAATTGAAAGCTAGCACGGAGCGTGAAGAGCTCACAAACTCAACTTGTATGACTCGGCATGCAGGGTGGGGGCACTCGGCAGCCGACATCATAAGATTGCGCTCAAGATCAAGAGCCTGTTGGATCCGGACTGCCCTGAGCAGAATAACGGTGCCGCTTCTGAAAGTATGGGCGAGATTCAGGGCGAAGAAGAGGAATCGGACGACGAGAACTTTGCGGAGGAACTCGAAGACGATTACCGGATGGGAGCAGAATCGATCGCTGAACATGTCGTCACGGCTAAGGAGGCGAGCAACAATCCCTTTCCTTTGCGGAAACACAATCCAGCTGCCTTTTATCTACTACTCAGGCGCAGAGATTCAGTCTGTGCCGTTTGCCTTTCTGGTAGGCACTTAAAAATAACAACCGACCGATCTTGTATGTCGATATCCGCAGGTCAAGAAAATGGACGACGATGGGGCTCAAACTGACATGAAGCGACAAGCAGGTAGGTCACCGATTCCGGTCGGTACTGCAATCCACATTGTATGACTACAAACCTCAGATAAACCACATGAAAACAATTGAATCTAGATTGACTACACAAGAGTCCTGCTCGCCACGTTAGTGTGATCCTTCGCCGATTGTTATGCTATCATACCTGCAGGCCACTCGTCGATCGGGGAAGAAGCTGACAACCTGCAGCTTAAAACGGAGGCTTCGGATAGCCTCAAGACGTGGATCAAGAACCGAAGGACGTCGACCTTCGACTTCAACGAAGTGCTTTGCGAGTTTCCGGAGCTTTCTGCCTCCATATTGGAAGGTGAGAGACTACTACGCTTTGAAAACTGTCAGTCTCCTTGGGAAGAACATCTTCAACGCACCGTCCACCTTTTAGCTCTCGTAGGTAATCCAGGCTAACAAGTGACTCCTTATGCTGTTTTTAGATGTCCTGAAAGGTTTGGAGTCCGACGGCAGTATTCGATGCGTGGAGCAAGACAGATTTGAAATCTGTGGAAAGGTGAGACCTTCCGACTGCAAGTTTGCCTGCAAATTTAGGGTCCACCGCAATCTGCTGCCTCCAGCTCGCGTTAATACCTCACTCCTTTCTTTGTTGCATAAGACATGGAGTGAATTGAAAAACACCTGCTCTCTGCTGAAAGCATCTGGTTACTAAAACTGCTAGCCAACTCACGACTATTTCTCCACTCTGATAGGAGCCAGTTGCAGAGAAAAAAGGTCCATTGGAGAAGGGCGAATGCTCCGCTGAAGAGTCCATGTATACGAAGGTAAGGAAGACAAGTCTGGCAACGATATTCGATCCGTACTGTTCGCGCAATACAATCCTCCTTCAAAAAGAATCACTCTATGACCTTGAAGACGGGGGTGAACGACGTGAACTTCTCGTACGCCTCGTTGACAGATCTTTGTTTTACCTGGCCAAAGTGTCCAAGCATCAGGCGCCCTCAGATGCAAGCGAATCTCAAGACTTCCCCAATGTTCTGCTCCCTTGATGCAGGCTCTATACCACGCTCTGCCAATGCAATACGTCACCATTGCAAAGCTGCACAACAAGCTGGGCAAAGATGTCACACAGGCGAAAACCAAGACACTTGTAGAGCGCATGGCCGCAGAAGGCTACATCGAGGAGACTCCAACCAACAGGCGCATGGGTGAGGATTGAGCTGGCTCTAGATATCTCTACCTTACGCATTTACAGTCTTTTGTGTCAAACTCTTCAAAAGTACTCAATGTTGTGTTGATTTTCGACTTCATGTACGATCAACTGTTCGGCGCTAACATGCACAACGTCCTCTCTGTCCAGGACGACGAGTTCTGCGGAAAGAAATCGACAAGACGAAGCTGCAGAAGGTCAGCTTCCTTCCTGATGGGCAGCTTTTGATGTCTCGTGGCTGTTCAGGTTCTTCGACTGAAAATTGCAATTACTTTGTCGCATCCGCTTTCGTTGCTGTTTGGTGACATATAAGAGATCTCGTTCCTTGCAGGCTTTTACAGCCTTGACCGTGGGTCAACCCGACAGCTTACCGAACGAAGAGAAGCAGGATGCGAGTAAGCTTACCGCTCTTGTGATGCATGTGCAGATATGAAACTGAAACAATGCGTTAAACCTGCATATTAAAGCTATCTTTTCTTACACTGTCGATTGCCGCACACATCACGCCTGTATATCGTAGGCCAGGTAACACTTCCTTCAACGGGTTTTTGCAGTTTTGAATGTCAAAGCTGCGGAACCCAACCCCTCCACTGTCGGAGGTCTCCGTTCACTTGGCTCTGAAGCAACAAGGCAACAGGCCGCTGCTCCCGACCTGAGTATCCAGACAGACGGACAACCACTCAAGAAGGTGAGTACAAGGCGTGTTTCAAACTTTTCAAAAGCATCGTACATTGGGGACTTTACTGACAAAGACTTCGAAGACTATGTGACTATGCACAGGCAACCTTATGACCAGAGTGCTTTCCGCTTCCTTGAGGGTCCAAACAGTGCCTGACAACTATTTGGCGTTTCTGCTCCGCAGACCGAGAGCGGCAAGCCCGACAAATCCGAACGGCCTCCTCCTGTTCCCTCTCGTCCTGCTGCAAGCACTTCCAAGCCAAGGACAAAGGCCAAAAGGCCCCCAACCGAGTTCGTGTTCATGGACAGCCAGGAGCCTGCGAATGAGATCCTCCGGAAAGCAAGCGTCGTGAGTTTACTCTTATACTTCGCTGTTTCGATCATTCTCCAAGTCGCAGTCTCCCCGCAACCCCATGCTGCTTGAGGTTGCTCTTAATGCCGTTCCAATATCTCTACATGCACCTCTTCAGCAGCAGAATCTTCAAATGGGTTTCTCTGATCCAGCCAAGCTCCTGCCCAACGCAGGTAGCTGATCCCATCTACCAGTCCACGAAGAGGTTCCGCTCAGAACCGTAGCTGAGGCGGGCCAGCACGTTGGACGTTAGATTCGGATTGCATTTGATAGGGATATCGCAACCAAAGCAAGCAATTGCCAGTTCCAAAGCATCAAACTTTTTCAACATATTTTCAAGGCGTATACCTTGGTGGTGAGTCCATCATGAAGATGAAAAGCTGCATCAAGAGAATTGCTTCATAAGACAGATCTGGCATTTTAAGATCGATCTGTCACGGCTCTCAAGCAATGCATCTTGCCAGTTTCTGTGTGAATAAGCTGCGTGAATGAAAGGTCCTTCTTGAGATGTTACGCGTATGTCTACAGCCACTAACAAGAATCTCCTCAATCTCCGATTCATGCTGCCTATGCTTTAGTAGTGGCGCTCTTGATCCGTCTTTTGGTGGATATCAACAGCATTCTGCTGCGAAGATAGAACAACATATATCCCTGAATCCTAGTTGGATCAGCAACATATTTCAAAATCGTGTGGATCAGGCAACTGATAGCCAGCCAGCATGTGTGAGACTCTCCTAGGATTTTTACTTACTTGCATGATTACTATTACACCTGCATGTCGATATATAAGTGTGTACTTCCAGGTCGCCAGTCGTCCGCATTAGCTGCATATTCGACATTCAGAACAATTGCGATCTGTGATTCAAGGCGGCGGCGCCGCTGCTTAATTGACCTCAGCATGATGAAGGCATGCACTGATGTGTACTGCACTGACAATCCCTCGAAGAATTTATGCTATAAGGGCCCATGGGGCCTGCCCACCTTGTCAGGTGTGCCAGTGCGCATAACCTTGAGCTGAAATTCGGCGTGTTCAAATGATACTATGCATGCCGTCGGGCCAGCTTTACTTCATTTGAGTATTGCAAAGGATGCAAAATAATGCAAAGATTCGCGGGCCAGTCGATGATGTCGCAGTACACATTACCGACAGGCTACGTTAGAGCAAAGGTAAATCGATACTAAGCTGTGCTGATTAGTACAATAAGTAGCATTCATATACATAAGCTAGCCGATTGTGGTGGCTATCAGCCATGAGTTCCGTGCTCGCCAGAGAGAGAGGTGAGAAACGAAATGGACGTTCTGATCTGGCCATGACCAGTCTGTCCAATCAAAGCTGCTTGCTCACGAACTTGAACACAGCCACAGACTGCTGTAACAGGTATGTACAGTAACTTCCGATTCTGCCCAACTCGAAAGACCCAGGCAGGACACGTTATCAACACAACGTCAGGTTTTCTCCAGCAATTGTTCAAGATACGTGTTTAAGACGTATCGGGACGTTTGCTGGACCTCTAATGTAGACTCCTTGTGATTGGAGTCATAACGGCCTCTATGTAGCTTATAACGATAACTTACCCCAGAGACCACGTAGTACTCATCTTCGACGGTCAATGTTTCCCCGCAATGCACATTCTGCAGCACAGAAGAGGCACAGAGTTGAGTCAATTCAGACGCACTTACAAAAGCTTTCTATTCTAAGGGGCATTTATATCCAGCTCGAGGGGGATCCCTCTAGCAGAGAAGGAAACCAGGCCGCCGGTGAATGGTGAGGTAAGCTTGGAGTGAGGTTGGCGGAAAACATGATGTCAGACAATCCAACACAGCGGGTACTAATAAGTTCGCTCTACAATCAGATGAATTGCAAGGAAGCGCAAGATACCCCAACAACCAGAAAAATCTTTTCCACAAACACTCTTCTCAAGCAGGATGAGCAACACAGAGTTCGACGCGAATGGGCTGCCACCAAACCGGTGTGCAAATCAAAGGCGGCCAATTTGCAAGGACCAGGACGCCAACTCTAAGTTAGCTTCGACTTGAGACTTGAATCACCTCAGGAAGCGAGCTTGCACAACCTGTTGACAACACCTAACTAGCAACACCAACCAGCCTCATGATCAAGAAAGGCGTCTGGAGGTAAACTAGGTCGGTCATAGCAGAGAAGGAAGCTCACCACTGGCATTCGATGTACACCAAGCTTTCTGGGGGGTGGTGTGACAACCATGACGTTGTAGGGAATGTCCCTTTGCTCCCGGTGCTTTCGGGGAAGCTTGCTGCAGGTGATGGGCCTTGCTTTTACCTGGCCATGATGAAGCAGACACCAAACATCAGCTGCAGAATGCTGGAATGGGATAGAAACAAGTTTCGAAGTGTGCTCCTGCCAGTGTCAAAGTCTCAGTTTTTCAGCTATTCGATGCAGCAGTTCGGCCTTCAGCGGCTTTCTTTGGAAACAGGCACCCTCATTCCTTGAGGCTGGACTATCAGCGCAACCAGCGAACCCTTAAGGCTGAGAACTGCAAAGAGCCTTCTGAAAGAAACCATTAGCGACCAGCTATAAATGACAGCATTGCGACTACCCGTATGCTTTCGCCCACCCTGATCGAGAAGAGCAAATCTCAAAGTGAATGGCAAATAGCAACTTGAGTACAGCGCCTCGAAGGCTGCCACTTTTCTATGGCAGTTCCTTTCAAAGGTTCATCTTTGCTCTGACAAATTGCAACTTATGCTTGAAGTGAGGCAAACTAGAATGCACCCTGGGCACTTTTGCATTGCTTTCGACATTCTTAATGTCAGAAAGATCGAAGTCCCGCCACTCTGGCCGGTTCTAAGTGAACACTAGATCTTTTGTCAACAGGCCCATACCTGGCAAGCAAACCCTGGAAAAGGAAGCTGCAGAGCAGTTGGACACAGCGTACTCCATCCTGGGACAAGTTGTGACCTGTGCCTGGTTGCGCCATGCGTTGTTAGCATCTCGGGGCTTCGTACGAGAACACCCCCGCTTCCAACAGGTCTGTAAAGCGCCGCAGACATCGCTGACGTCCAGCCGCAGATTGTGAGAGTAGTTCACCTTTTGAAGGTATTCTGGAAGCGCTTCTGACTCAACTCACAACAATTTGGGCCTTCGAATTCCGGAGCTGGTGTGATTGCCCGTCAAATAGAAAGAAGCGACCAGATTGCTTCTGTTCACCTTACACTGATAACTCCTCTTGTTGACTTCTTGAAAATCTAGGATCCTCTTCTGAATCTGATTGTGGGGGCGAGAGCATTCCCCTGCACGAGGCTGTGGCGCTTTTTTTGGAACGCAATTCAAAAAGTTGTACAGCACTACCGTCGCTGTAGCGACAAGGGAATTCACCACCTTTTTGTGTGAATAATTAATTTCGAAAGATTTTAGTTTTCACCCAGCCCTGTGTTTAGTTTCCAACATTTTTCACACAACGGGCGATTTTGGTTTTTTTGACCCATTTTGCCCTATATTTGAGCAGTCTGAAGCTGCCTTGATTAGTATTTGTTATTTCACCATTTCACCCTCAGATCCGAAATAGTTTCAACATTTTCACACTGACCCCAAAATCATTATTTTCAGGTGAATTCCCTTGTCGCTACGGGTATGGCTGCTCCACGCGAGATCTCGAGATGCTCAACCTGGTTCAACCCCTGCTCTTTCACATGGCCAGAGCGGCTTTGTATTGCTGGCGGAGGGAAAGAGACGGCTCGCAAACCGCCGGTTGTTTCTGGTCCCTTGTATCAGGTTCTACTCTAGTACGATTACCCCGGAGTCCGGGTCAGCCTGACGCGACGCGACGTTGCGATTAACCGGCTCGACGCGTCAATCGTCCTTTCGCTATGGACTGTGTGAAAACTTCCCCTTTGGCGATACTCTGGACTTTGATTGGTCAAGCTCGTGCCACGTATGAGTGTTACACCGCTGAGCTTCGGGAACGAGGCAGACGAGGAGAACTTCCGAGAATCGAGATCAGGCTCATCTGCTAATCCGATCCCTGCCACAATGTTCAAGCTCAGTGGAACGCGCTCCAGCATAATGCGAGGCGTAGCTGTGGTGGCACACCAGTTTGTTTGACGATGTTATGCCTCCGGAGTCCAGACTACGCAGAGCCAGGCGGTGAAGGTCATTCAGCTATATATCAGTTTTGGTTAGAAACAGATTCTTGGGGCCCTACTATTATTGCCTTTCCACATTTTGTGAACATCAATTGATGGAGTCCTCAGCAAATGTGGCCAATAGGAAGCACCACTTGCTGCCTTATTTCAGCGCCACCACCGTAGGCAGCATGCATATTTTGCCAGAATGATTGTGCGCACACTGATTCCTTGAAAACGTTGCAGCAGCTCACTGGGCCCTTTCTGCACGACTCATGTGTCTGCACCTGCTGCAGAAAAGTCGTCCACTGGTCGATCTATTTCTCACACATCATTCTCTGTGGAGAACACAGCAAATGGCCAGGATCACTACGTTGCCGGACATCCCTGAGTCATTGAAGCGCTCCTGGCATCCTGCGCAACCAGCTAGGTGTGAGAGTGGTTCAACAGCATTCTCAACCATCAGCACAGCCGCAGCGAATGTGAACAGAGTGTTCATGTCAGTCAGCAAGACGTCTGTTTTAAAAGGCCATGGCCTTGGGCGTGGTTCCATACAGTTGCCTTGCTTCCCAGTTGAACCAAGTGGCTCTTTCTCGCTGCATCAACCCATGAGAGTTCTTGGGAGCAAGGGCATGCGAAGCGCAGCGCCCTTGGACCACGTTCCTGACATGCGGTCACGCAGAAACCATGGGGCGCTGTTGGCAACCCCGGCGCCAGTCACTAATGCCACTGCACTGCCTCAACAGAGTCCTTCAGTCCAAGAGACTGACGGAGAGTGTGGCACTCCCGAAGCTGGCCGATTTGCTTGTGGAACTGCTGAACCATCAACTCGACATGATTCTGACACAGAAAGTTCTTTCGACCGGGTGCCCGAGGGGTCTTCAGTAGATACAACTAGCACGTCGGCAAGTGGTGAATCACAAACTGGGGGGGGTATAGAACCAAAGGCGAAGTTGCCCCCTGCGCGGCAGAGAAAGGCGGCAAGAAGAGCCCTTGAGAAAGCCGAGCTTGCGAGACGAGAGTCTGGAGGGGAGGCTTCAACGTCGGGCCAGGACGGAGTGGAGCCAACAGAAGAACCCCAGTGGAAAGCACGCCTGGAGGGAAGAGAAGCGACATTGGAAGGAGGGGAGAGGGAGTACTTGGACCTAGGCAAGAGAGTGCGGTGAGAATTCGACGTTGGATATGCGAGGTATGATTGAAGAATGCTGGTGTATGAAAGCATGCTCTTCTGTTGACTTCATGACGCTCTGTAAGGCCCAGACTGGTGACAATGTTACACACTCAGGGCTCCAACACGAAGACATGGCGGCTAGTTAGATTCAATTAGTTTGAAACCATCCCCTTTTCAGCAATGCGTGTGCGTTGGTACAGGCTGAACTCGCAAACTTTGAAACTTGCAGATCCTTGGCAAAAAGTAGTCTTGATCTGGCAGGTGTTTGACCAGGAGTGGGATCGATATAAGTACGCTCCTTGTTTTTGACACATTCCTGTGTGGTTCTGAAGCTCATTCACACTCCTCGGTTATGACCTTGTCCCATGTTTATTGGATTCGTATGGACGACAAAACGAAGACAGAGCTTAATCGCTCTCCATCAAAATTATCTCTCTTTTCTCAGCCCTTCAATAAGATTTTTGGATTCTTACATAGCAACCTCTCTTCGTCCCCAATCTTCTGATTCCCCCCTTTGCGGCAGATATGTGGACGACAACACGGAGCTTATTCATGCCGAGGACTTCGACCTGGCGGTGGATGTGCGCAGCCCTGGGGAATATGAAGAGGACCACGTCATTGGGGCGATCAACTGCCCTGTTCTGGACAACGAGGAGCGCGCAATTGTGGGGACGATCTACAAGCAGGTAAGGACAGACGGGGTCTCATGAAGACCGCTTTTGATTGGCCCGTAGAAATGCGGAGGGCGTTTGGTCTGCGGGGCCGAGTTGTGAGCGCGTACTTTGAAGCTGGCGCTGCTGATGAATCATAATCTACTGCTCGTTGGTAGGTCAAACAACAGCGTGGAACTGTTAGGGCGATGGTATACAGAAGAGTGCCCAGGAACCACTTGAAAATGATCAGTGAATTTGTCGTTGCTTTCAGTCCAAGCCTCTCTTCCTCGCAACCAAGGGTTTTGCCTCAACACAAGGATGCCATAACCTCTTCACTGCCCCTGAATCGTGCCCCTTTCATTCTCAGCTGGCGCCTTCCACCCTCACAAATGTCCATTACCTTTTCAAAGAACGTTGTCAGTCGCTAAAGGTCCAGGCCTTAAGACCATTCTCTTAAGTCTCTGCAACCCAATGAATTTAACAGACCCATCCGCAAAAGTCTGTACCCGTAGCAGGACAGGCCGTCCAACGCTCAGGCCTTAACACCGATCGTTCACACAAGACACTGAGACCCCATCACTCTCAAAAACGATCGGCTCAATACTGGCTGCCCTCTTTGCAGGAGAGTCCATTCAAGGCGCGGCGCATCGGCGCGGCCATGGTGGCCAAGAACATCGCGCGCATCTTCCAGGAGCAGTTTGTGGACCTCGACAAGGATGCGCGCGTACTCGTCTACTGCTGGAGGGGCGGGTGAGCCGCTGTCTGGTCCGAGCCGCTGGGTGACGTCAGCTCGCGTCGTCCACGTCATGCTCGCGCATCTCCTCACAGAGTGTGCATCTGCCAGGTTCCTGCGTATTGGGGCCAAAACCTCGATTGTCTCTGACGGATTCCAAGAAGCTTCAGATGATGCTCCAAGGCAGACGGAGTGACACTTATGGCTTCCCAGAGGAGTAAGTATCATCAGCTTCTTCTGCCGTTTTCGAACGACGATCTGATACAGCGCATTTCAGGCATGCTGCACGTTTGAGGTGCCTATTTAGGTCTAACTTAGAAGTTCGATAGGACCAATGTAAGATCAACGTTACCGATCAACTAAGCTAAGTTCTCCGATCTTAGGCCTGCGTTACATTTCAACTAAGCCAGTCGCGGGCCGATTTGCCCGACCATTACCGAAGTTGATTGGTAACGTAAACATAGTCTAGCTTAATCGGGTTGTAACGCGTTTCTAAGTTCTATCTGAGTTCTAAGTTAGACCTAAATAGGTACCTGAAACGTGCAGCATGCCTGAAATGCGCTGTATAGTCAGCTGGTCCCCCGTTTTCCTGGCGGCACTGTGAGGGATTTCACGTCTTATATTCCTTAGTCCCCGCCATCCTCACGCTCCTTGGTGTCGTTCTTTTCCAAGCAAGTTCGAACCTTGTTTTCTTCAAGATGGCGCAAGCGTCGGGTGGCCCAAGTTCACGTAAACGAATACGTGCGAGCACCCCCTGGAAGGTTTCCGCTCCACGGTTCTTCATTTAAAGGTTTCTCCGTTTTTGAAAAAAGCAATCAGAAACCCGAAGAAACACACAGGATTGCAGGGAGCGTCCGCTACTCCGCATACACAGTCTCATTTCGACATTCACTTCCATGCTCGATGCGGCTTTGCCCAGCCTTCGAAAGCATCATTAAGAATCGTCAATTCACAACGTTGCAACTTGACCTTTTGCATCTTCGACAGGGAGCGGTCCGGTTTCTTCGCACACACCGTGTCACGCGTCGGGTGGCCCACGTTCATGCTCAAGGGCGGCTACAAGACGTACCGCGCGCAGGTGCGCGCGTTCATGGCGGGCCTGGGCACGTGGCCCGTCCACGTCATCTCCGGCAAGACCGGCAGCGGCAAGGGCCTCATGCTCGACGCGCTCCGGCGACACGGCGCACAGGTGGGCGACTGGTTAACTGGCTAGACTTACTGTTTATCATACCCTGGTTATAGTCCTCTCGTAATCTTTTCGTAATCCTTTCGTAATCTCTGTTCATCGTACCCTGCATTTTGGTCTGCTCGTTGCCTCTTGTCACTTGTTTCTTTCCGTGTTCTGCTGCATAGTGCGTGTTTAAGAAACAAGCACTTGGCTCCGCTTCCCTGTCTTCCTCCGGGCTTTGCTGTCGTCATATCTGGTCCCTTGAGATCTGTTGCACTGCGGACCTGCGCTCTGTCTCTGCCTGACGTCGAAGCTCGATCGGATAACGAACTCACATTACTTTCGCTTCGTCAGGTGCTCGACTTGGAGGCCGCGGCCAATCACCGGGGGTCTATCTTGGGCGACGCTCCTGGGGGCGAGGGCCAGCCCAGCCAGAAGCTGATGGAGAGCCACATCTTCCACCAGATGCGCGGGTACACCCCTCGGCGGGTAACGTTCGTAGAGGGGGAGTCGAGCCTGCTGGGAAAGCTAAAAGTTCCGAAACCGTTGGTGATGACAATGCGGACAACGACCCACACGCAGGTGGGTTTTTGGGGACTTCGACGGTTTTATCGCAAACGAGCCGTGTCAAAGAGTTGAAACTATGCGTATGGAGGCGGCGCAGTGCGTGAATAGACCGTGATGACTGTGGGCTTGAGAAGGAGTTGAGCAGTTGAGGGCAATGAGGATTTCAAAACCACTGGGCCTCAATCTGCAGATAACGACTTATATGCAGGTCCTTGAACAGAGGGCGGGGACAGGCCATGACGAGGTTAAGTCTAACTCGTGATGCGTGCGGCAGCAATCAGGAGGCCTGATCAATAATCAGGATGCCGAGCTTTTGGAAAAGACCCACCCCGCTATAATAGGCTCTTTTGATATTGCAGATTTTAGGAACTGCCACGTTCTGGTGTTGGAGGTGAAGCCGGCGCGTAACCTCCCAAAATCGCTTGATGTCTTTTGGGCATCCGGCTGGCGTGCAGCTGCAAAGAAGCGCAACATTGTTTGCAACTATGGGTTTTTTTTCCCAAAAAAATGTTCTGCTCGTTACGTGCCCAGGTGCACGTGCCGATGGAGTGGCGCGTCAAGCACACCTCAGCGGGGTACACGCATTTCTGGGACGACGCTGGCCGGCCACGGTTAAAAGGCAAGCTTGACCACCTCCGCCGACTGCGGGGGAACAAGACCGTCGATCGTTGGTTTGCGCTGATTGACTCGCACCCGCCCGGCTGGGAGGAGGAGTTCTGCGAGGACATTCTGCATGAACACTATGACCCCGCGTATTTGCATAGCTTTGCTAGGGACAGGATAGACGGCGAGACGGTAGATGTCGAGGTGCCGGATCTAGAAGAAGCCACGCTAGATGCGTTTGCTAGGGAGTTGACGGAGAGGTACGATTCCGCTGGAGCGACGAAGCTTGCAGGGGATAGTGAGTAATGCGCTAAAGAGGTGGTTGCGCCGTGCTGAAAGTCCCCTCCAGTTCCAGCGCTTAGTTTGGCAAAGGTGAAGATGAGCAATAGAGGTGTTTGGCGATGATGTGCACGCATTATTAGTTAAGGAACTTGTTGAAGCAGCTAGATGGTTAAGCAGCACGTAAAGCTTCGAGAATCTGCCCTTTTCGTTTGATGAGATCACTGATCAAGACATTTTGCGGACCAGGAAGAAACCTTATTCCTGGGCTAATGTTTCTTAGGCTTGGATCTTAGCATGAGCTTGGTGCAACTGAAGGCCGGCGCGGGGCACGCATGATAGATTGGCATGCATTCTTGCGCAACACCCTCTGGCACTTCTATTTCAACAAACAGGCTGGAAGTGAACTCGAAGCTACGATCGTCGAGCACACGTGGTCCCGCGGGGTTATATGCACATGCCAATGTGCCACGATGGCCAATGCAATGCATGCGCTGCAAGCCAAAATCTCGCGTGCTGGCAATATAGGGTCATATGCTTTTGTGCAATGTTGCACATGTATATCCACTACGATTTAAGTGCGTCCGACGCAGGGTCGGGCACATGTACAGTAACCACATCTCGATCTTGCATCATGTTGATACAACCCCTTAGCCTGTGCCGCCCTAGGCATCCCCATCGCACGAGTCCAAGGCTAACATGCGGTCTGCTTTGTTGCAATACTCAGGGATGGCGGCCGTTACGTATTGATCGGTTTTGATGCAACCACTATGCTCGGAGTCAATCATCTACGTCCCGTCGTTCGGGCAGGGTGTTTGATAGCCTCCGGCCCAGTATGTCTAAATGCACCATGAGTGCCCTCTTAACGGCGTCAAAACAGCAGGTCGGCTGTCTAAAGTTGTCAAGAAGACTGACGTTCTGGACGATCCTTGCCACGGTTGCGACCATGTGCAATCTAAGGACACAGCAAATGGAAAGCGTCAGGTCTGCCCCCACAGATCTGATCCGAAAGGCTAGATTTGAGAGTCAATGAAGACCTCAAAAGCCCGATATTAACGAATGCGAGCTGGAAGTCTAAGCAGTAGAGCAAAGACACAGATCATCTTTTGGGTACGGAAGAAGAAGCTAGATTTGCGCATTGTTTCAGAGGAAGCCATCAGAGTTTTCGGGGCGTGACCCGCAGCTTACCCGTTTGCCTGACCCCAGGGTTGCGTCCCCTCGCTGAACCTGTCTTGATACAAGCCTTCAGTCAGATCCAACTCTGCTCTCCAGTCCAACCGTGGAGTAGCCCCGTTCATGGCTACTCGGCGAGACGACTTTTTATATCCCGAGATGATCAGCAAGTCTCGGATTGACATAGGGACGCGCTTTAGACGCCCGAGAAGCTATTCTCCAGCCTCCGCCTTCGAAAGAACGACTTCATGAGCGCGGCACTCTCCGCTGAGAGCAATCCCCTCGTGACCTTGATCTCCGGATGAAAAGGATGGCAAGCGCGAGGAGAGCCGAGGACATAGTTCGTTGACTCAGCGACAGGGTCCGCGGTGCTAACGGGAAACATTCTGCAAGAATAAAGATGAATCTTATGCGGGGAGTTGGAGAACCCCTTGTAAGGCAAATCATCGTCCTTCTCAGCTCACCGTTGAAGAAAATTCCAGCCTAGGGCCAATGACGGACTTGATAAAGTAGGTGCAACTGGAAGATCTTGCTGATGTTACTCAAGCCCCAGGTGATGCTTCACGTGAGTCCCCCTTCGATCGTTAAATTGGTCGTTATCAGCGTGAATGACCACCTTGCTTTGAAATGATCCGACAGTGTTTGCGGACGGAGCAACGCAATACTTTTCCACCGCAGCGTTTTTCCAAAAAGGAAACTGAAATTGACGACAGATCGACGGGATATGCCCGAGAAGAGGCTGCTCGAGGTGACAATCTGCAAGCGGTTCCAGTTTTTTACCCTCCCATGCAGAACGGTTCAGCATACTTCATGAGGAGAAGGGTAACCTTCAGCAGAAAAGTCGAACGACCGAGTTTGCGCCTGAGAAGAGCCTCCAGTCTAAAGTAACGAGTTTCTGCGGCGCACCTGATCCAGCTTCCGTCAGCTCCAAGCAGCGTGTTGGGAGCCCCCCAAACAAGGCGCTTGATCCGCGACTGCAAGATTGCCCCGGCACACATGGGGCACGGCTCCAGAGTAACGTAAAGAGTACAGTCCTGCACAGAACAGGAGGCAAGGTGGGAAACTCCCTGGATAAACGACCAGGCAAGATCATTGGAGGATTCATCGGCTATGCAAAGAGAGATAATCTCGGCCCGCCTGACGTAAGGAGTACAGTTCGGTACGAAAATGAGACAAACTGAGAGCGTCCAGATCGACGGAAGAACTTCATTACAGAAAGAAGATCGATTCTATGCAGAGGGAGAGAAGATGGAGAGACCAGGGGCCTCAGCGAGGGTGACAGATATGGTACGCTATGGGAACTTGGGAAGGTCCTTCTTTACGAGGTCTCCAGGTTCAAAGGACTTAACGTTCCAGACAATTGACGCTGGTCGCTTTTGAAGCACCCACGGGAAGGAAGGAATTTCGTACGTCTGCAGCTTCGCCAGACGTCCTATCATCGTCTTCATTGCTCTCACATCTATGATAGACCAAGCTGTTCCCTACCACGTGTTGAACTGCAGTCGCAGTTGTGACTTGGACCAGATTGCCACTCGCGAATAGAAAGACTTAGGAGAACCAGTGCCGAGTTAGTAGAAAGCGAGCGCTAACCAGAAGCCTCCATGCTTTGAGCTTCTTTGCAGCCTCGCGGATGCATATCATTTCAGCATGGAGTGTTGGGTCTTTCCCTCTTTCTACCCTGCAGATCAAACTTCGCAGCGGGTCAGCAAAGATGGAAAAAACGTCCTGGACTCTCGGTTTCCAAAATTGAATCAGGTTAGCTTGCCATGCCGTTACATCTTCTGCTTAGAAGCAGGTAAATTCACAGGCAGTGTCTTCTTCCATGGAAAGCTTGCTTATCCAGAGAACTGAGTGTCAACAATCTGGTTTTTGTAACCTTGTTACGGTTAAGACTGAAAGGTCATGCTTACCCCTAATTTGTTTCTTCATGTACGATCCACAGAGACGAGCTGAAAGAATATACTAGAACAAACCTCAGCTGGTGCCAAAGGTAGAACGCTCCGGAAAGCCAATCTGCGCTGGTTGCTCACCTATTATGGGCTTTTGCCAGGACTTCGTCACCAAGAACAAGGACAGCTCCTACAGGAATCTCTCCTTCCCCGGCACCTCTCTCGGCCTCAGCCAAGGCCAATCTCATGAAGGATGCATCTTGATCACTTGCTAAGCTTGCTGACATGATTGTGAGCATGCTAGGCTTGTCAATGGAACCTGTCGGGGGCGCCTCATTAGCCTCCAATTGCACAAAGTCTGCAGCTGGAATAGATCCTGAAGGTGACTCAGCTCCCACTTTATAGGGAGACGCCGACTCTGGTTCGATTGGTGTAGCTTGAGTTGCATAGTGGCAGATCTGAGATGCAGAGTATCCCCTTCTTTTGACTGAGCAGGACGTGGCCTGTGCTTTTGCTCCCAGGAAATTATTGATTACCAGCTTGTTTCTCCTCGAGAGGTCATCAATTGCTGATTGACTGCAGAACTTCGACAGAATAGTCCTTGAAGAACTTCGTTCAGCTGCTTTGCGCCTCCTTGGACAACTGCCTTTCCACTTCCTTAGAAGCAGCCCCTGGGAATATTTAGTACACCACATTGCAACAGGGCTTGCAGCTTGCAGGAAATCCATCTGGTTACACATTTGACAAAGTTCCTCGAATGCAAAGTGCTGATGTTCGTTAAAAAATGCTGCAGCCCAGCGTTGCACAGCTAGCCTAGCTTTCGTGGCGACCGCCATGAGTAATTGGACTCCGCAAGAAGGCAGCCGAAAGCAACTGCCAATGCCACGCCCTGATTGCGACCGAAGCTTAAATGCTGCCTTACAGTAGCCTTCTGCATAGACAGTTGCAGCTGACTGCAGCCGTCTCTTGAATCCGTTCCCAGCTCCTTCTGTCCCCCTTCTGTCCAATGTCCATGCTGCAACTTCAAGGGTGAAGGTAACTTCAATGCTGATCAGCTAGACGTTGGCCTAAATGTCCACGTATCGAGCAACAAGGCGGCCAAATATAACAGAGTATATTGCGAAGCTAAAGCTCCGAAGCTCATCTGTACCTGGTAACGCTCAAGACGCAAGTAGACTCGAGTAACCGATGGCGCTCAACAGGCCCCGACCGAGATGTTGACGTACGAAATTGTGCCCCCGCCGAAAATGTACGAAAATTCATGAGAGAGCACTCGCATATTATGCTGTTTCACAGGTGCACGCTGCTATGCCTCGACTGAGCTCAAACTTCGAGCAGCTCACCACACTTCAAACATCAGCAGATCAGCAGGCAGCTGGCCGGGCGCCAGCTTGCAGGGGCATGGCAGCCCCTGATGGCTTTGAATCTGCCCCCTCTCGTCGAGGTTTTTCCTTCAATCCCAATGGATGAATGATTGGGCAAAGGTTTCTCAATTGAGGGCTGCACAATCAATCAGATTTCATCACAGAATTAAAAGGTTGCCTGTGCTGTTGGGGTATCAGCTTTAACGAGCTGTTGGCCTGCTTAGAAGTACGTGTAGCACTAAAGATAATATAATGGCCAGCGAAGTAACCCCGCGAAAGAGCAAAAGGCGGCCTGTGGGCGTGTATGCCCCTCCGCATCTTAGAGAAGAGCTTTCTGAAATCGCTAAAAGTGAGCAAAAAGCTGGACTTTCTGTGTCAGAGTGCTTGGCTTCAGATGTCCAGGGCAAGCAATCAAGGCAAGAGATCAGAAAGGTAGAGAGAAGCGGCACTTCCACCCGACCCAAGCCAGGCACAGAGAAACATGAGTTTGCTGCGGGTGAGCAGCAATGCATCAGAGCTTTAACAGGAGCCGGGGAAGATCCCAGCTCAAAGCTTTCACACTCAAAGGAGAGGGATTGGTTGCAAGGCGCAACCGATCCGTCAACCAAGTTTTGGAGAGAAGTAGAGAATAAGGAGGCCATGCAAGAGAGGACGCCAGTAGTGCGCTTTGAAAGAGCCTCGCTGAGAATTGGTTAGACTGGCTGCAGCGCCTTGTGAGCAGCGCAGAAATTCAGATGGATGCTGTGGTGGCGCTTTATCTAGATGGCTTATTGAGAGTAAGTGGTTGACTTTGCTCATTCTACAGGTATGCTCAGATAAATCTCTTAATGGGCGCATGTCGAGTACATCGTGCAGGATCAGTTGCCAGCCAAAAGACACCAATCTTCTCGTGGCCCAAAAGTGCTTGCTGCTTTTCTTCCAGTAAATCACTTAGTGACGCTTGTTTCTTTGACTCTATCAAACTACTTCCTGCAGATGCCACCAATATCAAATCGTCAGTTCCTGCTGTCTACATTTGATTTTACGACTTTTCCACTCGATATGCCATTTCATACTCGTTTTCTAAATCACAGATGGAAACAGAAGAGGGGCCTGAGGAGAAGCGAGAGGGACTGGCAGAGTTTTTGGAAGCCATGCTCCCAACCACAGGCCACATGCTGACCTGAGTCAACCAGTAGCGCACCTGGAGCTAGGAAAGCAGGGCGGTCGGAGGGATCCAAAGATTGCGTGGCTGGTTGAGAACATCTGGGATGCGTGGACTGACTGGGGACAAGAGTCCTCCCCGGGCCTGGAAGCAGAGGCGGAGGAAGAAATGGGAGAGGAGGAAGAGAGAGAAGAGGAGTTCGGAGTTTGGTTGAACGCCAAAATGTGGGGGCTTGGGTTGGACTCAGACGTCTGTGTGCCATATGTGACGGGGCTTCTTGAGCTGGAAGAGGTGAGTTCTGTTTGTTTCTAGTCAGCCTCTCAATCTGGTCAATCTGCTGAGTTGCTTAGATTGCTCGTTGATTTGAGTACCTTGCAAAATAGAAACCTGTCAGCTCGACGGCACAGACCTCTTTTGCTCTTGCCTAGTCTTCCTGCACTTTCCGTCTAGAAGAGGTTCATCGAAATCGGAGAAGTCAATTTATATTTAGCTGCGTGGTGATTGGGACAGGTTGGTTCTAATACCTCCTCATTCAGGTCGAAACAACGAAATATGACTCCACAACATAGACAGGGGATGCTCGAGATTTGGGGAGTACACAATCGGTGAATTTATTGCCTCAGGAGGGTGGCAGATATCTTTGTGGTTCAGTTGGTCATGCTTCACCTGCTTCCGACCACTTCCATCTCGCTTCACGTGGTCTCTCTGACCCAGCTGTATGGAGGTTTGTATATAATCATCCACATTACAGCTTGCTTGTCTTCTCGCTCCTGATATCTGCACAAAAAGCACAGATGTTGCCCCTTTCTTCATGCTACTATTCACCACTTCTGGCACAAAGGCATGCTCAGTGATTCCCTTTTTGAAGATTTCGTCGACTCTCCCAGAACATCCCTGCAAGGTATTTTGATGGAATGGGACATCAATCTCCTCTTTCATTGCAGGGAGGCTCTGCCATTGAAGAGTTCCTGGTTGACGCCGCTCTACAAACCGACTCGTCTGCAACATTGCGCTTCGACCCGTTGTCGACAACCCAGGAGATTCTGGCTCGGTACAGGAGGCGAGGTATGGCAGCCCAGGCTGTTTCGAAGCCGGAAAAGTGGGTAGAAGCATCCCCAGAGCCTCAAAGTAAGTCTAAGAAAGGGAAGAAGAAGAACGAACGAACGGTGCTTCCGGCTGACTTGTTCTCGCACTGGTGGACCTCGGAAGTAGGGGCGGACTGGGGAACGACGGCGACGGCTCTTGAAGGAAACGAGTCGCAAAACGATGAGAGTTGGGTGAGAAATACTCAGTGGGACGATTACGAAGTAGGAAGGCAAGCAGAGACCTGGGGCTTTGATGAAAAAGCTTTTCACAACAGGGTCGGTGAGGATGTTTCCTTAAGCACGAAGGCGTCAAAGGCGTCAAAGAAGCCAGTGGGGATGAAGAAGGTGGCAGCTGGACTGGGTTCCGAGTCCCTGAGCGGGGCTGGGTACATCCGGTCAGCAGGGAAGCCACCCACGTCAGTTGTGGTCGCTCGACGGATGATTCTCCATGTCCTTGGTCTTAAGGATCCGAATCGACGAAAACAGTAGAGCCGGAAAGGGTGTATTCTTGCCAGCCCAATCGTCTTCTGATTTACCATGCAGCAATTGCGTTCAGTTCCCGTCGCGGGCTGCAGTCATGCCTCAGAAGTTGGATTCAGGCGGATCGTTGAGCGGCATCGAACCGTACGATTCTTTGAGCAAGTTCTGTAAAGGTACATACTAAGCATTCCTAGAGACACAACCTGATTGATTCGCTCTGGCAGGACGTTACAATTCCATGATCTGCAGCCCCAGCCTGGCTCAAACTCGAACCGATGAGCTATCGAGCGTGTGTTTCATGCAGCGCAATCGACTGCAACCTTGTGGGACTCGAATTAGGCTGCCGTGCGGTCGGACTGCAAGTATGCACGCAGGCTTAATCCGAGTTACGATATAGTCGGTCTGTTCAGCGCATGTGAATGTTTGCGCGCACTGAACATCATTCTATGCGCACATGTGACCGTCGTGGTGAGTGCCAGTGAAATGAGCGACATGTCCATGTGTGCATGCACTGACATGAGAATAAGTCTAATTCGCCGGACCTTAAGCATGTGTCGGACTTCCAGGCATAGCGCACAAGTGAACTTAGTAATGAAGTGCCATGTGCGCGCAGTATGTCGCTGCTTAAACAGTGGGGTGAGTTGAGTACTCTGCCCCAGATCCTCCAAGTCTACGAATCTTCTATAATAAAATAAGTTGCTGGAGCTCAAAAGCGGCTGAATATTCGTCAATCATCATTGTCAGTCGTTATTCTCGTCGGCAAAATCTTTGAATGTACACAGCAAAAAGGGCAGTACCTGGCTTGATAGTATCTCCAGAGCAACATCACTACAGCAGCTGGATCCATAAATTCAGAAGCTCTTCTTCTCTCGAACATGTGCCAAACGCAAACCTCGTTGCCATCAATCTGCATCCCACGTCGGGTGGTGCTAGGAGAAGCCTCTACAGTCAAGCCTTGAGGTCAGCTAGTCCATTTTTTTTCTGCACGCAGGAAAGCCATATCATCGATTCAAGCATTAAGGTCTTTCCAGCAACCGCGGGGGAAGGAAACTTTCAAGACGTCAAATCTTTCCTTCGCTCTTGCCTTGAGCCGATGCTCTTTTGCAGATCGTCAACAGACCTGGCACGAACTTCAAGGACTGCCTTTCGGAGCTGCCTTGGATTTCGAAGCATCAAAGACTTCAGTATGGACAAAGTACTATCATGCTGCCTCTAAGATCTGTTGCAAGCGGTAGGTGTCACAAAACGAAATTGCAGATAATGCGAAAGTCGCTGTCGCTTGTTACTCACCAAGAATTCGTGATTTTCAGCCAGGAGAGGCGAGAAGTCACCAATGAATTGGTCAATGTCGCCAGTGAGATCGCCAGAACCAAGGTTGGCAAAGAAGGAGTCCCTGTTCGGAATGAATCTCATTGCAGTCTGCGCACAAAGCCGGGGTGGAGAAAAGTCACTTCGTATCACCAACATTTGAGAACAAAGGACAAGTTTTCGTGGAGGGCTATGAGTATTTTTCATCATCGCTTCTGACTTTGAGATGGGATTGCCTTACGTACTCTGAGAACCGGAGAAACAAAGCGGGATCCAAGTCCATGTCCGTACACTCTCAACTGCAATGAAGTTGCAATCTTTTAACAACAAGACGAAAGTTCAGCAACCTTAAGCTACAGATACCAGCTTGCTCTTGCAAGCACACTCACCGTGAAAGCTGTCTGTGCCATCCAACCATGGTAGGGCTTCAATGTAACATTGTACGCCTCATTAGCAGCCTGTGTTGTAGTCCAATCCTTGTGCTGCTCCAAGTTCCGGAAGAGGGCAACTATAAACTCCATAGCTCTGCATTGGAAGGTGCCAGGATAACAACAAGCATCGACAGAGAACAGCAAAAAGTGAAACCTTGTTTTAAAGCTCTGTGCATTTAGTGAGGGGATAAACAAACTTATGCAGAAGGGACGGGTACAAAAAGGAACAATCTGCACATAGGCAAAGTTGATCATGATCAAGAAAAAAGTGGTGCAGAAAGCATGGGCACTGCTCTCCTTGGGACTGCGAGTGCTCAGAAAGACAGATCTTATCAGTCAGCTACACCTACCTCACTAAGAATCGCTGCTAGTTCCTGAGCTGATCCAAACGATCTGAGACTTGCCTGTTCAACCAAAGCAGACCCTGACTGTCTGATTTGCCACCAGTTGCTGTCCCAGCCTTCACTTCTTCTGTGACGATTGGGTACAGCAGTTGATATGCTGCCGGGTTTTGGTCGTACTTGGTGGTCAAACGCTGCACCAAAAATAGTCATGAATCAGCTCAAATCTGGAGTTGCTTGGATCATGGTCAATAAAGTGAAGATCTTCCCAATGACATAAAAACTACAAAGAGTTGTACTTGGAATTGCCCCATCAAGAGTTCTTCCTGACAATGCATGAAAGAAATGCATTGAGGGTAGAATATCATAGAAACATCATACAAACGAACAGCTCAGGATCAAAGACTAAGGAGGGGCCATACTCACCGATATGTTTCCACCAATGTCAGACTTCACCAGAGTGAACGCAGCGCCAAACTTGTCTGCAACAAAGAGTAAGCTGAAATGAGGAGACAAGTAGCAATAGCAACTTGATTGAAAACTTAGTTGTTGCTCGGGGGAACAACGGCACATCAGCTCATCCTATGTAAAGCAATCAGCGCAGCACGTACCAGTTACAGGGAGCACGTGGCCACACACGTCCAGAAAGGGCTTAGTTTGGATCTCTCCGTTCACATCCTTCACCCCCTTGATGCCTTCAATGATTGGCGCAAAGACCGACATCGCTGAAGCAGCTGCAATCAACCTCAGCTCCTTGAGGAGCTGTTTTGGTTTACACAGACTCTGCAATCTACAGCTGCGCTCGCAGGATTGTTGATGCACCACTTAGAGAAATCAAAAGACACATCAGAGAATCTCTGGTGAAAGAAGGCAATTGCTTGCGATAATCCGAGCTGCTTTGCTGCTTATTGGCTGTGAGTGTGAGCTGAGCTGCGTGCAGGAGATTCAGATTACAATGCGCCCTTTGAAAATGAAATGGGCCTGAATAGGCCCGCAACTCACCTCAACTTGAGGCTCAAGTTCCAACTTACGCTTCAACTTGAACCTACATCAATCTCATTGGTCAGGAGTCGAATATGGACTTACTTGCCGCCCGTCCGATGAGATTTTGCACAGCCTAGTATACAGTTTGACGGCTCAGATCAAACTTTTAAGGAAGCCAGAGAATGACCGTCACAATAGTTCTTCGACGTCTCCTGCCACTGTACGTCTAGCTAGGGCTGTGGCAGCCCTCGAGATTACCTACCAAGCCTAAATGCCCAGGGCTGCTCAGCCTTCAGAAGGGCGCTCAATCAAAAGTCTGCAACCTCGAGATCATAAGCTGGATAAGGCACGGAGGCAGAGGCACCTGTTTTCAGCTGAGAACCACGGGGAGATGAGACAATCAGCGAGAGGTAGAAACAGGCCACAATGAACATTTTTAAGGGTGTGGCGGGGTTGTTGCGCAAAGGCTCTTCTGGGGCTTTCACTGATCTCATTGCGGGGGAAGCACACGGGCCGGGTGTTGGCTCCCCTTCGTTCATTGACATTCAATTCAGGTACAGCTGCACTGAAGGCGATGATTTTTGGTCCTTGCATGCAATGAAGGCATTCCTCTCACTATCTGCTGCACAGTCACTCCTAGAATGTGGCGCATTTGCAGCAGTGACTGGGACAAGCTCCTTTGAAAAGATATTTGATCGGAAAGATGGAAAAACAAATCTTTTGCCTGCAGGAAGGAAGGCGAAGAGGAACTCTTAGATGATTTGTGGCAGGAGTATCAGGGAGCATCCAAGGTGCGCCAGAGCAACTGCAGCTTGGCTCTGCTTGATCAAATAGTTTCATCTTAGAAGATGCGCTGTTCAAACGGTGCACCAAGTGAGCCATATACAGAAAAAGAAAGCAAGAGTCGCATCTTTGATCAAGATCAGGCTTCTCTTGTGCCCCAGCACAAGAATGCTTTTCCCCTTGTGACTCCTGTTTTCTTGAGTCATAGTTTGTTTTCCATGGACGCCATATTTGTACCCTCCGCAGGAAAAGTCAGCCAAGTCCTTCGACGCTTTCCTGCGAGAGTTCATTCGCACATATGAAGACTGGACTCCACTGGACACCCCTGGCGAGATCGCTGGGGGAGGTGCAAGTAGTGGCGGAGAAGACCTCCGCACGCCCGCGGTTGGGTGTGAAACGGGCCACCCGACCAGGGTGGTCGTGGGGTTTGTCCAGGAGCTCAAGAATGTGACACGAATCGTCACTGATGGTGAGGAGCATACCCTCTTCCGTCGCCGCTGTATCATTTGAAAGGGGTGCTTTGGCAGGGAGATGGGGGTGATGAACCATTGCCTGAAGTGTGAAAAACCATCACCTGAAGCCGTTTACGGGTGCGTTAAGCTTTGGAAGATCAAACGAACTGATCCTCCGTAAGAAGCTACAGTTACATTCAATGTCCATTGTTTAATGCTTAGAACTTCTCTTTCAGACAACGTACTTCCTGAACTCTAGTGAGGCTCCTATGATAGATCCACAATCTGTAAGAATGATTGGGCCTGTCTACTTGCAGCAGCTGGCTCAGCCGAGGAGCCCCAGCCACTGAAAGCCCAAACCACCGAAGCGGGGCTGAACCTTCTCCACGCACTCACAATTGCGACTCGCTCCGCACATAACCGCAAGGTCTTTGCCTTCTTTGATGGCTTCCAGGCCCTCATGCGGTTAATGAAGAGTGAGTATTTGTTTCTCGGTAGAGTGCTATCTGCTTGTATGCAGAGTGTTGTATAGCTTCCTGAAGTCAACGTGCTTCTTTTCCCACTAGGCTTTTTGGTGGGAGGTCTTCGGCAGAACCTTGTGTATGGAATTGACATCCAGTGCGCTACTGGTACCTTGGTTGACGCCTTAAAAACACGTCGATTTGCTTGTTTAGTTTTTGTCTGCGATCGTCGGACAAATGCCACACGGAAAAATGCCAGACAGAGACAAGTGACTCGAAAGGCCAGAATTTTAGTCCGGTTGTCAATCAGTTGCATAGTTCTCCAACCATAATAGGTCCTCCTACTAATCAGTGGTTCGCTGACTATCTGGAACGAATGGGTTGTACATAAAGTTTCCCCCCCTTTCTCAGCCGCCGTCGTGCGCCTCAAGTCCCTGGCCAACACAGTCTCCCCCGACGCCCGCCCCTCCCTTGCCACGTACACCCAGCTGACCTTCCTCCAGTGCTTATTGGCCCATATCGTATCCGTGGCGGCCAACTATGTCGACGCTCATATGCGGGCCATCCAGAGGAGCGCCTCTCAGGCCCAGCTACCCAGTGGCGATGAGGGTTTCGGGTTTGGTGAATCGACAGTGTTGAGGGAGGGCTATTTCTTCGAGGGGGGTAGCCGAGACGGGAGTAGGCCCACGAGCCCAAAGGGGGAAAGGGCGAAGGGCGGGGTCGAGGCGGTGCCGTTGCTCGAAAGCGGGGGGCTTAACCATTTCGTTGGTGAGTGTTCGGATCCTCAAACGCTCCAGGTTTCTCGTAGACCATTGCTGTCGAAAAAGTGCCTCATAGCGAGCAGCGATTCGGCATGGTACTAGCATTCGTCCAGTTTGTCGGCGTCTGGTGGAGGTATCTTTGAAGGTATAGTTCTGTTCAGAGTAACACTGTGTTTCCGTAGACAAGCTTTTTCCTACCTTTTAACGTTCAAGTTGCTCGCTAGTCAAAGTAAAAACAATATATTAACGCTTTCAGCGATTCGCTGCTTCGACTGAAGCACAGCGTAACCTTCAAAGACGCAGGTACATTCGGAACGCTTGCACTCGGTGTTTCTCCAATAAATTTTCGATTCTCAACTTTGCTGGCCACTCGGATAAGACAGTTGGAAGAGCTTTTTCTTCTGGATTTTGCATCGGAATTGAGGATCATCCAGAGTCCTGTGAACTCGCCTTTTCTCCGCAAGACTTCTGACTCCACTTCGCATACTTCGCATCAAGAGGCTTTCGCCTTCCGAGTCAATCAAGCATTGTCCCCATAACCTCTCACTCTCTCTGTTTCGCTGCAGACCTGCTGAGCCTGCTGCGCGAGCTGCGCGCGAAGCGGACACTCTCGGACAATTCTCTCGAGCAGCTCGCCCTCCGGACCCTCCGCTCCGCCTTCACCGGCAGCCCGCGCGTTCAGAACCACTTCCGCAGCATCGGGGGGCTCGACCTTCTGGTCCAAAACCTCGGCTGGCCGGCGCTCGACGAAGACGACTTGACCAACCCCGAGGGTTTGGAGTCGCTCGAGCAGCTGGGGGACGCGCTGACGCTGGAGTATCGGATGCAGGTAAATAGCCGGCAACATTTGTTGCTAGCAGAGTCATGCTTCTAAATACCCTGTGCTCACGTGTGAGGGGACCGTCAAGTTGCATTCCGCTGTTAAGGGTCCTCCAATGAACGCAAGAGCTGAAGGTGTAGGAGGGCCACCGTTGACGAAGTTTGTGAGTTGCTTCCTCGATGTTTGATGATCGGTTCTTGGTACGCTACGACTGGCAGGTTGCGCCTCCAGCCCTATAACTTCTGTTACGCCGTCCAAGTTGTTGAAAGATTTGTCTCCTTGTCCGCCATTAGTCGAGAAGCCGACGGCGCATTGTTTGGATGCAGCTGCTGACGCTCCGAGTTCTGCGAGAGGCGGTGCACCGCAACCTGGCGAGCCTGCAGCGGGTCCACGAGATCGGCGGCTTCAAACGCCTCACCGACATGCTCCGCTGGGTGGCCCGCACTTTTCCCGAGGTCAGCTCGCCCCAAACTGGCGGACAAAACGCCTCAGGAAACGCCGAGAAAGCGAGTTCTCGGACAGGGGAGGACAAGGGGAAAGTCGCTTGGACGTCCAAAGGTGGAGCGCTCGCGAGCAAGGTGTCGAGCGAGGACCTGTCGGCGCTCCCCACGGAGGTGCTCGCGTGGAACCGCGAGGTTGCGGAAGTGTGCAAGGTGCTGTGCTCGCTGCTGACGTCACCGGACGGGACGCTGGGGCCGGCGGTCAGCAGCGCGGGGTGAGGCTGCTTGTTGAGTTGCAACTTTCTTCCCCCATAAACTAGAACGGGTGCTCGCCAGGTCGCCCCCTTCGAGGGTCTTAGAATTGATTAATGTCTCGTGTAGAGCCAGTGCCGGAAAGTACCAGCCTTCTTTGCCCGCAGGTTTGCTATTGGGTTACCTTTGCTCCACTCTTGTTCTGCTCGGTTCATTCCGAGGCCATCAGCTATGCCGTTCGAGGCGAAGTTTGGAATGCAAGCTTCTCTAGAAAGAAGGCGGAAACGAACCTTTTGTTATCAAAGAAGGATTTGGCCGCTTAAGTGCAATGGTCAAGCAGTTCCTTTGCTTCCTTGCCCGTGCCTATGGCCATCTGAAAAGCAACACATCGGTTTACTTGACAGCGACCCAGCCACTGGGCAGGCCTACTGGGATTTCGCGCTGCGACGGCTGGTCGACGTGTTTTTGGGCGCATTCGAAGAGAAAGAGACGGACGGGGAGCAAGATCACGAAGCACTGGAGCTCTTCAAGAAGGACTCGACGACGCTCCAGCACTATGTGCTGCACATTTTTCGGCGGATCCTGACCGTCACTCCCAGCACGCTGGACGTCTTCAGGTGGGACTCTGCGCCTCCTGGCAAAATCCTTCTTCTTATGCGAGCATGCTAAACGCTGTGCTGTGCTGGGGCTTGTCAGCATTGAAGCTTCCCTAGTTGAAGAAGAGAACACTCTTCTGAGAAGCATAGTCTTCGAGGCTTTCTGGATTGCAGACCTGTAAACTTCTCAGGCATACCAAGGGCTCACTGTGCTTGCGTTTTGTTAGAATCGCGCTTGAAAGCTGAACCCCCTGCCCGATGCAATCAGCCGACCATCTTATGGCGAACATCGAAGGTCCCATACGATATCTTTTGGAGTCTTCTGAACTGGGTCGACCGAAGGTGCTCGTGATCTAACTGAGGCGAGAAGTTTGGTTGACAATGTCGCAAGAGACCCTAGTCTGAAACGTATCGTTTACTTCAGGGAAAGCGGCACCTGGGAGGTTCTGCTATCCGAGTCCTTCTTCTACTGGGGCGCCCACAGCGCGGACAAGAGCCTCGAGCACGTCGCCGAGGTTGCGTCTGAGGCACAAGGGGGATCCCCCTCGCCACGGGGCTCAAAGCCAAGCCCACAACCGGCGGAACATGAAGCAGCTTCAGGGGGTTCGGTTGAGGAGAGTGTCAGCCCCCGGGCCTGGGGCGAGGAGAGGCGGCGGCTGTCATTTTCTCCTCGGACCGGCGTACAGTTCGAAGAGACGGAACGATTAAGCGGGCCGTCTGGTAGTCAGCCCGTTGCAAGCACGTCCGGACGGGAGGGGCCGGATCTAGATTCCGGTCGACGGACTTTCCGGGCGGGAAAGGAAGCAGCGACGGCCCCGAGTCGTGTGCAGAACGAGACTAACAACAAAACCCCAGGCTCTGAACATGTCGGCTTCACGTTCACGAGTTCTGGGTATCTGCGGAGCAAGCAGCCGGATAGCCCCGAAGGCGAAGCGCTCCGTTTGGAGGTCCTGAGTTTCATCGAAACGGCGGCGACGCTCGAGACCACGGAGAGCAACGCGCCCGAGTGTGCCGCGCTGCTGAGCACGCTGCGGCTGTGCGCAGGGTTGCCAGGTGTCGCCGCGCCGTTGGCCCGCTGCCTGGACCGCGTCCTCCAACTGGCGCCCGACAGGACGGTGAACGCTTTCGTCAACCAAAAGGCCGAGGCGCTGCTCGCTGACATCATGGAGGCTCAGCGGGATATCCAAAACGCCGCAGTGGTGCGCGCCAAGGGAGCACCTAAGTCGGCAAGGACCGTCCGGAGGGGGGCGGCTCCGCCCAGCCTTCCGGAAGGGGGGGGTGCGTTGGCGGGGCTCGTCGTGGAAACCTGGTGGCAGGCGCGGTCTGCGGTGTTTTCTCTGTTCGGGAGCTTTTTGGCAGCATCGGCTGAGTCCCGGTCAGCTGCGGTGCACGAGGGGCGTGTCGTGAGCGTGTTGTTTGGCCTCCTGTTCGAAGAAAGAGCGCGTGCGTCCGCGCTCAAGTTCATCACGCTCCTCATGAAAGTGCCCCCCCGGAGCGAGGAGGACCGGGCCGCCAAGGCAGCGGTGTTCGTTCGTTACCTGGAAACCCTCCCCCGGGCTCGCGCCGACATTTTTGAGGGGGGTTCCAGCGAGGGCCTTCTACACGACTTGTTGATGGGCATCCGGGAGGTCGTTTCCGCAGATCCCCCCTACTACCAAAACTTGTTTCTCGAGGGGGAGTGCTTCGTGCAGATCGTTTCGCTCTTGGGGGGTGATCACCCGGCCGGAGTTGGGGAGTCCCTCTGCCTAGAAGTTCTTGCCACGCTCACAAAGCTCCTTGCTGGGAACGACGCGTGCAAAGCGGGGTTCCGGGATCTGGTCGGCGCCGGTTACCCCACGCTGCAGAAAGTGCTCGTCGAGCGACACGCCGAGGGGCTGACACGTGGCCTCCTGGCGGCGCTTTTGGACATGCTGATGGACGGCGGGTTCGACGCTGACGCCGATGACGTCATCCGCAACGAGGACGTGGTGCCGCTCTTTATTGGGGTGCTGCGGGAAGCGTCGTCGGGGCTGCAGTGCGAGGGGCTTGACAGCTTCCAGAAGCTGTTGCAGGTGGGCTTTGTTGTTTCCAGCTTTGCAGATCTGGGGGGGTTTCTCAGTTTCTGAGGATTGGAGTCCAGGCTGGCTGTTTGAAGACTCTCGGCTGTGGAAGAAAGTGAGTCGCATAATAGATCATGACGAGTTGGAGCTGCAAAGGTCGGGGCTGGGAGCTTTCAGACGGTGCTGCCATTAGGTTACTTCTCAGTCGTTCCCCGGGTGAATGTTAAGGCTTTTGAGACCTTACGAAGTCGACAGCGGAAATTTCCTGGTTAGCTCGGTTTTGCCAGCTGCAAAGCTCGCATACATTTCTTCCCAGCGCCCCCTTCAGAGGAACGCATAAGTAGCGAAGACTCTCGACTTGCTGAGATGGAAGCGTACATATTGTGCATGAGAAGCTTGACTTGACTCTTCCGGTTCCGCAGGGCAACGTGGCCAACGCTGCGTGCTGCGTGCGCGCCGGGCTGGTCAGCCTCGTCCTCGACTGGTTCCCCTCTATCGCAAGCTCGCGCACGCGTGTGCGCGCCCTCTCGCTCGTCCAGCTGTGCGGGGCGCACAGCGTCTCCGGCAAGAACATGTGCACTTTCTTCGGCCTCCTCCGCAGCGACCAAAACGGGGCCCGCCCGAAACACAGCGCGCTGCTACTGCAAACGCTGCAGAGGATGGCGCAGAAAGAAGGCCCTGCGGTGTTCTTTGTCCTCAACGGGCAGGATTCCGGGCTCCTCATAAACTCCCCGGTGCGGTTTCCCTCGTCCCGGGGGTATACCTTCACGGCCTGGCTGCGGGTCGAATGCTTCCCCCCCGAAAGCGCGCCGATGGGGCTGTTTCAGTTCCGGACTACGGACGGGCGAGGCTGCGGGGCATATTTACACCAGCAGGGCGTCATTGTCCACGTGGCGAGCGGCGGGAAGTCGCAGACGGTCGCGTTGGGCTACCCGTTCCGGCTGCGGCGGTGGCACTTTGTGGCGATTACGCACAACACGACACGGGCGCTCTCGGGGAGCCACGCGAAGCTGGTGGTGGACGGACAGGTGGCAATGTCCGAAAAGCTCCGGTGAGGATTTGGGACCGACCGCGTCCAAGCATGTCACAAGCGCCCTGAGTTTCTGGAAGTCGCATGCGAGACTGAAAGCCTGCATCCAGAAGGTTCTTGAAGTCAAGAGGGTGACAAAACTTGAAAGTACTTTTTCCCAGAATACTACATTCGCTCGGCCAAGCGTCCTTCTGTGTGTTGTGAGAGAGGTTTGACTTGGCAACAACACTCCGACAGGCCCCACTCAACTTTTTTATAGCTCAGAAGACTTTGTCTCACCCGATCCTGCAGGTAGTCTAAGCTCTTGAGACCCCTACTCTTTCTACTCGTTGTGGGTGAGCTTCGGCTCTGCAACAATGCCCCGAAGCGGCACAATCTCTAGGTGATCGACCTTCCGATCAAACTTGGTCTCCCCCGTCTTGCAGGTACCCCAAAATCTCCGAACCCTTGAACCGCTGCAGCATCGCCGCTGCCTGCCCCCTCCCTCCCGCCTCAGACGACGAACCCGCTCACTTCCACACCGATACCAACCTCTCGTCGCCGTTCTGCGGACAGCTAGGCCCTGTTTACCTCTTCGACGACGCTCTGTCCACTTCCCAAGCGGCCGCGATCCACCAATTGGGGCCCAACTACATGTTCTCCTTTCAGAACCAGGAAGTGGGCTGCGTGCCAGATGGCGCGAGGAGGGAGATCGTCGATCTGATGGACGGTCGAGATGGGCTCGCGCCGCGGGTGGTGCTCGCGTACAATGCGCAGGCCAGCCTCGGGAGGACGGTGTATAACAACGCGCCGTTTGCGGAGCAGAGTGCGGAGCTGGCGTACGACGCGGCGATCCTGGGGGGAACGCAGTTGTGCGTCACTAGGAAGATGCAGGTGAGTCGTAGCTTCTATAATTGGATAGAGCTTGGAGGGTTGTGAGCGGTTGAGGAATTGCTTGAAACCAACTGTGATATTCCCCGCTTGACGACGGTCCCTACCTGAGCGTCTCAATGCATTTTGCTGACAACAAGTCCCAAATCTGGTCGCTTTCTACCAGATCTATTGACATACATATCAGCTGAAGTTCTCGGTGAAAATGTTCAACATCACAAATTCGCTTCCACTGATAGAGGCTAGTCCTTGTTCGCTGCAGGCTTAAGGTGGGAAAGCTTGAAGATCTAACCTTTTTGGATTGCCCTCTTTCAGTTTCCGCTCCTCATCTAAACACTCACTTTTCGTTCTCGTTCTTGGCAGGACGTTATTCACTGCGTCGGAGGGATCCCCTCGCTTCTCCCCCTCTTCACCCAGTTGGACCAACCGGTCGCCTCTTCCCCGGACCTCGACTCCGAGCCCACGAGCCCCGTTTCCCCCTCCAACTCCACCACTTCCCCCGAAGCCTTATCTTCCCTCCAAAACGAAACTTCCAAGTCACTTGATTTTGCTGTCGACCACAGCATGGCAGTAGAAGTGATCGGGGCGCTAAGTGCAATGCTAACCAGCCACCCCGCTAACCAGGAGGACATGCATGCTAACCAGGGGTTTGCAGTGGTGGGTCACCAGCTGGAGCGGGTCTCGCCGCAGCACCTGACTGTAGAGTTTGTGCTCACGCTAGAGAAGCTGCTGACGAACATCCAGGAGGCGCCAGGTGAGGCCGGCAGCGCAAGAAGGCGGTCGGGCCGGGTACACGTTTTCTTTTGAAATTCCGTTGCCAGTATGGGTCTGCAGATGAGTTACAAACCTGCTTTTGGACGTACGGACAGCGTTGAATGGCCGCAAACCTGCGGACGTCACAACAAGTGCTTCTATAGAGTTTATTCTACCAGAAGAAAATCTCAAGACTGTTTTGTCAAGGATCCACCTGACGAGTCCGGTCGTTCTCTAGGCTCTTTCGTGTCTCTATCCTGAGCCAATATTCTGTCTTCCAAGAGCCGTTATTTGGGACTGTTGACCAACGTCTTCAATACAGCCATTTGCTGCATTGACGTCCGGCTGGACCGTGAATATTTTCCTAGGCTCTGTTCGGCAATCTTCTCAAAAGTCTGACCGACCAGAATGCGGCTCGTTTTCTGGATTGGCATCAAGGACCTGTTCGGACGCATGTCTAATCATGTAGGGGCTTTGTCTTGTCTCTACTGTGTTTCGTGGGGGCCACTTTTCAATCTTTAGGTTCATCACTTCGTTTGACGCGCTGGCTCTTCGTCCAGGCCCTGTTTCGGACGCTCTCCTGGAGGACTGCCTCATCAAAGTATACCTCAATTTCCGCCTCTGGATCTACACGCCTTTCATCGTCCAGCGCGAGCTGCTCATCGCCCTGGCCCGCCACGTGGACAAGCAGCCGGCCCGGTTACGCAACCATTGCGGGTTAGCCCAAACTCTGGAGATTCTGCGTGAATTCTACTGGGACAAGCCGACGAGCTCGGGCGCGGCTGGCGCCCGACCGCTGTACCATCCGGTGACACATGACGTCATAGGGCAGCGGCCGGCCAGCCAGGAGGTGAGGGTTTTATGTTTATCAGAAAGCTCCATTGCAAGGATGAGATCACAGAGCGCAAGCTGGAACACAAGCTGTAGGAAAGTCTGAATGCTATTCCATTTGTACGGTGCTCTTGCTGCTAAGTGCCGCTTTGGAAGCTCTGTCGTCCTGTGTAAGAAGAAGCGCTGTATCAGGAGGTGGCCTCCAGAGTTGCTTCTCCCTTGGCTGCCCTCTTCCTGTTCCAATGTCTGGTTCATCGATCCAGATTTATCGACGGATATGTTATGCTCTGCTTGATGCTCGTTGAACGAACTTCCTCGCATGAAAGTCCTCAAGAGAGGCCAGAGGGACAAAAATGTTGCCAGGTCAGTGTTGAGGGCCGCAGTAAAACAGTGAGCGCGCCTGTCCAACTCACCACTTGTTAAGTTCCTTCAATAGTTCTTTGAACAATAATCCACGATTGTTACTTCCGCTCTGCCAGGTGTCCCAGTTGCGTGGGCTCCTCCTAGGCATCGCGGACCGCGTCATGTCGGACGTCGGCCCCTCTCTCGCGGACGTCCGCGCCCTCGTCTGCTTCCTCGAAAAGAGCCGCGACGCCGCCGTGCTCGAAGACGTGCTCAAGACCGTCGTAACACGCGCCCAGAAGAGCCGGCCGTTTTTGACTTCATTTGGCGAACACGTGGCAGCCTTGGGAGGGCCGCAGCTCTTCCTTGGGCTGTTGGCACGTGAGCAAGAACCACTGCGGCTGCTCGGGTTGCGGCTAATCGGGTTACTGTTGGCGGCGGGCGTCGGGTGTAACGGTCGGGAAAAGAAAGAGCGGAAGGGCGCAAGAGACGCGGTGGCGGCTGTAGTTGCAAACATAGCCGGGGGGAATAGCTCGATTGCGCAGGCGGTGCAGGGTGTTGACAAAGACACGGCGGAAAACAACAGCGCGGTGCTGACAGCTGTTGCGGAGAGTTTGCTCCCGACCGCTTTCACGGAGGCGCTGCGGGCAGCGCTCTTCGAGGTCCTGCTCGGGGGGGTGCCCGCGAAACCAAAGTCGTCCCCCCGAAAAGCGAGCATCGTGTCCGGGGGGTCGAAGTCGTTTCACGAGCGGATGTCTCCTGGATATGTCACGGGGCTCTTTGCGAGCCTGGGGGGTAAGACTGCCAGCCAGGGGGATCCCCCGGAAGATGACGTCATCGGAGGTGGCCCCGCGGCAGCGCCCCCCTCGACGCGGATCGCAATCCCCCCAGTCGCTGAGATCCTGCTCAAGTTCGTACTCAAGTGCGAAGATTTCGCCGTGAGGAAAGACGTTTTGAGGGAGCTGAACAGGCTCGCGGAGGCGAGCCCCGCAAACCGGGACGCGCTGCTCTCTCTGCCTGACTGGCAGGAACGGCTGTTCGACTTGATGGCCGACGAGTTCGCAAAGGCAAACGGGGAGGGAGCGGCTGCGGCGCTCAAGGAAACAGCCCACGAAGAGGAGATCATGGTCCGGACGCTCTTCCGAACGCTGCACGTGCATTGCTGCGTCCAAGTCAAGGCCGGGTGGCGCCACCTGGAGCGCACAGTCAACTTCCTGCACGCGTTTTCGGAGCGGGAAGCGCTCCCCGGGTTCTATATTCTGCACGATCTGCTATCCGACCTCGTCGGCTTATTGCTCGAGATTCCCCCGACCCAGTCCGCGCTCAACCAGCAGCCGCTCCGCGATTGCGTCGCTTATATCTTTTCGCTGACAGACGAGCTTGTAATGGGCGATCTATTAAAGATCTCGCCCGCCCCTCCATCCTGGGACCGACGACAATCGGACGATCCACCGTCGTCCGATATCGCTCTGCTGTCCGGAGATTACATTGACGTCGGTCTGGGGTCGTTGCTCTCGCCCACAAAAATGGGGGGAGAGAACACAGCACCCAAGTCTCCTACCAGTGCAGAATTCCCCGCTACCCCTAGTTCCAGCGCCTCCAGTCCCAGGGTCACCAGCAAGCGCACCTCATTTGGAGCAGCAACCGCCGAAACGCCCAGTCGGCGCGGATCCTATGACGTGGCAACGCCGGACTCCGCCACGCCAGCCCGGCGGAAATGGCTCCGTGGGGCGTTTGCAAACGGGAAAATGGTCATGCGCACTCCTAGTTGCTGGGCGCTGTACGACCAGATCTGGAGACTCCTCGAAGCGATTCACGGAATTCGGAAGGGGCCTAGCGCCGGCGGAAACGAAGCCCGGCTGCTGCCAGCGCCCCAGTCGCCCACCTCGGGAAGCTCCAGCGGTTCCTCCCGGGTGGCGGCCCTGCGGGAGAAGGCTAAAGGGTTTGTGGACTCGCTGGAGCAGAAGGCGGCGGAGTTGACAAGCGGGCAGCCTCAGTTTGCGGCGGGGGTCCAGACGAAGCTGAGCAGCGCGATGCTCGACAGAGTGGTGAAGGGGCGGGGCGAGCGGTGTCCCAGGATTGTGTACAGACTTGTGTTGCTCTACCTGAAAGAGGTGAGACTCCATCCCTTTTTGCAACTTTTGGTTCTGGCGTCTCATACTGAAACGTCTGGAACTGTATGCATCGAGCAGTCGAAGTTGCTCGGAATATTTGATCACCCGAGGAATGCGAACGTCGTCGAGACTGTAGCAACCAGCTTCGTTGTATGGCCCAAAGCTCCTGAAGATCTCCGGTAATCGCAACTCGTTGCCGCAATGGTAACAAGCAAACGGCGGGTTACAATCCTGACACGATCAGCAGTGGCATTCAAATCAACCGGCCCTCCGCCATATTCCAGCATTATATTCCAATAGTACATGACATCGCGTCCTTTTCATTTGGCAGTGCGACCTGGAGGGCGCCAGCCGGTGCATGCAGCAGTTCCTGGCGCTCCTTCCCGGTTTGCTGGGCCCCGCCGGGGGCGGCCAAAACGAGGCGACCGCCAACCGGCTGCAGCACTTTCTCTGGTCGCTGCTCGACGTGCGCGCGAGCGTGGGGCAGATGGACAACGGGGCGCGCTTCTACGTGGTACGGAACTCGAGCAGCTTAGGTCGTCAATCTTGAGAAACGGTTTCAAACGTGTTGGAAAGTGCTTTGACGAGGCAGCTATCTCAGACTGGCAGTCGAGGTCTAGAAGGGGACGACGTCGCTTCGGACGGGTCGCACTCAAGGGGGGACTAGCAAGCTGATGGTGACCATCTTAGACCAAGAGACATAGATTCCTCTTTGACGTCCTTGGGGCTTTCGAGTAAGAGAGCGTTCTTTATGTTCTTCAGCTGACCGGTGCGATCCGCCCGGCTAACGGGCTTTTGTCGTCCTTTTCGAGTCCTTATTGCGCTCGAGGATACAGTGACTCGATTGGTCCCAAGACTCTTCTGTACCCTCTCCGCGTACTTCAGAACAAAACCTCTCCAAGGTTTGCCAATATTCCGGTGCTTTAGGGGGACCGCCAGCCCGCACACTGATTCAGTCGCTGAAAGTGGTGGTGTGTGCCCAAGGGCAGCGGCGGAGCCTCTGTGATGTTGCATGACTCTTCAGCTCAAAATTCTTTGAGCTCCTTCGATAGCAAGGCAGAAATAAAACAGGCATTCGTGGCAATCCCTTAAATGGTGAGCCAGTTGTTGCGGGACACTACGACTCAGGGTGAGGGCGCGCTCGGTAGCATGCGCAGAACAGCGCTCGTCGACCTCTGTGAACGAATGAAACCCTTCTCAACCTTCGAAACTGCTCTTGTCAGCATCGAAGGCACTTCTTCGACAAGGCGAGGTAGCTTTGTCCCGAGATGCTAGAGCGCGAGGGCAATCTTACCGAGATAGTACCGTCTCAAACCTTCTCACTTTTCTGCCCTGAGCTTATGTCATTTCTAAACTCGAACCGTTAACTCTGTCAGGTGAGCCAGCTGCTGCGAGAGACGGTGGAGCAAGGGAAGGGCGCGCTCGCGAGCAATCTCAACGACCAGAGCTGGCTCTCGGTGCGGACGTCCGTGGTGGAGTCGGGGGAGAGCGCCAGCACCATCCACAGACTACTGCAGCAGGTAATATGGCTGCGTTTTTGAACGGACCAACTCGAACAGCAAAAATGGCGTGATGGAGAGGGTCCGTTGCTGTATTATTGCGGATTGGAGGGGTGTTTGCCATTGTGCGTGCCTTGGTGTTGGGTCACGCGTGCGGAATGTAGTTGTTGAGTCAACCGTGCGTGTTATGATTATGAGATCCAGCGCGAGAATGCATCTCCAGTGGACCACCGGAATGCTGGAGCGCCCTCATTTTATTGGCAAATGAAAGTTTCGCCAGATTGCGCTAAACAAGGGTCTCATTGTCGATATATGTGAAATGCTTGCTCGCTTTGGTTTCGTTTGCCAAGCTTCCTTCTCAGCATCCCTTGTCCTCTTTCCTCTGCGGAAAAGCATGCTTGCCTATGCCCGCTCCGGCTCTTCTGTTTTCCATAAATTGTAAATGCATAAATTGTAAATGTCCATGGATCACGAAGTTCTTCGGGTCATGATTCAAGCGGCTGGAAGCATGGTTTCCACCCCCCGGGACCGCAGTTAAACCGCTGATAGCATGGTTCTCACCCCCGAAAGACCTTGGTCAAGCTGCTGACAGCATGATTGTCAACCCCCAGGACTATGCTTAAGCTGCTAACAGCATTATTCTCACCCCTCAAGAGCCGTGGTTAAGTCGCTAACCGCATAATTCTTACTTTTCAGGACCGCGTGATTGCCGCCGTCAAGGACGAGTCCAGTTACGTCGCCGCGATCTCCGCCCAACGCAGCCGCGAAATTTACGCCCTCCAATCGGAGCTCTCGGAAGCTGCGTCCGCCGAAACCCGCTGCCGCACGCAGATGGAGGAAGCGCGCCAGCTGGCGGTGACGTCAGCAGTGACGTCAGACGCGTCCCGGCGCGCAGTTGCGCAGCTCGCGGCGGACGAGGAGCGGGCGGCGGTCGCGAGGCACTGGACGCACATGTACAGGTGGGAGGGCAGGGGTTTAATCAGGACGTCCGGCAGACCAGTTCATTAGCCCGATCTGTGCCATGGTCGAAAAGAGCAACAAGTCGCTTCGAACCCTCAATGAAAAGTCGAGCGCACTTCCAGTTGGGCTGGATATATTCATGTCCAGGGTGGATTGAGGATCCACGAGTCGCGTCAGTATATGTCGTCTGACGCCCTCTTTTTGAATTGCTTGGGACAAGACCGTGTCACTATCGTCTTCCCTTTCGATGTCAAAAACTGGACGCTCCAAAATCGTCGTAATTGATTGGTTCTGCCCAAACCCTTTGCGAGAACCTGTCTTTTGCGTGTGGGCTCGTGCATGGCTAAATCTTGCCAAGTGGGACTGTTATGTGAAGATTGGACGGCCGCAACACGCAATCAGCCATCGTTATTTTCTATGATCTGTTTGTGTATAGGGAGCTGACAGAGGCGCGGGGGCCGTGGGCAGCCGAGCCGGGGGGCGGCGAGGCAGGGGCCAAGTGGAAGATGGACCGGACAGAGGACCGCTCTAGGCGGCGACTGAAGGTGAGGAAAAACTGTTCCCACTTTTCTTTGCTAAGGTAGAGCAACGAGAGCGATGCATGTTTAGCTAGAGCAATGGAAGCGGTGCTTGCTTGAGTATTTGCACGAAGTAAAGATGAAAACGAGACAAGTTGCAGGTCCTGCAGGTGCTAAAGGCGGAGTTTTTAAACATCTTCTGAATATGCTTCTGTTGAGAAGGAAAGACCAAAAACGAGTCCGAGATGGATGCTGACCCTGGTCGCGAAAGCTGTTGTTCGAAGCTAGTGTGAGCGGAGCTGCAGAGATTCTCTTTGTGAACAAGGACGGATTTCTCCCGTCCGTTCCTTACTCGCCTTTCTCCTTGCAGCTCAAGCGAAACTACGACTTCGACGAGAGCCTACAGCAGCCAACCCAACAGAAGACCGACAGGACATCCGAGAGCGAAGCTCCGGCAGGTGGCGCCTCTTTACCCATCCTTAAAGGCCTGAGGGGTTTGGTCGCGCAAGCATGGGGCAAAGAGGGGGACGATCTCGCAGAGGACGATCCCCCCGAAAGCGCGAGTGCGGAGTCCGACCTTCCTGGGGGGGAGGAACCCGGGGCGATCGACCCCCACGCCGCGGCGGAAGAGTTCGAGCGCAACGACAGCATGCGGCGGCGGCGCGAGAGCGGGGCCAAGGCCGGGGCGTCGGGGAACGACGCTGACGTGGACCAGGAGGTGCTGATGTCAGCGCCGTGCGTGCTGGTTCGGGCGCAGGGGAAGGTCGCCGGGCGGTTAGAGCTGACCAAAACGGCGGCCCACTTTTACGGGGAGTACGAGGTGGAAGGGAGCGGGGGTACCAGCGTTTTTGAGGGGTTGGAAAAGGGCAAAACTGGGGGAAAGGATCGGATACTGGAGAGTTTGCTGTCGGTGAAGCCGAGAGGCGGGGAGGGGAAGAACGGGGAGCCGGACCGGGTTAAGAAGCACCGGGTTTGGGTTCTGAAGGAGGTCAAGGAGGTGCACCTGATGCGGTACCTGCTGCGGCACAGTGCGCTGGAGCTGTTCTTTTACACGGCGCAGCGGCCGGTGTTCTTCAACTTTCCCTCCAACAAGGTGCGCGACAAGGACGGAGTCTTTTAGATGACACGCGTTCGACAGCCGTTTCGTACTCGTAGGCTACGAAGCCGTGACAATCCCATCGGTCCCGCATACTTTGAAGCCTTCTAAGCGTTCACTCCCATGTCTCGCTCGGAGATCACTCACAACGCTTCAGTTCGGCTGCAATAATCCGTTCCCAACTGCCCCGCAGCGAGAGCCTGCTCCACTCGCAATCCGGAAAGCATACCGTCTGTTTCCACATTCCGCAGCGTCATGGTCAAGCTGATGCGGTTTTGGCTTCACTAATCAAAATCATTCTGCAATCGCAGAACCAAGCCTACTCGGAGCCCCTTGTCTGCAGGTCGCCGAACACATGTCCCCGGCCTTCTAGCGTCTTGTCTGCAGTGTTATTCAAAGTTTTTAGTTCAGGTCCCGGACATCCTACGACCTTCAAGTTCCAGGGTTGGCATCACCCTCTCCTCTGCAGGTCCACGAAGACGTTGTTCGGGCCCTCTGCCTCCTCTCCCCGCTGATCAACGCGCTCGCGGCCGGCCTTGGCATCTCCGGCACAATCTGAAATGAGAGTCTGCAACATCCAGCTTTCTGGCGTGGTTTATTTCGACAGCCTCAACCCAGAATACCGGAATGCTGAACTTGATTGGCACCCTTCTCTGCAGGTCGCAAAAGACGTGGCTCAAGCTCTCTGCTCCCTCTCCCCGCTGATCGACGCTCGCGCAGCCGGCCTCGGCATCTTTGGCACTGTCTAGATCCAGAATCGCGACGTCAAAGCGCCGATCTTCTGGCGTCGGTTTGCCGTGGGTTGAGATCGGAATGCTAAAGCTGATCGGAACCTTTCTCTGCAGGTCGCAAAAGACGTGGCTCAAGCTCTCTGCTCCCTCTCCCCGCTGATCGATGCGCGCGCCGCAGGCCTCGGCATCTCCGGCACGGCCCTCATCGACAAGCGCCGCTCGCTGGAGCTCGTCGAGCGCGCGCGCGACGCGTGGCGCCGCCGGGAGCTCTCCAACTTCGACTACCTCATGGCGCTCAACACGCTCGCGGGCCGGACGTACAACGACCTGACGCAGTACCCGGTCTTCCCGTGGGTGCTGTCCGACTACGCGTCCGAAAAGCTGGACCTGTCCGACACGTCCAAGTATCGGGACCTGAGCAAGCCGGTGGGGGCGTTGGATCCGAAGAGGCTGGAGACGTTTGAGGAGCGGTTCCGCGCGTTTTCCGATCCGGACATCCCGAGCTTTCATTACGGCTCGCATTATAGCACTGCGGGGGTGGTGCTGTTCTACCTCCTCCGGTTGGAACCGTTCACGGGACTGCACCGGTCGCTTCAGGGGGGCAAGTTCGACCACGCCGACCGGCTGTTTCACAGCATGGAATCCGCCTGGACGAACTGCCTGACGAACACGAGTGACGTCAAGGAACTAGTGCCGGAGTTTTTCTACCTGCCCGAGTTTCTGGAGAACGCGAACGGGTACTGGCTGGGCGTGAAGCAGGACGGGGCGCGCCTGGGGGACGTCGTACTGCCGCCTTGGGCCAAGGTAAGGGTTGTTTCCTTATTGTCATAAGTGGTTAATGGGTTTAAGGCGGGTTTTGATCGTTTGCTTTGTTAGTGAGAAGAATGTCAACGGTATCGGAAAGAAGCTTGGGGTTTCGTAGCCCAAGAACTCTAAGCACGGTTCCAACTGGTGGAGAGATGAGACTCGTTTACTCGAAGAGACTCCATAAGATTCAGCATGAAGAGACCATATGAGAATGGAACCATATTTACAATGTCACCAAATACGTCGCCTGACATTCCAAGAGCTTGTATCTGCAAGCTTCGGTCTGACCTCAATCATTAACCTGTTCTCCTCTTTCTGTAGATCACCCGTTTGAGCCCCATTCTCATCTTACAACCCTGTTTCTTCGCTCCTTTTCGTCAAATGAAACCGGAGCCATCCGCAAAGTCGTAAATATGAAACCGTCCTGCAGGGCTCCGCGTCCGAGTTCGTCCGCCTCCACCGCGAGGCGCTCGAGTCCGAGTACGTGTCCGAGCACCTCCACGAGTGGGTCGACCTCATCTTCGGCTACAAGCAGCGCGGCAAGTTCGCCGTCGAAGCCGCCAACGTCTTCTACTACCTCACGTACGAAAACGCCGTCGATTTGGACGCGATCGAAGACGCGGTGGAGCGCGCGTCGGTGGAAGACCAGATTGCAAACTTCGGGCAGACGCCCGTGCAGCTGTTCCGCAAGCCGCACCCGAAGCGCGGGCCGCCGATCCCCGTCGCGCGGCCGCTCTACTACGCGCCTGCGTCCATCACGCTGACGTCAGCCGTGCCCGCGGGTGAGCGTGGGGGAGTGATTCCCGTCAAGTTTTCTGGCGGGCTGTGTCAAATTTCCAGTTTGAAAGTGATCAAGAGTCGTAAAACCTTGAAGTATCTTGCAATCGGAGCTTTCGTCTCGACCTATGCTCGACGCTTTGAAATTGACATCATCTATTGAATTGCACATTGACAAGTTGCAGGCAATTTTCCGTTGTATTGTCTTCGCTCGGTCCCGCCGCCCTGATCTCTTCCATCCTCTACCTTCCCTCATCGTTCATACGTCGTTATCTTAATCTATCCATCTGCTCGTGAAGCATCCTAGCCCCTCTTTCAGAGCAGGTACGGTCGAAGTTCACCCTACCGGTTCCCAATTTGATTTGCTGCCAAACTTTCTTCGTTCTACAGTACCCTCCCCGCCCGGCCATGCTGCGCCAATGATGCCCCACCCCGCGGCGTTAGCTTTCACAGGGGTTGTGGACAACAAGGTGGTGACGATCAGCCGGAGTCAGGTGATGGTCTGCCGTGCGTGGATCACCCCGCACACGCTCCAGGCGGGCAGCTTCAGCTTTTCGTCCATGCAGGCAAGATTTCAGCCTTATAGTCCCAGCCTTCTTTGTGCTTATTTTCATTATGATTGTTCTCCCGGTGCTGCTGTCGTATAAGTTATGCACAGGGGTTGTTTCTTATGATCTTTCGGGATGTAACCTCTGTATTGCCGGAACGGAAGAATGATGAGTAGGGAAGGAATCTTTAGAGGCTTTGCAAAGCGAGAACAGAATGGCTTTAGTTGTACATCAAAAAAATCTTTTCTTCATGAGAAATTTTTCAATCTCGAGTGAATTGAAGCTCCCAGGAAACCGATAATCCGAGGCCGAATGACCTTTGCAGGACCCCTTCTTCGGCGTCAGCTCCGAGCCGCACTGCCAACGCCGTGTGGGCGCACCCTTCTCTCCCGGGCTCGACGTCTCTCCGCTTTTGTTCTCCGCTCTCCGCATCGGCGACCGCACGCTGCTCGTAACTGCTGGGCACTGGGACAACACCTTCAAGCTCTTCTCAGCGGACGACGGCCGGCTAGTGCAGAGCGTCTTACGTCACAAGGACGCGGTGACGTGTGTTGGCGTGTCGCCCGAGACTGGCGGGAGCCCCGGGGTGATCGTCGCGGGGAGCCGCGACACGACGGTAACGGTCTGGGAGACGGTTACCGTTCTCGAGAAGGGGTACTCGGGGCGCGCGGTCGCGGACCGGCCGAGCCGGGTGCTCTGCGGTCACGATGACGTCATCAACTGTGTCGCGGTGTCACGTGACCTGGACGTCGTGGCGAGCGGGTCGAAGGACGCATCGGTGATCCTGCACACGCTCCGTAACGGGCGTTATTTGCGGAGCTTTGCGCACCCGAGCAAGGGCTCGGTCGACCGGCTGGTGCTGAGCCGAAACGGGATGGTTTTGTTGTATAGCCACGATGATCTGATGCTGCATGTCGTTTCGCTAAATGGCGCGTGGCTCGCGCACGCCGAAGCCAACGGACGGCTGAGCTGTATAGCAGTGAGTACGTCGGGCGATTTTATAGTCACCGGGGGGGAGAGGGGCAGCATCGTCGTTCGATGGGTGCACGATCTGCAAGTTGTGAGGAGATACGAAGGCACCGGGGTCCCAATCACGTCACTGCACGTCACGCCGGAAGATTGCTTCCTGGTTGGGCTACAGGACGGGAGCTTGCTTATCTTTTCGGTAGAAGCGCAGCAGTTGAAGAAGGGCGCTGCGTTCTTCAGCATGGTGGCTGACGTGTAATCTGGCAATTGATGTAGTTTTAGCATACTGCAGCGTGATCAAGAGCAGTGAGCGAAGTTTGGAAAATTCTTGATACTTGTACAAACGGCCTTGCTGCCAACTTTAGGCTGGCAGCGGTGGACGGGGGCGCTCTCTGGGGCCCTCAAGCAGCACAGAAGAAAAGCGCAAGCACTTATAGACCTTGCTTTCACGTGTTGGACCTCTGTATTCTTCTTTACCTCATTGCTTCTTCTTTTTTTTGCCACTGTATACCGGCCGCCGGCCCATACAGGCCCGGCGCATTGCATGTAAATGTGTACTGAAGCCCGCGGTATGTATTTAGCCATAGCTAGATTGGAAGAGTTGCTATGTAAATGAAGCATCATTAGCTCAGCCATCATCATGTTGAGATGGACGGGCCGTCCTTTATGTATGTATACGTACTGGAAGCTTATTCGTAATGTATAATTGTGCTGGCATGTGGGTATACGAGTTTCAACCAAGTCTGGAGCATTTATAAGTCAGTTTTTGGATGTGATGGGAGATGGAAATCGACAACTTTATACAAGTCTAACCTGCACTTGAGTCAGTGACTCATGGTCTAAGTTAATTGAGCGGAAAGGAATTCATCGCCAGACATATGATAGCCCCACCTAGGCCGGTACGTAGGGGTTCATTCATGCTAGAATTTTGGATGTGTGAGCATCTATTGTCAGCATTTTCGAAAGCTTTTGGGTTTGCATGACGTCGCGATGAATAACCTCTGCAAAAGCTGATCGATCAATAGGTAAGTGCCTGCGCGGTGATATGGAACGTAGCCCTTTTGTCACTCGCACCGTGGATCAATAAGACAGAAATGAGCATGAGAATGTGGAGTGCAGCTTTCAGCTATGCTTTAATTGATGGTGGTAGGTGCGTTGATGGGCGGCCGCAGCCGCGGCCCCCTTAAAGATCTCTACGAATCAGTCAAATGGGCGTTCTCCAAAGGAATCGAGATACCTTGTCATAGACTTCTTCCTTTGCTGTTTTACCCAAGATGAAATCCCCGTGTGCATAATGCGGAACGTAAAGCGTTTGCGGAGCATTGACAAGGTCAGCACGAAGCCTATGCACGTCGAGAGGATCACTAAGAGCATCCATACCCCCATAAGCTATGAGCATTGGAAGGCTTGAAGGGATACGCCGAAGGTCGTATGCAGGTGGGGAAAGCCTGAAATAGCGCCTAAGGTTTCCGACCCATCCGTAGTCATACTTGGCGAAGCGGCCCGTTCGAATCACTGCAAGGAGGACGACGCCCTTCAGTGGTCTTACAGTTCTGAAGAAAACGCGGACTTCCTGCCAGCTTCAAAGACTCCCTCCGTTCATACCCTTTCAGTCCGAGTTGGTTTTCGTCGAGCCAACCATCAACACCCTCCATCCACTGATGACATCCGAGGCCGAAGCGACAAAAGGGTCGTGGCAGAACCAGAAGCTGACCTAACAGGAAACCTCCATGCATGAAAAAGGTTAGCATGCATATGCGTGCCACGTGGCACTGCCCACGTGGAAGCGTGCACGGCAACTAGGTGTGTGCTCACTCTGGGCCAGGTGGGCGAGGTTCTTCACCGACGTCGACTGGAACTCGTACTGGAAGAAGAACGCCAGCCGGTCCATGGAGATGCAGCAATTGGGGCCTGCCACGTGGCACCCCGCGGTATGCACGAGACATTTATCGGAGAATCCCCGCAACATCTCTTTCTCCGAAGTTCCAGCAGATGCTCACGGAGTAGATAAAATATGTGGTGAAGGCCGAGGAAGTGAACAGAACGGCTAACAACAGGGTGGCACCGGGAGTGGGGACTGGCCCCGCCCCGAGAATGGCTGCACAGAGTCGCTCAACAAGTGCGCACAAGTGAGAGCGATTTCGTGCGACTTCCGCTCAGCACAAGGAAAATCTTGAGGCCGCCTAGTTCCCTGCCGTGGCTGCGGCCGGGTTTGCGAAGGGGTCGGTTGAACCCTAGTTGTAAAAAAGATTGCTGCACGCACAACTAGCAATGGCCGAGTGTACGGTTGTTTACAGGTCGAAGCTCTTTCCATGTACAGAGCAGGAGAAGGGAAAGGCCGAAGTAGGCGGGGCCAAAAACAAGATAATGAGAGGAACAGAAAAGTGGGCGCGCGCGCACACCTGTAACGGACGCCAGGATGCTGTTGCACCGGACGCCCTCGTGCGCGCACGCTTGGCCCGCCATCCGCTCAACCAGCGCGCTGCACACTCCTCGACAGCCACGTGTCAGGGGGCGCTTAGACTACTCTCAGGTTATTGATTTTATTGTCAAATACATTCAATCGTTTGGAACGTTTGTCGAAAACTCTCGCAAATCTTACATTTGTTCGCCAATCACGTGGATCACAACGTGGCAGACGCCTCGAGTCAAAGAGGGTCCGCTGTTAGGGCACTGAAGGAGCGCGAAGCGGAGCGCTCCGTCTGTCGAGTTCAGAGGCCACGGGCCGAAGAAGATGCCGAGACGTGTGTGACGGATGATTAGGTATATATCTTCGGTGTTGCTTGACGGAAAGTGACCAAAGGACGCACCTGTTGATGTTAAACTCGTATAGGCCACTGTCTCGCACCGCCTGCAGAGCACCAAAACACATTCAAGGAAGTTGTGTAACTGTGCGTCAAGTCGGGGTTTGATCTCGTTACCGACCAAAGTTTGTGTGAACCGCCAAGATCTCGACTCAATGAAGAAGAAAGTGAGCGTCACTTTGCGTGACTGAGCTGCAAAACATCTCTTGTAACTGGACAAGGGCGGCGAAGGAAGGGCATTGCGCAGTATTGCTGAAAGCTTTCGACACCTTAAATGTCGGTAGCAGTGTCAAATCGCAAGGGGCCTATCGGAGCAATCATGAAGTCGAATGGATACAGTAAGCGTTTGGCTTAGTGAACAAAAAGAGGACATAAGTGGGTGGGGTCGGTTAGGGAATCAGGTTTCGTGCAGATGACGAGCGTGTAAACCGTCAGTTCCAGGTGATATAAGTAGGTCAAGATCCATCGTGTTAGTTGATGACTGAAGTGAGAAGTTCTGGGGTTCCAGGCTTGTGTTCTGACCGTGTCGAGGTAGATGCGGGAGAAGACGCGCAGGAACGCGGACGTGATGTGGCCCAGGTACGCGATGGGGCACAACAGAACCGCCCGCGACAGCAGGGGAGCGACTCCGGAATCCTCCGCCAAAGCGGCCAGCAGGGTTAACGTGCCCTGTAATGAAAAGCTTTAAGGCTTCTAGGGTGTTAGCATCTTGTGGGGCACACAATAGGTGGCAATGCCCAGGCGGGCGCAGTTGGGCTCGGCCCCCATTCCCATAATTCATGTTTGTTCTGGGACGGAACCTTGCAAAGTTGTAAACGAAGTGTGTGGAAGCACGTCGATAGAAGCACTTTGATGGGCTTCAAATGATCAGCAGAGTGTGTGGAGGGAGAAACACGTGAATCTGCAATTCGACTCTTTGCCGAAAACCCTTATGTCTCCCCCTCAGCAATCACCGGCCGTACCTGGCGTGGCCCACGTAGTGCTCCTTGCCCATGCTTGTTCCTTGTCTCTTTTCCCAATTCTGTTCATTCACCAAATATCCTCCTGTCGTTTCCTTCTGACTACAAGGGCCGTACCTGGCTGTGACCCACGTAGAGCACGTTGGCATTGCATATTTTTGTCGCACTTTTTCTACACAAATATTCTTGCTAAACTTTTTGTCCACCTTTCTCTTCCCTCCGAACACAAGGGCCGTACCTGGCTGTGGCCCACGTAGAGCACCTTGGCCTGCGCTAGGTCGTGCACGTAGCGCAGCAGGGCAGGCAGGTCATCTTTCGCCAGGTCCTCCCAGCTCCAGTCCCAGTAGCGCTGCACGCAGAACAGCCAGGTTGGAAAAGAGAATCACGAGAACCGATGGAGAATCACGAATCCATTTGCGGGGTGAAAACAAGAGGAGTCCTTGCTGAAACCAAAAGTATTAAGGAGATGAAAAAAGAAAACTACCAGAAGGAAGCAGGCTGAAGCAGGAGGGTCAGGGGCCCAGAAAATGAGTTTGCAACCAGATGCAGATTCCAAGCTTGTTTGGATGTTCTGGTTATTCAGCCGTCCAGATCTCCAGCCAATCTGGGCGCGCATGGAGCAACTCTAGTGTGGCTCTCGATAAAAGGAACACATGAGACAGGGAGTGGCTGAGACCGGCCGATGGTGTCGACATAAAGAAGGGCACCATGAACGAAGAAGAAAGGCTCGAAGACAAGCGATTGATTGGAAGAACAAGAGTTCTCTTGATTTGCCACTTTCAGGCAGGGATTGGGTAGCACTTAAACGGATTCAAACATGCCCAGACAGGATTGATAAAAAGGGACGCCCATCGTCCTCATCTCAGAAGTCAAATTTGCACGAGACGTATGCTTTCTTGGCGTGCCCACCTTGTCGCTCCGCGGAAGCGTGGTGTGGTTGCTCCAGCGCGCGCCCCGGAAGTTGCCAAGGAATACGTTGAAGCCAGCATCAGCGAGCGTGAGGGCGAGCGTGTTTTCAGCTGCAGTAGAGTGCACAAACATCAGCCGCATCAGTTCAGTGACAAGGAGACCGTCGCCCGACCCAGAGTGAAAGAAGGAAGTGACTCTTACAAGGAGAGCAGAGGACTCCCCAGAGGCCAGCCAAGCAGTGAAGGGAAGCTTTCTCTTAGCAGAAGGCGGAGGGCCCTGAATGCATGTAAAGGACACAAGAATGTTCAGCAAACAGTTTGTCGATGACAGGCCTAACGTAAAGTGGTGGAGCAGGCAGTCATACCTGGAAAGTTCAGTAGCCAAGAGTCGCCACCTGGATGGAAGAGAAAGTGGTCAGAGTAGGAACTTTCCAGGGCTATGTAGGGAAAGCCTCTGAACCACTTTGTCCATATGCAAAGCAAACAGGGCCTAAGCTCTATTCTTGTGCCATTAGGCACTTGAACAACCACCATACCTCAAAGGTTCAGATTGAGCCGCTGCCATGGTTGCTATGTTGTTTGGGTGGCCAGTATTGTGTCAAGACTTTGGCTGCCCCACATAAGCACACCAAGCATGATGATACTCCCCCTTACGGAAACTCAAGCTCAATGTTTCACCATGTCACATAACTCGTCAGACTTTCCTTTGCTGTCAAGTCTCATGATATAAGCCAAACTCATTTTCAATCAACAATCAAACCAACCAGAGCGGTTGCACATCAAGCCTACTTTCCTCCCCCACATACTTAGTTCAATATGGATAAGTCAGCATTGCGGATACATCAATCGCAGATTTACACCAGTCTTCAAAAGCAAGTGTCAGAGAACCACCCCACAGATGAGCTGCCAATGGTTTGGGGGAGGCGGATACCCCACCTTGCAAGATGCCATGCATCAGCAGGACGGGCGGGCGCTGCTGAGGTGGCTCTTCCCATCCCTCGCTCCCAGCTTGCTTCCCTCCTGGGATTCGCTGGAGTGCGAGAACAAAGCCTTCTTTGGTGGTCACTGAGTGGTCTTCGCAGGGGTAGCCTCGTGAAAGGACCAGCTCACGGCAGATCACAGAATCCCCTGGCTGATTGCTGGGGCCACGTCCGCTATTTTGAACGTTGTAGTCTGGTGTCACGTAGCTCAGTCCTCCGTCTCTGGTTACTACGGCATTGCAGAAGATAGTGCCATGCAGTGCTACGAGAAGTGCCACCACCTGGGGATGAAAGCGAGCAGGCGCCATGTCTCCTTCTTCTTCAGGGGTTGGAAAGGAGTTAACGTAACATGGCAGTAACCCAGACCCAATCAGCTACATGACTGGACAGACGTTTGCAGGATATTTTGTTCTCATCTGATCAAACCCAAAAGGTTGGCCAAGTGTGGCAGGGCTCTTGGACTCAGAGGCACAGGCTTCTTGGTGTAGCCGTTGTTGGCTGCCTTATTGAAGGCTTTACGCATTGATTGCAGCTTATTGCTGAGGAAACGGATTTCAAAGAGAGCGTTGCACTAAAGGGGATTCACGCTGGCAATCTATAGGTGAACAAAGCGCCTGGGCAAAACGCCATCAACTCAATGCAGCGGCTCGGCGAGTGCATGCCAGGCGCAAGCTAAGGCAGCTGACACCGACTGACGCCAACAGTCGTACAGGCGAAAAGGAAACACGAGATTGTCCCCAAACCACCCCAAACCCTATAACCTGTAAAGCAGTCGGGATAGCACCACCGGGTTTGGAATGTGAGGTCAAATTTTAGGGTGGACCCTCGGCCGGTCGGATCGAGAGCTACCGGCTGAAGCCAGTCAACACCAGCCGGGTTTACTTCTCTTCAACTAAACCCAAGGCACTCCCCTGCGGCCCGCACTGGCCCCTGGGCCGCAGCGCTCCGCATGAAACCTTATTGACGAGAAGCTCGCTGATGAACAGTTCCGTATCTGTGCACTTGCGCGAGGGTGAATTACCTTACTCATTTGACGTGAAAGCAAGGATATTCCAAGAATTTGGAAGCCCGCAAAGTGTGCCTGAGAGTTCTCTGAATGTGCTGGAAGATCATCAGCGTGTAAGTATGATGGTGTCCCCTTGGTGTCCCTGGTGTTAATTACGTTGTTGTTGATTCTGTCGTACTTAACTTGGTCTGACAAGGCGTTTGAAAAGGTCTGTTGAAAACGTTGAATATAGACACCGTTCGAGAGCCAAACGAACAACCAAGAAACCAAGCTGACTAGCAACAGTAGTATTGAGCTTGTTTCATGCCTCATGCCAAATCTTACGGTGAGTCTTTAGAGTAGGTGCTGGACGTTTGATGTATCGGAGGGATACAGCTGGAAAAGCATGTCAAAATCAAAGGTACTCCTGAACAGAATTCGGCCGATCAGAGTACCCGCTTAAATTATATATTGGCCACACAACGTCTTACAAAAACCGTTTGCAAAGCGAAGTCGAGGTCCAAATACCTTTAGAGAGCAAGAAGTGCGGACCTGCAGTGGCATTGTAACTCTTCTTGTAAGTTGAGGATTGTCCAGGGACCAGTGTCGCTCATGCGGCAAGCATGTGATCTCGGTGACCAGTCGTCAGGTAGAAGGCTCGTAAGCAGACTCAGAACGAACGATGCTTTTCAAAATTGTTGCGCATGCATCCACCAGCAGGCCGCTCGCTTTGCAAAAGAATCATTGAGCGAGCGGCTTTACGTAAGTTGTCCTTGTCCGATGGCTTTACGTAAGTTGTCCTTGTCCGATCAAAAGTATCTGTACATACACATTTTCTGAAATGCCACTGCAGGAACAACTCAATGCTCGTGAAGAGAATCTACCTTTCAAAGTCAACGTCATTCTTCGACGTCGTGTATACATTTCTCTGCAAAAGCCTATACGTATACGTGCTACATCCAAAACTTGGCAGGCTTTCAGTACGTTTTATTGTCCCTTAACGACTTATCTTGTCTTAAGTACTTATCTTCAAACCCTATCAAACCCCTTGCCTACTCGGCTTCCAGAGAAATCTTCGTAGCCGCCCCTGGCACGCAGATTCCCCCTCTGGCTCCCACTTCTGTGCTCCCGTATCGCTCGCCGTACAAAGGGTGGATCGGACGGTCGTTGGGCGGCGACAGCCACAGGCGCAGCAGGTGGCGCTTCTCGTCGGGCCCCGGCTGCAGACGTTACCCAAGGGTGGACACGTGTCAGAAAAAGGGGCGGGCTTGCAAAAAGAGACTGTGGTGTGAATCGAGGGTTCGGGAAGAATGACGAGACGATCTGGTCTTCGAGCGAATGATGGATTGCTATTCGAACACGAGAATGTCCACTGCCGGAGGCCACCTTGAAAGGGTTTCCGGGATGTTTGTGTCAACACAAGTAGATTGACAAGATGAGATGGGTTGGGACGTGGCAAAACTGGGGCTCATGAAACGACATTTTGATTACAAAAGGCCTTTTGCCCACCCAGCCCATCACCCTTTCTCCTGAATCCCGCCTGAGAACCACCTGGGTTTGCGACGAAAGTCACACTGCAATCTGGAGTTATTGATCGGATCGCCCAGATCACGGCCCTCTAACGAAGCCCTTCAAAACACCGTGGTTTGCAACTGAAAACCTCGACAGTGCGATCCACTTTTGGCAACTCCATCTTAAACGGCCCGGACACAACACAAAACGCAGACAAGTTTCTCCAATGAAACCGACCGGGTTAAGGGCTCACCCCCCAGTCCGTGTAGCCGGTCCTCATGTGCACCGTCTGGTGGTTGTTGAGCAGCTGCAGGTCGCCCACTTCCAGCCAGTAATCCAGCCTTACCGGGCTGCTTCCGGCGACCCGGTCAAACTCTGCGATCGCCTCCAGGCGCTCGGCGCTAAGCGGGGGAACGCCCGGATGGCGCTGCGCGGCCTGGAAGAAGCTGTTCTCGTAGTGGATCGTCAGACGGCCCTGCACGCAAGGTGAGTTCTCTTCGGTGGTTGTACGGTTGTTGTAGGTTTAGCACTGCTAAAAGCGGACTTTAGGGCGGCCCTGCACGCAAGGAACGGGTTTCATTTTCAACCAATTCAACAACCGCGTGGTTAGAGTTCTTCTCGTAGTGGGAATTCTTACGGAACTGCGGATGAGGAGTCCGTTTTGGACGACCTCATGCGGATTCGGAAGCACGATCAATGCGAATTCCTGCTGCCCTTTGCTGAAACGCCCAATGCGAACATGTACAACAATCTATTGCAACTTCCCAAAGCATCGTCCGACAAAGTCTCCTTGGGACCATGCCCGTCGAAGTCTTTCGACCTCCCTCCGCGCCATGCTCATTCGAAGAGGAGAAACGATTGGGATGATAGCGAATGCGCCCCTACCTGGTAGTAGTTGAAGACTGGCATGACGTAGTAGGGCTTCTTCCCGGCGGGCACCTCGTTCTTTCTGTCGATGAACCACGGCTGCGAGAATATTCTCACCAAGTCCGGCCGCGACCGGAGCAGCTCGTTGTAGACCGTGTGTGAACTGGCCCAGCTACTCAGGCCGCCCTCCTTAGCCACTTGCAGGCATAGAAGACCTGGGGGGTAGGAACCGGGAGACGTCAGCCGAGTGCCTTTATGGGGGATCATCCAGTCGTGGCAGCACCGGACAGCGACAGGGAGAATTTTGAGATAGATTCCAGTCTTCCAGAAGCAGAAGCTAATTAAGCAAGCCTAGAGGTCGGCCAACATATCTCGAACGTCCATAAAAAGAAGGCGTGTAAAACCCGTGATGGATGAACAGAGGACGTCAACTGTTCGTCTTACCAAGTCTGAGAAATCTGTCGGACTTCAAAGCTACGTCAAGATTCCGTCACGCTTACCTACGAGGTCTGCCGAGTCGCAGTGCCAGGGTTGCGGCCCGTGGTGAGTGTAGACCCTGTTCACGATGTTTGTGGGGTCCGTTCCGAGGTCCTGCAAAGCAAACGAACGTTCGGTGTCTGGCTCGCGCTGTAAGCCAGAGGCCTCTTATCTGTGACCAGAAATGCCCGTTTGTTGACAAGATGCGAGGCTCAAGTTGGGTGAGAGGACAAACGGGGACGTGAGTGCCGGCCCTGGTTCAGGGAAGGCGGGATCACAGTCGTCTCCAGCTTGACAATTGCTGTTCTACGTTAAAGTTGCGACAGCGCTTTGCAGCACGTTAATCTCGACCAGCTTGTAGGATGTTTCAATCTACAAAGGAACGGCAAGGCTTCCGTCTTAGCAGACCTCAGGAAAATCTGGTTTCCTTGTGACCTGACAGGCATTATCTGGCGTATTGACGTTTCTGCGCGCGAATCTCCGAAGCGACTTCGTTAAACGGCTTTAATACTCATGGTCGAATCCAGATCCACAAGACTCCTGTCTTCAGACAGCTTCTCAAACGCCCCACCTTCACGTGCCCAATCAGGTGCCCCTTTCCGTTTTGAGACACCGCGCGGCCCCAGTACGTCCCCAGTCCGAAGTACGCTAGGATCGTCTCTTCCCGGGACCACCTTTTGACAGGCAGACCCTTTAGCAGGTAGAATCCACGGCCCGTCACAAGCTCGTCTCGGATTGACAGCAGTCGGGGGCCGAGATTTGGCAAAGGAAAGTCAGCTTGGGTGACATCCTGAATGACAAAAAGGCCGGTGCGTCAATCAAAGATCATTTGTATGGAAGCCTGTTTGTTTGCAGATGCCTTGCTCCGTTCAGATACTCAGAGTGAGCGGTGTCCCTTCCAGGAGCACGAACTCGTCTGAGGCTTCTCCAAAGCAACCGTTGGCGCAGAGACGGGGATATTTTCGAGGTTTGCAGCGAAGGACGGGCCTGAAAAGCATTCATCAGCTTTGCGGATGAAGGACCGCCAAACATGGGCAGCTGTGGATATTGGCATGAAGGGCCCTTATTTGCCTGACAATAAAGCCGCGTTCTTCGACCCTACCCTAGGGAGAACGGCAACGCAGTAGAAAAGGAACGAAAGAGTATCAGGCGGGCATTGTACAAGCCGCCAATCTTGTGTCGCCGCTTTGTAAGACGTGGAAAGCATTCTGGTTCATATGAGTGCCTTTGCCAAAGCACAACATCTCACAAGTGGTCTCCATTCAGTGGACGTCTCTCATCCCTGACTGCGCCAGCTACGTTCAACAAATCCTTGAAGCATCGGGCAGGCAAAACCTGTGGGGTCGCCCATTTCAGCTAGCCAGTGACTCTTCTTCAAGCTTTTGGTAAGCTCATCAAAGCAACAAAAACAAGTGGGTGACTGTCCCTGTCTGCGAAGTCTGATAACAACTAAGAATACAAAAAGCGTAGTTTCTCTGCAGTCGCACAGGGATTTTTGGAGGTTAACTTTAGTCGGTTGAATGTCTGATAATCGGACTCAAGCAATAACCACGCTTTTAGCATGGCTATAACGGGGTTATTGGTCAAAGAACCGCATTAACTTCTGGGTATCAAACGTGGTTAGCAGCCAAACCTTCCTGTGTCGTTCATACCTTGGTCTGCTTCCCGCTCGCGCGCACGCCCGCGATGGCCGCCTCGATCTCCGCGACCTCGTCCGACGTCAGCACGTGCACCCACTCCGACTCCTTGTCACTGAAATCGCGCCCGTACCAGACCGACGGCCCCTCAACCGGCTTCAGATACTGCTCGTCATGAATCTCAAAGGCGCGCTCCAATTCTGAAGCGCCCACAGCGGCGGTGGGCTTTGCAGGTAGCTCTGCGAGCTGGGTAGCCGTCAGGATCTGCTTCTTGACTTGGTCTTGGAGACGGTCGACTTCGCTGGAAATGACGCCCTGACTGGCGCGTACAACGCCCGGCATTTTCGTTGCTTCTCGTGAGCTGAACGGAAAGTTGGTGGGCTGGAGAGGAAGGGGCTTGAAAGTACGAGACTCCGGAAGCCCCAGCTTTGCTGTGCAGTTTTGGAAAAGCTGGCTGCTCTTTTCTGGAACTGGCTTGGCTAAGGCCGGGTGCCAGCCGTGTGGCTGGGCACTTGCTTGGGAGAGAACCTGCATTGGATCGCAAAGATACAAATCCTCCTCAGAAATGGGAGAAGGTTGGCTTTAAGCGGGACAGGCGGACGTGGTTGCGACCTCGGAGTACCACTTGGTGATCAAATGTAGCAGCTGGACGCCTTTATATTAGGTTCTTCAAAGCGCTAAGAGCACAACTGCCCAGTCTTACAATATTGTCCTTTATAAGTCAAGTAAGACGCGCTTGTCCGCAAAATTCAATCCCATCAAGCGGAAGTACTGCCCGCCGCCGCGCTTTCTCAGAAGTGATCCCTAAGCGACTCATGAGCTTCGTTATGCTTACGAGGTAGAGAGTCTTCATGAATAGCTGCATTGATTGATCACATGATCTAGGTATTATAGGGCAATATACGTAGCTTCCATTTTCTTTTGACAAGCTCAGCTCCGCAGGACGCTACATACGCTGGGCGCTGCGCCATTCAAGTTCGCCGAACCTGTCAGACGCGCCGTCGTGACGGGGTCCACGTGTCGCCGACAGGTTGCGGAAGTCGTACGGAGGTTTAGCAGACGGCTCTGATTGGTCGGAACTGCGTTCGAAAGTTACTCAGCGGGATACGCGAGCAGTCGGTACCAAGAACCTGGGCTGCAGTAGAAATCCAGTCAAGAACCCTGCATGTCAAAACGCAAACCCCTAAAATGCATGAACGAAGATCCACGTCTGCTTAGTCTGAGTACATCCTATAAGCTGCTAGGGTACGTGGCCGCAACAGTCGCTGCCGGAGCTAAGAAGGGCACAGTGCGCTGAGTCACGACTTGCTGAGCTAAGTTCCAGTCGGCGGCCGTGCATTCCTGCCACTGCTGCAGTGGTGATCAGGACCCAGAATGAGATGGAGACATCATCATGCAGTTGTCAGCTCATGATCACAGGCTGCTGCTGCATGTGTGCAATGAACCGGGATTCTTGTCTGGCTGGCAAAACATGCGTACTGAGAATCAAATACCGTAGAGTTGTAGTCCTAGCTAGTCCGGCTGCCTACCCATATAATCGATCTGCTGGCTGCCGGTAGTAAAGCTTGAGACATTGCATCAGCGCCAGCGAATTTTGAAGCAGACTCTACCTGCCGCATGCGAGCACTGTAAACGCCTCCAAACGTTGAAGGACGGCGTATCAGTTTCTGACACATCCTGACCTGAACACGTCAGAATTTGACATAGGTTCAGGCAAATGACAGAGATTATAAGCTTCCCTTGCAGAAGCACCTGTGGTCTCAGACGGAGCAGCATTTTCCGTATTACATGCTACGCTGCAACCAGGTCTCCGACCTAGGGACGCAATCGTCTTGGCACTGCAGATTGGTCGTGCGATCTGCGGAAGTATTGACGGTTCAATGCATGTGGACATGGGAAAGGACGGGACCCTGGACCACAGGCTCTGGGTTGCACCGGAAAGCTCAAAAAGGGTACCGGCAGCAGCCACTCAATCCTTGACGGCTTACAATTTTTGGAGTTAGGCCTTTGTTCTTTCAGTAGGCTATCAAACAATGGTACTGCGGAATCACAAAGTTTCTTACGGGAATAAGTAAAAGCTTTTACATTGCCTTTCCTCAAAAGTTGATTGAAAGGCGAGCATTCGCACTCGTAGGTGCTTCTAATAGACCAGTGAAATTGGAGTACATATTGTGTGTTGGTCGATTTCAGTGGCAAAACAGCTCTCATTGACACTGGAACCTAAACGGAGCTGCCTGCGCTGCTTGATGCACGTCCAGTTGGTGTCAAGAATGCAGGACAAGGAAGTCGTGATGCCACTAGCAGCTTCAAACACTCACATCTGATCCCCTAGCCGCCACTCTCTGCAAACCAGCTTTGCACTCCGCTCACCCAGGCGCTTGATTAGCGCCTGGGCTTTGGGCGCTTTGGTCCGTTCTTCCCCGTCTAAGAGCCGCCGGTTTAAGCTCAGCCTGTGCACCCCAGTCCGCCCTGGAGGTGACCGTCCGCCTATTGCGAGCGTAGAAGTCTGTTCCTGCATTTCACTTTGAAGCGAGGATTACGCATTCAGCAACTAGGTATGGCGCCCCACGTGGGCGACGCGGCCCCGGTTGCCCACGTCAGCGAACCGGTCGTCAAAGGAGAGGCGAAAGATGGGACCTCCCACGACAACACGCAAGGTGGGTTGCAAAGGTTCTGTGAGGGGATATGAAAGCGAAGCAGAGTGAAAATATTTTAAGATGACCTTCGTTGAGCCAACATCGTTTCTGGAAAAAACATTTGTTCGTTTGATTGTCAAAGTGGCGGCTAATGAGGACAAGAGAGCGAGTCCGTGTCTTGACCGAGGTCAACGCCGTCTGCGTCGTTTCCATTTCCGTTCTCAACAGAGCTCTGTCTTTTGAGGACACGTCTTCGTTGCGATCCCTGCGTTTGCACCAGACCTTCGTAACCGTCTGCGAGACTATCTCATTGGCGCCAATTTCCGAAATGGATTGAATCATTCCCTCAACATGCGATTCCATATGAGGAGGCTTGTGCTAAGTCCTCTCACCCAGATTCTCTCACCCAAATCCTCTCGCACAGAATGTCCGTAACAATGTTTCTGGCCCTATTTGTACCCAGGCACTTACGAGGACAGCTATCATTACGAAGACGGGAGCCATGGCAGCGGGTTCTCTGAGTGGGTGCAGAAATTGATCTGGCGAGGGGGATCCAAGTATGACGCCTGGCTGAACGCTGCCTCCGCCCAGGTAGATATCGCTTTACCTGAGAAGTCTTCTCATATGACCTCCTTTTGGTATGAGCTTACTGTGTGTTGCTGAATGTGGTTTGAAGTCTGCATTCATTGATGGTCACTGACTCTGAAGAAGTTTGCGATTCGGCCTTCATATGCGCAGGTTTATATGGTGTGCAAGAAGTCAGAGCGGCACGTAAAGGCAGATTTCTAACTTTGACAGGATCTCGTGTGTGTTGTTGTCTTTCTTTATCCAAGTTTCTGCTTCTGCTCCTGCGCTTTGTGCGTATAGAGACTGTCTTTTGACTGAGCCGGGCACGAGTCCTGCTCAACGGGAATTTGATACGAAAGCTCAATCAGAGATCAGCTTCCAAAGATTGCCACAGAAGCTCAACTCCAGTATTACCTGCAAAAGTAAGTTCCCAAAAACAAAGTATATATTTGCCTCGATTTACGACCAGGCGATGCCATTCCGGTCGCTACTAACTGGAATTCGCATTTTGATCAGATGAACTCCCTGCTAGATTATTGCCTGCATTCCCGGTTGTTTTCATTCGATAGAGCACCTGGAGAGTAACCTAAAGCGCGGAGTGGGTCAAGGAAATGGCATTCGAAGTTTTGTCACAAGCATGCAGTCGCCTGATGTCAGACGTCCTCCTCTAGTTAATTCAGGAAAGGAAAGGAGATCATCTCATACGATCCCTCGTCTTTTTCGTCAGGCCCCATTGCTCTCCTAGACTGTCACCCTCAAGTGGGGCAGTAATCCTTTGGAATGCCTCGAAAAGCTGAGTGTCCAGGCCTTTTCAAAGCTCGCTCAGGTCTTTTCTGATTGGACCCCCGCTCCTCCTCCGCAGGTGGGGCAGGTCATTCTGACCCTTCCCACCGCGATGGCTCAAATGGGTTTCGCACTGGGTCTCGTCACTCAGTTCGCCTTTGCCGCCCTCGGCTGCTGGACAGCGTACCTTCTTTCAGGTACGGAATATAAGACTAGCCTTGGTGATGATTTCCAGGGAAGAATCTCTTTGAGTTCGATGTTCTGCTTTTAGGGGCATTCGAATCCGTTCTGATCCAGCCAATCTTGAGTGCTCATCACCTGAAAGACGCCTCAAAAAACACGGTCGATTGGGCTAAGCATTGTTTGGGTTCAGTTGTGTCCAAGTTCTGTCGAAGCGGTCCTTGGTCGGTTGATCGGTCCTTACTCGGATGAGTTTGTTGTCTGACTTGTTAAGTAACTAAAATAGTGTAGGTTAGGAAAGTTGTGGCAACCAGTGAGGCCCCGACGAGACTTGACCACTCAAACAAATTCGCAGACTCGTTCTTTGCCTTCTTTTCAATGCGAGAGGTAATGAACCGCCCCGTACGTTGTTCTTTGAATCTGTTCAACCCGTAGTCTGCCGAATGACCCCGTCAATCCATACCATGACGCCCTTCTGACTTCACCTTGACGCCACCTGCAGCCCTGTACGCGGAGCACCGGGTGCGCGGCGAGCGCGCGCGCGGCCCCAAGGCGTTCCAGGGCCACGTGATCCAGTATCACGAGATTGCGGGATCCCTCGTGGGGCCCTGGGCGCGCTGGGCGGTTGTTGTCTTCAATCTGCTCTCGCTTGGGGGGCTCACCGTGGTGCAGGTAAGGGGCCGCTGAGCCCCCCTGAAACGAGGGGAGGCATAAGTCACATTCGAGTCGGCAAGACAGTCCCAAAAATAGTTGGCGAGACTCTGATTGATTTCCCGCGATACGCGAGAGGAAAACGTAGAGGAGGACACGTCAGAGAAAGGAGCGAGTTGTCGACCAGGAGAAGGGATTTGATGGTGCTTGGGTGTTGTGCACGTTAATCAGCCGGCAAGAAGAACATCCTTCCAAATTCTTTGCCCATGTGGGCTCCTGACCAAGTTTGCAATCAGCTTTTAGTTGTCATTGGTTTTTGGCCAGCTTGCCAGGTCATCTTTCACCCAGCCACTAACCAGGTTTTCCCCCCGTGCCAGATCATCGCGTGCGCGAGCGACATGTACTACCTCAGCTCGGTCCTTTCCAAGCGCTCCTGAGCGCCCGTCTTCGGGTGATGTCGCTACTAATCCTGCTTTACACACGTCCATAACTACCTGGTTCAATTGTTCCTGCGGTTCAAGTCTTCAACGTGCCAATTTGTCCTCAAAAGAGCCACTGACTCAATTCTTCTCCTGCCAGATTATCGCGTGCGCGAGCGACATGTACTACCTCAGCTCGGTTCTCTCCAAGCGCTCGTGGGCGCTCGTCTTCGGGGGCATGTCGCTGCTAACCGTGCTGTTACCCACATTCCATAACTACCGGGTTTGGTCGTTTTTGGGTTTGGTGGCGACCACTTATACCTCCTGGCTTATGGTCGGGGAGAGCCTCCACGTGGGGCAGGCGCCCGGGGTGAAGCACCGGGGGCCTCACGACATTACGTCATTCTTCAGCGGGCTGACGACGGTTCTGTTCGCGTATGGAGGGCATTCAATCACCATGTGAGGGGTGCTCAAGTCGAACCAATGCTTTGCTTGTTGCTCTTGAAAGATTTTGAATGCTTTCGAAAAACGGATTGCTACAAGCTGGTCTCGAGTCTTATAAGTTCGGAAACAGACCCTGGGTTGTGGTTCTCGGCTGAGTTTGAACCTTTGAGACCCGAGATTTTTAACGAGAGTTGTCGATCCTGTTATGCCTTCTGGATAAGCTTTCAAATCCAAAGTGAAAAAAATCTGCGACGAGACGCCACGTTCTTGAACTTCAACCATTTCGCGTGGACTACAAATGAACTCCTTCCGAAATCATCTTGGTGTTGATTTCTGGAGGGTGGAAGGGGTCCATAGCTCTCCATTAAAGGAGATTCTGCCCCCATCTCAAATTAGCAGTATCACAAGTATTGAGCCGCCATGGTGTTGCCTGTTAGACTCTGTTACTTTCCTTGGTTGCGCCACTGTTGGCAATTGTCTTTATGTGACACGTAACAACTCACGAGCTGCACAGACAACATACATGGCAGATTACAGGGTGTCGGCGAGCTTGTTCCACAGCTCATTTGTCTTCTTCATATGTCCACAAGGCACGGATTCACAACGAAGTCCCTCCTTACGATGGTACCGCTCCGTCTCCGGCACAAAAGCCTATCTCCAAAAGCACCACCAGCAAAAGTAAACACGCAACTTCAATGGAGCAGTTGTACGACGCTAGAGTCGTCTCTTTCTCCTTATCTTTGCAAAACCAAAACATTACACAAATCTGGCTAGCAATCATGGCAGGCAATCCTGCACGCTATATTGCATTCGCGCAAACCCACCGACAGACGCTCGCTTTGCCTTCAATACCCAGTTCTTCCGGTAGACCCCTACTTACATACTCACACTTACTGCAGCGAGATCCTGCACGCCATGTGGCACCCCCGCAAGTACCCGCTGACGTACGTGACAGCGGTCGCGTACGTATTCACACTGACCGTCCCCAACTCGGTGTCCGTCTACTGGGCGTACGGCGACCAGGTCTTGAAGAAGAGCAACGCGTTCGGGGTGCTTCCGCCCAGCCCCCAGCGGAACGTCGGAATCATTCTGATGGTCCTGCATCAGGTGAAGACGCAAAGTTCCTTAAGGATTCCTTGAGTCGCAATAGCATTACCTCCGTTTCTTCCCAGCTCTGTAGCAAGGAGGTTCGGATGCAAAGGATGCTTAAAGCGAATGTTTTATTTTAGCAGTCACTTGAATGTGAGACGCCTTTGCAGGCACTGGTTTTGTAAAACAAGAACGCGTTGACCCCAAGTTGTGGGGAAAACTTGCAAGAGGCTGAAAATTACCGTCTTCCACCGTCGAACTCTTGCTAACCGCTCGATGATTGTCTTGTCTGACCAATCAATTCAAAGATTCTCCCACTGTTAACCAGTCTGATCTTTTCATGCCCGTTTCTCGTTCCAGGGGGTCGCTTTCGGGCTGTTCGTGACCCCCCTGTACTTCCTGTGGGAAAAGCTTCTGGGCACGCACCAAGCGAGCTACATCGTGCGCGTCAGCTCGCGCATCCCCGTCGTGCTCGTGATCTGGTTCTTGGCTGTGGCCTTCCCCTTCTTCGGACCAATCAACTCCATCTTGGGAGCGCTCACGACGACTTTCGCGACTTATTTGCTGCCCGTCGCCCTCCATTGGATCACCTTTCGGACGTCTGAGGTGAGGGAAGCCTTCCAGAATTCGCGGGTCTCCTTTCTCCTCTTTGGTCTAAACAACCTTTGTTGACTTTACGTATGGTGGAGCATTTACGTATAGTGGAGCGGTGACGACAGCTGTCGCGGTTTATCTGCCACCCGTCGCCCTCTAGCTGATCATCTTTTGGACGTGCGAGGTGAGAGAAGCCATTTGGGTATTGCGGGATTCCTTTCTCTGGTTAGATTAATTTCGGTTCATCCTAAGATGACGACGACTTTCGCGATTCACTGCTGCCCGTCGCCCTATGACTAATCATTTATCGGACGTGTGAGAAACCCCGCCAACTCGAAACTCCAGAAACCAGCGCTGGTTACCAAGCTTTGCGAGACGCTCACACTCCCGCTAAACCCCGTCAGTCCCCTGCACGGTTCGTTCGTGAAAACTGAAAAACTGTGTCGGCTCAATTCCTCAAAGGCGAAGTGAATATCACTTTTCTCCTTCGCAGGCCCGCGCTAATGCTCGCTCCCTGCACGATTCGTTCACGTACAGCTAGTAACTTGTTTCGGCTCAGTTCCCAATTAGTAAAGTGGAAATCTCTCCCGCTTACGCAGGCCCGCGCGAACGCTGTGATTAAGCCCCCCCGTTGGCTGGGCCGCAACTGGAACGTCGCGTTCCTCATCTCCGGTGTAACCTTCCTCACCGTCGCAATCTTGGGCGTCGGTTTCGGGGGCTACGCGAGTATTCACACCCTGATCGACCAGATCAGCACGTTCGGGGTCTTTGACGAGTGCTACCAGTGCCCCGCCCCACCCAAGCCGAAGCGGTTCTAGGCTCCCAGGGTTTGCGCTTTGGGTTAGCCACGAAGGTCACCTCAACCCAGACTCTGATCCGAAGCGTAATACCGGCCTGTTCGGGTCGACGGTGCCCGGTTCGGACGCCCGAGGAACGACTTCAGACGGTTGTAAGGACGGTTGTAAGGACGATCCTGTAAAAAGACGGCTGTGGTCATTGTTTGGTTAATCACACCATCGGGTAGTTGTATAATGGTGCAGCTCTTTAGTTGCATCAATATGGTTGTGCATAAGTATAGCAGGAAGGTAGTTACTGGAACGCTGTCATTTGGACTGAAATTTATGATAGTGGACACACTCGAAGTAGGTGTAAGGGTACTCTTCAGGCATCAGCCGTTGATAAAAGAGTAGGAGAGCTCTAGTCTGCCGAGTTTTGAAAAATTCATGAAGCATTGACAGTGACCAGTGACTTTGGGCCGGAGAAGCAATGTTACACTTTTGTTGCAACAGGAGTGTCTTTGAATGTGGAATAATAACTCTCACTGGGCCGTTAATACTTCCGTCGGCCGGACTGAAATCCTTGACGGATGAATGGACCTTTTTGGTCTGCAAGTTGATTTCCAGATGTCGACGATCATCATGCCCGGGCAATGCTCCACTAGTGTCGGAATACAACTTTGAGTGCATGCCGCTCATGATTGCGTCCGACATGATCGACATGCATCCTAAAGCATCTTCTGTAAGCTTCAAGCAATCAAGCATCAAATATAGGCGCGCCATCACAATCATTGTGTTACGCGTGTACCATTTCCCGCGCGTCGTGTGCCGGTCGCGCACTGCAGTCACTGCCACGCAGGACAATAAGTCATGGGCGAGCTCTTCTACCGGATCAAGACGGTTCGAATTGACCTGCGCATATGCGGTATAATGTGACGGTACGGTACATTTGTGCCTATTCTTGGATAATAGGCCGGTAATGTTCACTGCATATGAATGTATGGAAACATATGGCGCGTAGTGAATTTCATCTCAATCGATAGAAAACGCTGCCTTGCATACTAGGGTCCATAACCGTACTCCCCGACTCGACTAAATTTGTGACAGACATATGCAGCGCCCGTCGAGCACTGCAACCGGAAATAATAATGATGCAAGCAGAGCAAGTCAAAAAACCTATGTCAACGCAGGGCTTCATAAACTTCAATGTCATAGTTGCATCAATGCACTCATAATTATGCTCGGGAGATATCTGATAACAGCGCCGTACGAGATTCGAAACAGCTACTCGAACGGAATCACAGACAATATATACAGGATGATACACAATCGGCCCAGTGACCTCGATCCTGGTTACCGACTAACCAAAACTCAGACCCCCCCACTCATCTCACACCTTATCCTGGCACGTAGTAATCCATCTTATCGATCGGCAGGTTCAGCACCGACGTCTCCGCCTCCTCAAACGGCACGAACACGAACGCCATCAGGCCCCGCTTGTGGTTGACAGCTGGCACGTCCTGATTGGCCGAGTAATCCTCGTCCCAGTCCTCCGTCTCGTACAGCACGTTTTCCTCTTCGTCCCCGGGCTTCACTTCCAGCCCGGTGGTGATGATTGACTTGATGTCAAGCCGGTTCCAAGCGCCCGGGATAGTTCCCCGGACTTTCACCTTCAGCCGGAGCACAGTCGGTCGGGACCCCGGGTATTTGATAGCCGCCTCGACCTGGCAAATAAAGGCAAATAGTTGAGATTTCAATGTTGACAACCTCAGTTCTGGCCAGGCCAGATTTGCAAAAATTTACAACCAATTGCCAACGCCTTAATTTCAAGCTCAGAAAGAGGACCTGAATGTTTGACAATGAACATTCACCGAGTTTGCAAAAAGTCGGGTATCCGTACTCGTCGCTCTCGCTTCTACTTCAAGCGCGTCAGCACGAGCCTTCGCGAACGTACCAGATGAGAGCACGCGTCAGTTGATCTGGTAAACTCAGAAAAGCGGAAACGCAGAGCCCGCTAACGGCACAGCATCAGGCCTGAAACTGCGCGCTCTTCTGACGATGATCCGTAGAAAAGCTTCAGCACCGGACTTCAGAACAAGTCAACGGACCAACCTTCCGACTAGCTGCCCAGATCCATCTGACCTGAGGGCGTTAGAAACAAAGAGAAAAACACGAAGGAAAAACATCTGACTTCGAGACGAGTCGGAAGCATTCAAGCTGCTTCCTATACGCCTGGGAAGTGCACGAACTCTGACGGCTTAACTTGACAACGGCAACGTCAAGACAAGAACCAGATACGGAAACCGCCAACGGTCGTGACAGACCTCTTGTTCGTGATTGACTAGGGGACGAAAAGCAAGACGAGTCAGGCAGAACGAGATGCAGCCATAGGAGGTCTCAAATCTGAAGGAAGAGTCATTAGTTAACTTCCAGGACAAACTATGCATGCAACAAAAGGGACACAGAAACACGGGCTCAGCAGCGCACCTCGTCGTCTTTCAGTGAGAACCGGCCGCCGTAGATCATCTCCGCTGGGTTTGACCGCAGGCCTAGCAGGTTTTTGTACACGAGGGCCAGCCGATGGGGGGACGTTTTGTACAGGATTCTGCCCCCCGGAGTAAACCGCAGGTACCGGAACCACACCACCTGCACACGCAGGCAGCAGCAGGTTCAGAAATTAGGCCTTGTTTTGCAACTCTTTACTTCATATCTTATGCTGACTCCTTCTGGCTATGAGTCGCCCCCAAGACGTGCAGAGTCATTGAAAGTTGAAGGGCGATGGACGACCTAGAACCAGATTCTAGAAAGTACGTGCAATCAATTTCGGACCCATTTCGCGATTCAACGGCGTCACGCAAATTGCTGCAACTGGTCTGCATTGACAACGACCTGCGAAACCGATTGCAGCATTCTGCTGCTCACGTTCTCTAGACAGGTGAGCCTAGCGGCTTGTCGCTTGAAGACGAGCTTCGGAATAAAGGGTCACCTTCGAAACGAACGGCAGTGCTCAAGTCGCTGACATTACAATCTTCCTTGGATCGGGTAGCTTTCACACGTCCTTCCAGACCAAATCGCTTTACATCCACACAATGATCGAACCAAGATCTTCATCAACCTCAACGCTGGGCGGGCCACGTCACTGAGAGCGATGTTTCTAGACGACATGCCAAAAACAATGAGTTCCGAAAAGCGCGGTCAGCAAACCTCCCACCATTACGAAGTCGGAGCTCTGTCAGACCCCTCTGCATAACTGAATTATACCGTGGGAGAACTCAAAAACAGAAAACACGCCTTTCGGGCTAATAACACTCACCACATGCACTGACTTTCGCGCGGTCCACTCCGCGACCCCCGCCTTGACATACGTGTTCCTGCTGACATAGACCCCGTCGGTGCGCAACCGCGGCCGCTCCAGAAACATCTTCCGCCAGCTGCCCTCGTACTGTGCCCGGCATAAGCGCACGTTCTCGGCATAGCTTATGGTCTGCCAGGCCTTGAGGCAGGCGGCCTGCCAGAGCGCGGGGTTGTGCCGGATCATGTAGCGCCACTTGCGGCACACGCACATGGCGCGACCCAGGGTGTAGGGAGAAGCGCGCGCGAATACCTGAAGGGACGGGTATAAAGATGTGGTTGAAAGGACTTGAGCTGTAAACGTGGGCTCAGGAGGTCAACGCGACTCTGACTTTGTCCAAGAACTTGATAACATACTGCGGAAAGAAGATAACTAATGTGGCCAAGGGCGCATGCGGCAGCCAACATTCTATTGTGAGCCGTGGATGCACAGGTGAAGGGCTCTAAGTGAGGGTAAAATGGAACCATGGACGAAAGGGGCACAGGGAAGTGTATTCATGGGGCAACTGAAACAAGGGGCTTTGCTGATTGGCTCTGGTCAAGAAGGACTTGCAGTGAGACACAGGTGTTGGTACGAAGGGCTTAGGCGAAGGTGCAGCCAATTTGTGACAAACGGGGTTTAGGAACTAGGTCCAGGGGTGTTTGAAGCAGAAGAAGGTGTCTAACTCGGCTAACACATTCACAACTCCTTTCCCTGTCTTGGTGCAGGCAAAAGACGTTTAGAAACACCCCCCGTTGGCAATAGCATTGCAACACCCTTATGACGCAACTCATTTAATGAAAGTTTGCCTCGTCAAAAAGCGGAGTCCGCTAGATTCCTCCAAAACGCTCACCTCAAACAGAAAGTCCTCTGGCAGCATCTTGTGCAACAGCGCCTGGTCCTGCACCCCTCGCACGCCGACAGCTGGCGCCGTCACCTTCACGAACGAGTTGTAGAGCCCCAGCCACGGCCGCTGGGGCTGCAGAATGTTCACATACTGCTGCACCCGCCACGCGCCGAAACTATCGTACGAAGTGCTGGCTTGCCCCCCGGTACGATCAAAACTACGGCTGTCTACTGGGGGGCCACCCAGAGGGTCGGGGTTGGGCAAGAGTACTTCCATGGGGGGGCTAGCTTTTGTGGTGTGTGTAAAGGGACTGGGGGCGGCTGATTGAGCAGGGCTTCCCGAGACGCTGCTATGGAGCTTTTGGACGACAGAGAGTCCAAAACCTCTCTGCTTCTCGACTTTGTAATGCTATGCGAAGAGTCCCCAAGAGATCTTAGGCATTTAGGGTTTTCCTACACTAGCAGCCTTCCAGCATCTTGCGATTGCTGCCACGTTACTAAAGACCACCACACCCCTCAATCCCTAGAAGACCTGTTCTTTCAGAGGCCTCTAGAGCGACAGGTTACTCAAGAGCTGCTCTAACTCCGCAGCTTGGGCCGCTGTACGCTCCTGCACAAGCAAAAGCCCCAATTAGGGTTCTAAGTATCGGAGAAATCATGAACAGAAAGCGGCCCTGAAAATCATTTCTTCAGCTTCTAAATGAGAATCAATTGACAATCGACTGGCAAAACCGGGCAGAAGCTGGCAAAGGGACGAGTGCAAAGAAGTCCCTAACGAACACTGAACCGAGATAACACGTCGTCTGGCTGGCTTGAGCCGTTAAAGTGCATGCGTTCCCGGATAATACAGACCCATGCGTAAGGTTTCCGACCATCTTCAGCATTACATGTGGGAAAAGTGCATGATACTAGGGTTCAAAGAGGGGCAGGAGACGCAGCCTCTGCAAACTTTCGGTCAGCATTTCCAACCCCTCACTAGTCCCTCTGCTGCAAACCCAACGGCCGACCCGTACTGCCAGCTAGGAGGGCTCCTGCCAAGTAATGACGAACATATTATGAAGATGTACTCAAGACTCTAAGCAATGTTTTACCTGGCCAGCAATCTCCAACAGCTCTAGAGATCTCAGCACCACCCGCCGTCGGTGCAAAGCGTAGCGCGAATTGACGGGCTGTGCCTGTAGCGTCTGCAACTCCCTTTTCAAAGACTCTCTCTTCACACTCTCTGCGTCGACGTCCATGAAGCGGCCTGACTCGCTTCCACCACAGCTGAACTGGGAAGAACAACCTCCAAACACAGCCTGGGATCTTGACAAAGAAGGTGGTCAGCACAGCTGGAACTTAGGGTACTTTAGCGGGTATTTCGGAGGCAGATGGGTTTAAATTTTGCAACTTTTGCTGTTTAATAATATTAAATCATTCTTCTGGCCCATTCAGTCTCGCGCGGAATCAGCTCAACCGGTGGTCACGGTCCTAACCAAAAAGCTTTCTTAGCTTCCCTGGCAGAACTTCCAGCCATTTTCTTGAGCAGGCAAAATATTGCTGCAGAGGAGATCTTGCGCAGGCTCCAGTTCAAAGTACGTGACCACTCAGCAGCTCAGCCGTTCACTGTTCACAAAAGCCCCCGACTTTCTTGCCAAAAAGGGCGTTGAATGTGGATTCAGCAGATCACAGGTCGCACCATGCGGGTCTCCTCTGGAGATTAGAGCTGAGGGAGATCCGCTGCTTTTCAGATCCGAGCATCTTGAAACAAGATGGCGTCGTCGTCCGCAATGGGGGCGCGCTCCTTGGCGTCCCATGCTCGATGTGCTGTCTCTCAGTCTGGGAGCTTGTTTCAGAATAGAACAAGAGAGGGGCCAGGACACTCGTCTCTCTGGAGGAGGTTGCCCGCCTCCTTCAAAACTGTTTCGCAGGCGTCAGGTACAAGAAGATCAGCTGAATCAGCGGATATCATTCGAAGTAACGTGCGTTGCAGAATAAAGACAGGTACAGACCAACAAGCAGGCGTTGCAAAGATTGGTCAGAACGGGTTGAGATGCAGCGGTAACCAAAACAGTTCGGGTGGTCTGGGGAAGAGGAGGGAACTAGGCGCGAGGGTTGAGTGCGCAACATATGAGGCGGTGCCAGCTGGCGGCGAGCTAGAGGGGGAAAGTGTTGCAGAGATCGATCGTGCTGTGATCCTAAACACGCTGACGGCCTCGAGTGCTGCGATTGCGGATCCCATTATGTCGATGGTTGACACGGTAAGTACTGGTTCATGGTACTCCTCTCGATTACTCCTCAAGCACTTGGTTTGTCTGTCTTTTTGAGGCGAGTTGAGCTGAGTGAAGACGCCAGACCGGGAAGAAGTATTCTGATCACTTTCGATACTGGGGATGGAGGGGCAGAGTTGGCATGTGAACTCTGACTCTCTCGTTCAGTGATGGTGCTGGTGAGAGTAGTCAACGAGGCACTTTTATCAAAGTCAACGATAAGCCCGGTTGTCTCACTATTGTAGCTTTTTTGTAGCTCCAAACCCCCATTCCCTCCCCAGCTCTCTGCCCGCAGTTTACTCACCCTTTCTCCCAGTTCTCTGATTCTCCTCCACCTTATGTCCTTCAATATGCTACTCCACTCCCTGACTCGAAGTAAGCGAAAGAGCTGATGTCACCTTCTCGCGAATCAGTCCACTGCTTTTCCAAGCCTTGGATCCCCCCCAAAAGAAACGCCTCTTCTGACCCACTCCTAGGTCTTCGACAGTCAGCTTGGCATCATACCCAAAGCTTGCCTGCTTTTTACCCTTGCCTTTTGACTTATCTTCTCGTCAGACTTGCATTCCCTCCTCTCCCTCTCCCGGGCTTGCAGCAACTTTCCTTGCCCCTTTCCTTGCCACCGCCAGCTCGCCTTCGTCCCCCTGCGCCTTTGCTGTGCCCACTCTCAATCGACTCCCCCTGCGGCCCCCTCACCCCCCAGCAAATTCTTTCTGGACCCCGTTCCAACCAACTCTCCCTCGCGGACCTCTCCAAGCTCTTTGTGACCAGCTGGGCGTCGTCCCCATGTTCATGCTCTGGCTCAAAGTTTTGCCCATGTTTCTAGCACTTTTTTCCCCTTGGAACCCGTTGCTTACTTGTCCCCCCCTGCCCTCCAGCGGTTTGTTGGTCAGCCACGCTTCGTCCTCCTGACCGTAGTCGGCGCCAGCCACTAACATTTGTACTCACCCCTTCTCCTCTTGCCTTTGGATTCATATCCTCACCCGCTCCATAACTCGGTACAGCTGTTTGTCGGTGAGCTGGGTGTAAGCCTCCGTCTACGCTAACTCCCAACCACTTACTTCCGTACTCGCCCCTCTCTCGGATGTTGCATTCATGTCCTCCTTCCTTTCGGAAAGCCGTTCGTCTGTCAGCTGGGCATCATCCCCCCGTCGGTGCTTGGCCCCCCATCTCTTACCTCCGCCCGCCCCCCCATTGCGAATTGTTCCTTCGCCCCCCTCCGTACGGCTCTTCGTCGGGCAGCTCGGCGTCGTCCCCCTGTCCACCTTCGGCCCCAACTATCTCCGTCCCCCTCTCCCTTCCCTCTCCAAGTTGGTAAAAATTTCGTTCCCCCTTCGTACAGCTGTTCGTCGGGCGGCTTGGCGTCATCCCCCTGTCCGCGCTCGGCCCCAACTCGGTCGTCTTCAACGCCGTCTTCCTAATCATGAGTTTCACGGGGGGCATCGTGACCGCCGAGATCGTTGGGAACGCGCACGCCAAAGGTGACGTCATCGGGATGCAGCGCGCGATTCTGACGTCGGTGTGGCTGTCGGTCATCGTTGGGGCGCTGGGGATGGGGGCGCTCTTGGCGTTCGGACCCCAGCTGATGTCAGCCATAGGCACCCAGCCGGATATGATGGCCGATACCCTATTGTACCTGCGGATCCGGGCGTCTGGGGTCCCGGCGTCGCTGCTCCTCCTAGGTAAGCTCTGCAGGCCGCTTCACTTTCTTGAGGTCTCTCATGTAGTTCTGGAACCGGACCATAGTTGTGATTCAGGAGCTCGGGAAAACGACATTTGAAGTGGCAGGTTAGATTTGATTGTTGGGTGCTCCTTCAGTATTGTGGCTGCAGTTTCGTACAAAACCTTGTTGCTTCTCAAGGCATGCGTCTGCTGTCTGGGCTGACGCGTCTCTGTCGCTGTCTCAGTGATCTTTAAAAATCGATTCTCGACGAAGCACTGCAGATTTGTCGATTGTCGCGTGGATTCGAGGTCAGCGCTGGGTTGCTGAAGCAGATTCGCAGGCTTCAGAATCCTTCAGAAGTTGAGCAAACGACAAGTCCGACGAATCGCAATCACCTTCAAGTTCTCGTCAGACCTGGCGCTCAAACTTCCTACAACGACCCAGCCCAGAAAAGCGTTGACGCTTACACCCCAAGCTTTTGAGTACAATTTAACAGCCTCGCACACAACTTTTCCTCCGTTCGCTGCAGTCTTTCAAGCCGTTTACCGTGCGACCCTTGATCTTCGGACGCCCGCCATAATCGTCGTCTTGTGCGGCATCCTAAACGGGATCCTCGACCCCATCATGATGTTTTCGTGGGGCTGGGGCATCGCGGGGGCTGCCATCGCCACTTCTCTCAGCCAATGGGCAGGTGACACCTGGCGCCCTCTCTGTGCATTTTAGCTGTCACGTTTGTACTCGGTTTGACGAGTTTGTGAGCTTGAGCAGTTGTAAGCTTGCTATAGCTCCGCTTTTGATGACTTCTTTTTTCAGCCTCGCGCAATAGCTGCCCCTTGTCGGATCGGTTGGGATTGCTTGTGCGCTTATACGGACGAACGGGGCGTGAAAGATGGTGGTTTGGTACAAAGGACTAGGAGCTTGGTGCATATCAGCATGAACTTAGCAATACTCGCTCCGCCTCAGCATTTTTCCCGCGAATTCACCCTGCCTACCAAACGGTCTCTTTTCCCCTCGTTTCAGGTGTCGCCATGTTTGCCTGGCTCATGCTGCGGCATAAGACGTTTGCCGCGCCGGCACCGGCGGGCAGGGCGCAAGAAAGGTGACGTCAGCAACTCTGTCTCAATCCGACCTGATTTCAGTCGACTCGAAGCAGTGTGTTGCAGGATGAGAGCACGATGAGCCTGCATGGATAAAGCGATTGTTGCGGCACCTAGCGACATGAAAGAGAGCGAGGAAAAAGTTGTGGGCGAAAGAATTTCTCCGCGACTTCAGCGAATTCAGCGTCAGGTCGTATGCCGAACGTTGGACCTTTTTCTTGCAGGGTCCCGAAGTGGCAAGACTACAAGCACTACCTACAAGACTGCTCTGGGGTGAGCATCCTCCGCCGCTCTACTTGCTAAAGTTTGTACGAGAGCCAGGTGCAGGGCCACCTGTTGGTAGAAGAGGGCGTCTGACCACGTGGTATCACGGCGGCCACTTCGCATGATAATCTGCTCGCGTGTCACCGAGAATCTGACACGTGGTTCCGTATATGAGCAACCCGAACTGCGCGCAGACGGGCTATCTGGTTGCTGAGCGGTTACGGGTCATACGACGGCCGCTTCAAGCAAAGCAGCCGATAGTGTTCGAAGTTTGCCGCTGGTAATGGTGGCTTTAGCCTCTCGCGACCGTAGGAGGGGGGTGACATCAAAGGCGGTGCTGTCTTTGAATGCATCGTCGCTTTGTTGATTGCTAAGGATTCGAAGCGGGTGAACCTACGGTGCCCTGAGTCCCGCCGTTTCTGATTGGAGTTGCGGTTTCGGCCATCACGATCTTCAGCTCTGCAGTAGAATTTTGACCCAGCCTCTGTTCGATTTCATGCTGTTCGTCTCTCTTTTAAAGTTGTTCTGGTCCTCATTCTCGTCGTTCTTGCGTGCAGTTGCTGTTCCGCGCCCTCACAATCATTGCGATCTACAGCTTTGCGGGGGTAGTGGCTACCCGACTCGGCTCCGTGAACGCGGCCGGTTACCAATTGGTCAACAACTTGCAGATGTTCCAGGTGAGCAGACGGTGCAATTTGCCCTGTGCTTGAATTGTCGGTTCCTGAAGTAAAAGAGATTTGATTGTTACGCCCACATCCCGCTTTTTCCCCCAGCGTTTCGTCCTTATTGTCGGGGTGCGTTGAAGCGATAGCAGAGAAAAAGATCGATGACAGGTGTCAGGGTCTGTGCTCTCGCCACGAAAAACAATTGCCGTTTTCGCCCTGCGTTCAGACGCATCACGCCGTCTTCCTTTGCAAGAAACGAGCATTTTCGACAAACCTGCTTCTGTGAATCAGATGAATGCTGCTCTCTCAAGACCGATTTTGTGGCTGCATTTAAACAAAGTCGAGCTTCCCCCTCCCGATCGACTCCGCTTTATGTGCTCCCCCCAAACGAGACTCGCTTTCCCCACACAGCTCAGAATCTTATTCGCGCCATCCATCCTTGAGCTAAGTTGGTTTTGCCGCCTTGCAAATCTTGGATTTTTTGGAGGCTTTCGTCGGCGGACATTTGTCGAACAGTAACAGCTCAATCTTACTCGGCCCGCTCCCTTTCCCTCTCTGAAGAGATAGGACCAACGTTGTCCCTCTCAGACTAGCCCACTTCTTTCTCCCCGTTGCAGGCGACGGCCTCCGGATTTTCCTGGAGGTCGGCCAGTCCATGATGAAGAGTTTTCGCTGTATCTGACCACAAAACCGAGATTGACTTTCTTCCCGCAACCAGAAGAAAACAACTGGGGTCTACCTCCCCTCAGATCGGAATGAACGTCTCCCTCGCCCTTGCAGTTGACGATCCTGTGGATGTTCCTGGAGGTCGGCCAGTCCATGGTTGTGAACGCGCTCGGTCGGCGCGGCAAGCGCCTCGCGCGTCTTATCTCGGACCGCGTCATTCTTTGGTCGGTCATTGCATCGATCGGGCTCGCGGGAGCCACGTGGGGGCTGCGGGGGTCCCTGCCGAGGTTGTTCATCCAGGTAGGTCCAGAGCTTGCGCTGTTGCGCAGCGAAGTAAACAATGCTGCCTGCATGAAGTCGACAGTGCTTGGCCTTCTCGAGGAAATCCAGCTATGATCAACTGACCCAGCCAAAAGGATTGTCGTATTTTTACGACGCTCTTGCCAGAATTGTTACGACCATGATGCGCTGCGGCGACAGAAGAGCAGCTCGTGTCCGTGCGGATGTTATATTCTGCATTCTTGGAGCTTGCACGACTAACTACACTCTGCAACAAAACTACTGTGCGGTTTGGAGATGCATGTTCCGCACTATTTGGCGTGCAACTTCGAGCTCGTCAACAGATTAACAAGATAAATAACCTGGATTTACCATCATATTTTCATTATATGTGATGCTTCCCCGACTGCAGGACGACGCCGTTCTGAAGGTCGTCGCCACTGCGATGCTGCCGTGCTGCGCCATGATTCTCATGGGCTGGAACAACGCGCTGGAGGGCATTCTCATCGGGGCCGGAGACACCGCGTATGTCGTCTCGAGCTTCCTGCCGGCTGCCGGGACGGGCCTGGTCATGCTGGCCTATACGCTGGTCAAAGGGGGATCCCTCGCGGCCATCTGGTGGTAAGGGAACAGCTCGAATCCCTAAAGCTTGCAAATGTTTAGGTCTTCTTGGCGGACCAACGCGGTTTGTATGTTCGGGCACCGGAGCGATCAGTGAAGCACTCTCTTGGTGTGTCACGCAATTGATGATTGAGCAGGGGCGGCTTAGATCCGTTGCGAGTCGCTTGGAGTAGCTTATGTTGTTTGCGAGTGCATGCGCTTACTGAGATGGGTTGAGGCAGTCCTTGTAGTTGTAGAGTAAAGCCGTAGAAGAACAGATGGGGCTTGGTTTCTGCTATTCCCTCATTGAGCAGGTGAACCGAAAGCTGGCCTTAGGAAAGAGGGGCTTTGCGTTGCTCGAAGTGCCAAAGGGCTCTTGCGAAGCATCGTCTGCTTCTTATTCACTGTTTTCGGTGGTCCCTGTTGGCAGGTCGCTGGCGGTCTACTACGTACTGCTGACGCTGCTGTATAGCATTCGCTATTGGGTCCCGCAAGCGCGCGTTTATATTTAAGAAAGGGGACGAAGCAGATAAATAATCGGTTCGCTTTCGAGGACTTTTGAAGGGCGGATGGTGGGGTTGGGAATCAATCTGCTCATTTTTAGAGCGCTCTTTGCGAGTGCTCTCAGAGGCGGTGGATAGACCTGTTTCTTTAAGCACTCAGTTAACAGGTTAACAATCGGACGTGTTGGGTGATAATCAAAGTTCGTAATTAGCTACAGAATCAAGAGCGGAGCTCGACAGCTTTTCAGTCGATCAGTGTTGAGTGGAGAGCAACCAGGCGTCTAGGAGTTAGAGCAAACTTCATATTGAAGATTTAGAAGGCCTCGGGCTAGAACGCACTGAGAATTCTGGTTCGGCCTGCGGTTTGGAAGAGGTGATGCTTAGGGACACTGCAAGCAGACGGTGACGTTGAACTGATCGATGGGGAAGGTAAATCGGAAGAAGCTCGGTATAGAGGTAGCTTAAATTCGAACCAAAGCTATGTATTTGCAAGCACGTGGTATGCACATATTGAAATGATCCAGTCGAGTCAATTGTCGAGCATGGTATTCTTTGATATGGCCCTATAATTCAGGGCGGTTGCCAATGAATCCCATGTACTTTGTCATGAGCAAAGGAGAACTTAGAGCGCGTCAGCTTGGAAACAGTAACGGAAAAACAGTCCTTGCTAGGCGCGGGCCTGTCACATGTGGGGGGGCCGGCGAATTCGGACGATCCGAATTGTCAGTTCAACAAAAGTTGATTTGCCTAGTTAGATTTGTATGTACGTTCATAACGCGCTGTTCATATATTAAATATACGTTGATTAATTACTCGCATTTGTCAATCTAAGTATCTCAAATTTCAACTTGAGCGCGCGTTGCATCGTTCCGCTCGCCGGCCCTCACTACAACTACGTCCTATAGTATATAAGCCAACTCGTGATGAAGTAGTCACTTAAGTTAGCACTTAGTCCGATCATAACTAACTAAAGTAAAGCAATATATAAAAGGCTTACTTTGCCAGGCAGTCGGTCAAGCAGATTGGTGATGGGGTATCGCTCACTAATCTATAAGGCGGTAGTCAGTATAGGACGTTTCCTTCCATGTGACAACCCAGGTTTGGCAGTTCATCGGTCAGACCGGTTTATTGTACACGCAACTTTCTGCGGAGTCACCCGTCTCAGACCTGTTTGCTGACGTGGAGTTCCCGGTCTGTCAACCCGAGCTCTTTCTTCCGTTTCTCAATGAAATCCAGGGCCTCCCTTGGCGTGATTGTAGGACGCCCGGGAAAGAAGTACGCATGGATGCTGCAAAAGCCCAGCCAAAACTGTTGGATTGCAGAGATTCTCGAATAATGATAAATCCCGTTCTAACTTACGAGCCATTTCACTTAGATTCCGAGCTACCCGGGCAAACAAACTAAAAAACCTAACCGATGGAATCACCCGCTCCGCTCCCGAACCCACCCTAACCACCAAACCAAACCTACGGGCGCCTGTCCTAAGTGAAATGGCTCTTAAGTGAAATGGGAGTTACCAGAGTGAAACTCGATCGACCGACCAACCTCTATACTCTCGCAAGACGCAGGGTTAGCAATCCAGAACCAAGAAAGGCAGAGAAAAGCGTCTGCAATTTAGAAGGTGTGATCAAGGGAACACGAGAGTCAATTGTTAATATTGCTGCTTGTATGTTTCGGGGGCCGTACTCTGCGCAAGCCTGTCTTTTGACGAAATTGCTTGAAATGCAAAGCCGGAAAGTAGTAAAGAGTATCATATGCACGTCCACGTTACGATGCTTGTGCCTGCCAAGATGAATGCTCTTGTGGGAAGACAAAGAGCGTAGGTGACAGCAAGGCACCTTGAACTAAAGAGTGCGTCTTCCGAGGCGAATACTCGAAACAGAAAGCGAGCACGCTGACAGACTCACTTTACGTTGAACCACTTGAAAGTGAAGCATGTGCCCCCAACCGACATTGCCTTCTCACAGCTGGTCCTCTTTGCCTCTCCAGCCTTGTTCGACATCGCAAAGTGGGCCCGGTGAATGTTCCCTGCGCGGAATCACATTATTTGAGGTAAGTTTGACAGTGCGTAAATATTTGGCTATCGAAGTTCTTCAAAGCAAGACTCGACCAAGTGATAGGCCTGCAAACGCAAGTCCGGCATACGCACTAAGATGCTGCTGCGTCCTTTGTCTAGTACCGACCTCGGGAGAGGTGCTTGCAACAACGGTGCACATCGACGGAAAAGTTCCCGTCCTCTGAAACGCAACTTGAAAGCCGTCGCACCTGTTATTTCCTTGATGATCGACAGCAGCAGCTGTACTTTCAGCTTGTCCTCCTCGTGCCATACCCGCACTCCAAGGTACTGGCTGACGGATCGAACGAAGCGCCAGACGTCATCCCGGTTGACAAAGGCTGCCCTGTACGACGGACGGTTTACCCGTCTCAGACTGCATTTCCAGACAGTACGGAGCAACACTAACATATATAGACAGGGCACGGAAGCGATGCAACTCTTGTGCTCGCTTTGCTTTGCTGAAGCTTCGTCTTTCCAGAGAGCATGTCTCAATTACCTTCTTAAGAAAAGGGCGCAAAAGTACTGAAGGGAGGAAGAGGACGTGTGCCTGAGTAAGACACTGCTCGTGAGTCTACTTCAGGTGCCTGAAACAGAGGGACGTTAAAAGCACAAGTTATTCCTAGATGAAGTTTTAGAGCCTTGCTGCTTCGGAGCTTCGAGTGAACGTGGAGGGAGGCCACACCTGTACACCTTCTCGGGACTCAGCTTTGGCAACTCCGGCGGGTCTGCTTCCATTTTCTTTACTATCTTCTCATAGTCATCGGCTTGGTCCTCAATGATTTCGGCATGGCCAAGGTCGATGATCTTGAAGTGGAGGCCTCGCAGGTTGACTCTGTTCACGGGAACTCAAGAAGTGTAAGCAGCGCGGGTGGAAAGTGGCCTCAAACGTAAAGAGACAAAAAGCAGTCCGCCTGACACAGTTCAAACCGTAATTTAAGAAAGAATCTTGTGCAGGGCATACTCGGTGATGAAGCCAACTTATACCTGCCCTTTTGAGGAACAAAACTTTTTCCAATGAACAGCGCGGACAGCTTTTCAGAACCGTCGCAGCTACGAGACACAGGCAAAATAGAGTTGCCCATCCAAGAAGACAGGTAAACCACAGTTGAAATGCACGCGAGTGGCATGCCTCATACCAGTTGTAGTTCCTCCAGCTGCAAGCTCAGTTCCGTATCCTCCTCTGTGGAAGATGCGCCTCACACCATTGGCACATTTTCTGTCAGCAGCAAGCTGTCTTGTAGAGCAACCTGAAATCGAACCCTAGCCTTTGCCTCAAACTGCTTTGTAGACCCAGCATGCTCCTCCTTGCTGCTCACCTGACTCTGAAAGAGACCTTGTCAGTCTCCAACTCAGGGCCCCCGCTCTCTTCCTCAACCCTGTGCTCCATTACATTCCGAATATGCATATCCCCATGCCTGAAGCCAATGGTCGACCTGGCTCGGTCAAGGGCCCTCAGAACCTGCAGACACAAGGAGTTAATCTGCTTTTTCTCTTCTTACAAGGCAAAAAGCTTCAGAGTGCGCAGTGTCAGAAGGCAGTAGGTATCCTTGCAAAAATGGGAAAGCATGTTACAAGACAGCCTACAATTGAGACTGTTCCTAGATACTGGAAGCTCACAAGCACTCGAAAAGTAAGAAGGCGCACTTAAGAAGGCAGTTTAGTGAAGGGTCTGGAACGAACGCCACACTCAGGCAGCCGCTTTACCTCTGTCATCATCTCAAGTATGTAGTCGATGTCATTGAACTTGGGGTCTTCTAGTCTGTTCTTAGCGCCCTTCCCGTTCAGCTTCTCCAACACAGTTCCCAGGAAGGACCCGTCCTTGTCAAGGATCTTGGAGCCGGTCTGTGTGAAGCCTTCAAGGAAGCCATCTTCTTCATTGAGCAAGTTCAGTCTCCTGCCGATGGCCCACTCTCTTTCCATCAGAACAAAACCTCCCACAATCGCAGCTTTTGTCTTGTTCCAGACCAACTTCAGAACCCGGCCTGTAAAAAATGTGATGTGTTGTTGAAAATATGGTTTTCTAACAATGCAAGAAAGAGTGATTACTTAAGCCCTGTCACTCGAACTGGGCCCCTGAAAGAGGAGCCCCTCCTGCCATTGCTAAGTCGAGCTCAATTGTCACTGACTTCAACAGGACATCCTGCACTTTCTTGGAAGGCCCTCTTAGCAAAATACACCTTTGTAAAGCAGGGGAATAACTTCCGATTTGCGTTGATGTTGCAAGCTTCAGTCGCCCAGATCAATGAAAGAGGATTTATCCTTCGATGCGTCCGGCACTTGCTCAAAGCCAATTTCTATGGAGGCCTTTTTAAATAGAGTGTGGCTGCAGCCTTGCTAACTTCAAGTCAGCCATGTGTCCAACCTCAAGAGCTTTTGTTCATGTCAACTGAGACAACTGAGAGGTTTTAAGACCAGCTGCCACCAGACTCCAAGTTGTAGATCAGCAATCTTGGCCAGCTCAGACCTCACCTGCACCGTTCCCATCCTCATCTTCCAGCAGATACACCGCTCCTTGGTTTCCCCTTCCCAGCTGCTTCCCCAGCTTCCACCCGTTTGCCAACTGGCTCCCGCTTTTCTCAACGAACTTCTCCACGACCTGCAACACCTCAGGGTCTGCTGCCGTCTTGGGTGTCCTCTGGCTCAGTCTCAGTCGTTTCCCCGTCATACTGTCTGTCCTACCTACAGGCTTCTTCTTAGCTTCAACGTCACCTGGATCAGCCATGGGAAATGTGAAGTACTCACCAAGTACGAAGCTGCGGAACGAAAACAACTTCAACTCTTCGATGCAGATAAGAACAGCCAAATAAATGATTCCGATTAAAGCACTACAACTTCCTTGGCTGATCCACAATCTTCTCAGCTAGCTACGGGCGGCCGGCAGCTGGACTGGAGAAGCTTGCCTCCAATGGACAGGGAATGGAAAAGAGACTTCCGCAAAGAGAACTTGCAGGCGCCTAAAACTTGTGCTCCAGCCTACGAAGCGCCACAATGGGAGACGAAGCCTCTGACTCTGAGTCCAGGTAGACAGGGCTTCAGAACAGAATCAGAATCAGAATCTGGCATATGGGTTCCTTATTGGTTTGCCAGCTGGACAAATTGCCAGGTGGCAGGAGTTGCTCACGCATCCTCGGTCCTGCCACCTGGCAGCGTTAACGGCAGCTTAAGTCCACGTGGCACACCTACTTTCCATATGCCGGCTTTCAGTTACTCTATCCATCATTCATGATGACATCCCCGATTGCCGCGGCGTCGGCTGAACGGATCGGATGATGACGCTGTCACTGGTTAAGTAACACAACACTAAAACCCTAAGGACAAACTGAGAGCAGTAACCCGGATTTAAAGAACCCTAAGGCGTTCCGCCATGGGCCAGCCCGAACCCACCCTAAACCGCCAAACCAACCCCACCAAGATCAGTCGGTTGTGGTGTTTGACCCAAAATTGCCGACAACACCCCGGGCACTACTTGAATCCACCCGGGGATTTTTACCACCGTTGCGATCATTACACGTGTCCCGATCGATCAGTTCCGCAAGCGTCACCCCTGCGTCATAGAGACCGCGGTACCGTACTGCTTCACTAGCGTGGAAGGGTACCGGGGTCTTGACAGCCACGTGGGAGTTGAGACTTGCAAACTTACAGACTCTACTGGATTTTCGGATTCCCGGACCCTTCACCCGGTCTCCTTGTATGGTATAGAAGTCGGTCTAGACTCTACCGGGGCAAATACTATTGTCGGTGCTTGGTCCGTCTGGGACCTGGGTGCGTCGCCGCGTGTGTTTACTGTGGACTCGAATTAAAGGAGTGCATTGCGCTCCGGGGACACAAATACGGAAGATGAGCTGCCACAGAGCAACTAGTGGCTACTCTTGGACCAATGTATAAGACACATGATAATTGGTATCGACCGATGTCTGTTGCCTCAGAAACATGTGAACCGCGTACGTTGAGCCTTTTTGCCAAAGCACTCGTGCTATGTTGTCCACTGGTTCTGCTGTCTGAATGTGCGCAAGCATTCGCGCATGCTTGCATGATGTTCTCCTGATCACCACACAGTATCGACTCTGGCCAGATGAAGTGATATGAGTGGATACAAAATGGATCATTGTACGCGGCGCAAACGAAGACCGACCCCTCGTCGCAAGCCTTTTGACCATGAGAAGTCTTGCGCAGGAAGAAGCGCACCCACGACAATGAAAGGACGGGAATCGAAAGGTTCAATAAGTCCTGCGGCCACCGACATTGGAGTGTGTCAAAAAAACCAAAGCATTGCTGGCTGCAGTGCCACACTGCAAATGCGCAAAGGAACAATCTTGTTCCACAATTTAAGTGCGGGCGAACATCCAATCTAACCGAACATGCTAGCTTTCTCGGCTTTGGCGATTCGGCATCGTTGCTTGAAGCACGTTCGCTCACTTCACCTCCTCTTGGCGGCCTTACGTGTCATCGATTTCCTCCCCCTCTACTCGTATAGCATTTAGCAGCCGCTTCAGGGCAAAGACCTCTTTCGAGGACACTAGGCACGTGACTGTTCCTTTCGTCCCAGCAATGGGCTTCCGTGCAGTTCTACCGGCCCTATGTACGTATGATGTGGCGTCCAGCGGCAAATCAAAATTGTACACGTGGCTGACCTCCGGGAGGTCGAGGCCCCGGGCGGCCAGGTCGGTGGCTACCAGCAGCCGTCGATTGCCTTCTCGAAACTCCTGCAGCGAATGTTGCCTTTAGAGCACACTTTTCCAGGGACACCCCGGCCGCTTATGGCCTTGCTTTCCGACACCCGGCTCAAAGTCTCCAGTCGATGCAAGTAGATTCTGTAAGGGAATGGTATTTTGCCAACAAGAGGGCCAACCCAGCGAAATGGGTCAAGGAAAGGACAGATGGAAGCGTCCAAGCCAGAAGCGGCGCAGAAAGCTTTTTGTAATTCACCATGCTCGCGTCCCTTTTGCATCCGCTTACGGCCAGCCGCTCATCGCACCGGAATACTAAGTCGGTAAAAACTGGAAACTGAGCTGCGCGTGTGCATTCCTGCACGCCATCTTTCATTGCATTCAGCGTAACTGTTGAAACAAAACCCCCAGCAGAAGGCATTACTTCACGGGGACCGGGCGGAAGAAATGGATTCAGAGGTCGGTCGGAACAGCGAGACACGTTGGACGGAAAGAAGAGCGCGCACCTGCACAATGCTCGCGCGCTTCTGCACGCGCGCGTTCTCCTGCAGGAGCAGAGGCTGGAGGGCCTCGGGCTGCCCCTCGCTCAGCGCCTCCGCGACGGCCTCCACCGAGGGGGTCTCGCCCGTGCGCTTGTTGCGCTCCGTCTGTCGAGAAAAGTGATGTCAGCAACCAGAAGGAACATGAAAAGATGACGCTGATTCAGCAGCGAAGTCCCTTCCTCGGCGCCTCCGCGACCCCCTCCACGAGGGGGTCTCGCCTGTGCGCTTGTTCGGTTCCGTCTGTCGACAAACATGACGTCAGCATCTCATCACGAGAAAGTTATGGCAGCTAAAGCGGTAAATCGCAGGGAACTACCCCGCGCCCAGCGCCTCCACCATGGCCCCCACCGAAAAGCTCTCGCCAGTGCGCTTGTTGCGCTCCTTAATAGATCAGTCAGCAGACACGTCAAAAAAGCAGAGATTATTTGCTCGAAATCTGAACTGACAATTCTTTACAAGAGGGATTTTTGTGCACTTGATAATGGAGCTGAAAGTGTCAAGGCAGGAGACGGTGAACCCAAAGAATCGTCGTCACAAAGACAACTATACGGCTTCACAATCTCTTTGTCTTACGATATTCTCGCCCACAGAATCCCAGAGCGGTCACGTTGACTCACCGAAGGTATTCGACCGGCTGCAAAGAGCTTGCAACATGAGGATCGAAACTGAAGCTTACCCGAGTGACGTGGAAGCAGGGCAAGTTACTAAACCGCAAGAGGGTTCCCCTTGATTTGCCAGGCTCAACCAAGCCTCATCATACTCGAACCCGAGATTGACAGCATACCAAGGTATTTCCGCAGGGACAAACCGGCTCCTTTCTCCTTTCAAATCTTGCAAACTTCAGCTACAGTGAGGACAATACAGTCAGAGTATCGGAAGGGACTCACGAGGTCGTGCGCAAAGATGATGGCAGCAGATGGTTGGTCCCGCTCGACCAATTTCTGCAGCGACTTGATTTTGTCGTCGCCCTCGCACACCTACATCGAATCAAAAATAGGGTGTTCTCTTGGCGACAAGCCAAAAGCTTCTGCCGTCTTGACTCTTATCCGTCAAATTGCCGGTTGGCCTGTCTTGTAAGCTTCAGATGTTCAATCCCGGGGACCTTACCGATATTCAAGCAAATGCCTCAAAAGTATTACGCCGTGATTGCGCTGACCCTTACGAGCTGAAAGTTCTGTCAGGTAACCTTCAATCTTTGTCTTATGCTGGGGTAAGAAAGCCTTTTGGCGACGTAAGCGTTAACCGTCCGTCAGCCAGAAGTCAGTCCATTAAAAATTGTAACGGGTTGGTCTGCGGGTTCTCAAGGAATAGGAGCCCGAGAGGATAGAAACAAATTTCTCTGTCTCTCAAACTCAACCACACTGAAGAAACCAGATGGAACTAAGCCAATGTTTGAGCCCGCTCACCAGATACCGGTGATCCAGAAACTTGGGCACGTGCTGAATGGGATCGACGTGGACGTGCACCAAGTCGTTCTGCACAGAGTATCTTGAACTGGGTTAGTCTGTCAAACCTCGGGTTCTCTGCAGGGACTAAATTCTGCTGCACAAGCTCGATTAGCAGGGGGCTCGTGATACAATCGCGGTGAGCAACTTGAACGGAGGCAGTTTAGGCTGGCTTGTCCACATATTTCTCGGGGAATGCTCAAGAAGGGGGTTTCAGAATCAAGTATTCACCGCTTGAGATGGACGCAGAAGAGGGTGACCAATTCTGGAGAGGTTCTGCTTCTTTTGTTGTCTGCTTTTGCAGAACTGTTAACGTTGTAAACCGGTAATTCCAGTGCGTTTACATTCAACAGAACGTCACTGACGGGCTGACGGGGAGATTGTCATCTGAAAAGATCGCGCGCCCTCACCCGCGCCCACTTGTTCTTGACCAGCTCCGTGACTGCCCGGTTGTGCTGCGGCACCGTTGCGCTCGCAAAGATGGTCTGCCGCGCGCCGGCTTCGCTGTCAACCGTCAGCAGCTTGTTCAGGCTGCCCGTCGTACGCGTTGCGGCAGGATACGCATCAAACTGCAGTTTAGAAAAACGGGCGCCGTTAGCGGAATATTGACGTCAGCAGAGCAGGCAACCTGCGAAGTGTAATCAACCGTTGGCAGCTTGTCCGGGCTGCCCGTCGAGTCGGGTCGCATCAGTTCATACGGTAAAATTGCTGGGAAGGGAGCTGTCGGAAGCAGACAGATCAGCACAAGGTGGCATGACCGCTGCTGGCTAATTCAGCAACCTGTCAAACTTTGCAATGCACCTCGAAGCAGCTCTCGCGTCAACGCAGGGAAGGGAGGGGCGGACGTCACTCAAGAAATGCTGACACCTTGATGGAGAGAAGTTCTGCTCCTAACTGGGAGACAATTCTGGGAGGAGAACGTCCAGCGGAAAGGACAGGAAGAGTCAGTCTTACCTCGTCAACGACAATGAACTTGAGCCCGTTCGTGCGCAGGTTCCTGTACTCAATCATCTTGTGGATCCGGTCGGGGGTTCCAACAACTAGGTGAGGGGGGTCCGCCTGTGGTACATAAAAGTCTACCAGCTTGGATCTGATGTATGTCTCTTCATCGAAATTCAGAATCTGTCTCTTCACCGAGATCCGGACGCTGTCCCGCTTAGATGTTTCATATGAAATTTTTTGAGCTGAACAATGTCGCCACTTTGGAGCTGTCTATGCCCATCAAGCGGGATGGGCTCAGAAAATTCGAAGGCATGAATGACCGGATTGAGGAAAAAAACCATTTACATCATGCGCAGGAATCGCATGCCCGTGGATCCCTTGTCAAGATATACTTGCAAAGCCTTCGCAAAGTTTGACAGAAGATGGCCAGCACCAAAATAAGTTGTGGTTCCCAACCCCACAAAAGCTCCCATGCAACAGATCTGTAAAGTCAGGAAAGGGGCCTTCCATGAACATGATTCCTAGCAGATAAGGGCTGCCTTTCAAGACAAACTAGCGCACGGCCAGAACCTAACAAGTCGCGAAGTGCTCGTAGCCCGTAGAATACAATATAAACGGAGTTATCAGAACAACCGAAGAAGTGCTTTCACCACAAGTAGACTCCAATGAGCAATTCTATCCCTACATTGAGTCGCTTGCTCCTTCGCCCATGAAAGAGGTGCGCATTGTGATACACATTGTCTCACATTCCGACCGAGACGAATCTCCTATTCCTTCTGAACAAATTGGCTGGGAAGTCCCGAAGAGATTAAGAGACGGGCCCCACCTTGAGCCAGATCTTTTGCCGATTGCCCCCTGCGCCGTCCAACAATGCCATGACCTGGATCTTTCCGGACTTGAGCTTCTTCGTGTTAGCAGCCTCCTCGTCCGCCACCTGGTCCTTGCCTTTGCCCGCCAGCTGGCGGGCTACGCGCGCCACCTGTCACCAAAAGACTGGATCAGTGCTAAAAAGCAACAGAATCAAGACAAGACGCCTGTGAAGGACTGGCTTGCTGGGTCCCAGGTAGACACCGGCTCGAGGTCTTTTCCAAGTTCGGCTCAGAATCCACATCAACAAACGTCGTTACGCTCAACCAGATGATTCAAAGGAATTACCACTGGAGACCTGAGTATGTTTCATAAACTCTGTTTGGTGGTAACTGGCGTCCTCCAGTGATTGTTTACTCAGGACCCCCTGTTGAAGTCACCCTAGAAAGCCTCCCCTAAAAATCTCAATGGGTCCGGACGACTTTTGATATTCAAATGTCACGCTCTAGCGCTAACCTTAACTCTCTGATTGGCACAACAAAGAACCGGGATGCGAAACCTCCACTCCCCAGTTTGCAAAACGTCATCCGCTGGCGGTCAGTATTTACTTGTATCCCCAGCTCCCGGGTCGGCACCACCACAATCGCCTGCACCGACGATCGCTTCGGGTCTATACCCGACAGCACAGGTAGCAGATAAGTCAGCGTTTTCCCGGACCCCGTCTGAGCATGAATGACGCAGTCCCGCCCCTGCAGAGCTAGCGGAAGCGCCTCTGTTTGGGCCCCGGTGGGCGTCCCGTACCCCAGGTCTTCCGCCCTTCTTATCAGCCAATCAGGAACGCTTCTGCCGCACAGCCTAGCAAGCGCAGAGGGTTCGTGGGGTGTTGAACTGGAAGGAGTGTCAGGGGGAGTTTCAGAGCTTGTTTGGTTGCTGATATCAGTGATGATGTCATCACTGGCAGCAGTGGAAGTGGGGAACTCATCGCTGTTACTGGTGCTGGGCTCAGAGGCTTCACTCTGTCCAAGTTGACTGTCGGTGTCTATGGAAGTACTGACGCTTGCTGGTTTTTTAGCAACAGCGCTCTGCTTTTTGGCTTTCTTCCCCTTTTTGGACTTTGCCAGGGCCTGCTGTGGACTGCTGGCAGCACTGACTGCGTGCGCCACTAGCTTGTGATTCAACGCACCTGGCGATGCTGTTTCGGAAAGAACAGTGTGAAGAGCCCTCATCGGATCCAAAGAATGAAAAGAACCAGAACGCAAGATGTCATTGCCCTGAAAGGTTGTAAGGGGCTGGAAGACAAGAGGCTTGGTGTGATTTGCAATCGTGCTCTGCAGCCCCATCACCGGCCCAGTGGAATTCAAAAGAATTGGTAGAACTATGGGAGGGTGCAAAAGAAGGGCAGATGAGAATGGAATAGCGGCCCTCTGCAAAGTGCGCAATGATGCTGGCAGGGCAGCAAACGACGCCCCATGGGCAGCCACAGTTCCCAGAGCCATGCTTCTACTAGCCTCTGAAAGGAATTCCTTCATATATATGTCCTTGGAGGCCTCAAGTACAGCAACCAAACTGCTCTCGTTGAACCTTAGTGTCAGTAATTGTCCGCTATCATACAGCTTGAACTAGCTGCGGCAATGACAGGGTTCAAACTTCAAACTGCTACTTCTGCATTCTAGAAATGTGATGCGAGGGTGGTGCACATGTGCGGGTTCGGTGGTGGGGCAATCCCTCTCTTGCAGTCAGTGCAGCTTCTTTGAGATACTAGAAGCTGCTTCTCTTCAGGGTCCCTCTTGATCTTGGAGCAGACTTTCCCACTCACTTGTGTATGTCCTTCAGTCAAATGCGGGGCTACACACACCGGCTTTCGGGGAGATTGCTGGAATGACTCATGAGACATCACAGGATCTAAGTTACCTACTGGCGCCACCAAGCGTCTTCAGAACTATCCATTGTGCTGCTTTCAAATCTCAATGACAACAATCAACACTGTCAACAGTCCAGGAGCAGGAGCTCAGAGTCAAGGAAGGTGCTTTTACTGCATAATTATATAAACTAATATCAAACTCCTTCTACTAACGATGCGAAATGGTTTCGAACAGCTCCTGCCGGTTCTAAAAGACACGGCAGCACCGCGGCAGCCTAAAGTCGACTCTGTCTGTGTCAACCGGAAAGAACCGGGGCAGGAAAACGGATGCTTTTCTAACGTTTCTGGTACCAGAACCAACCAAAAACTTATGTTCGTCGAATCTGAAACCGCGGGTTTTGAATTATCATGAAGCAGCCACTCAGCTTGCAGTTTCACTGTCGCAAGCAGATTACCATACTGTACTGCTGAGCTGGTGTGCTGGACACTTTGAGCTGCTCATCAGCGCAATTGTCCCATTGTTTCTTGCCTGGCATCAAAAGGATTCTAGAGCTGCAAGAGGAGCCATATTAGCCCTGCTGACTGGCTGACTGTGCTTGTGATCAGCAGCTTCCCAATGATAGGAGCTGACAGAGCACTCGGAGTCTCTAACTGGCTCCCTCTAGATGATTTGACAGGTGCGGGAGCATCAGCCAGCGAGTTACAACTTACAGTTAGGCGGGAGTTAGGCAGAGTGCCACGTGCCTCGGTGTTTGGCAATTCAAGTTGAGTGCATAAAGACGTCAAGAGGGAAGCTGAGGCAGCCTGAGATTTACGCTGACCAGTAGTACTTGTAGAACGTCAGAAGCAGCTAGACAGACTGCGAAGCTGGCTTTGTTCCCCTCATGAATACCTCTTGAAGCTTCTGTCTATCAGACTGCAAACCGTTTGCCCGCTATGGCATCCACAACTGCAAAGTTGCGTGGTTCTGTGAAGCTTCTCCCTTCTCACTGCAACTCCAGCTTGTTCGACAGAGGCCAGATGCTGAGCAAAGTAAAGGTGACGTCGAAAAGAAGCCGTCGCAGCTTGAATCTTGGCAGTCTTGACTCAGCGCCAACAAAAACATCCCTGATCACCAGCAAACTCAACCATGGCTGGGGACAGCAAAGCTTTAGTAGGACCAAGTACTCAGCCTACTTTTTGCTTCTGAGAGGGGCAGATGAGGAGGGCCCACGACAGCAGCCAGGTTGGGGCTGGATGATGAGAAGCAATCGACTAACGGTGAGCGAGCTGGAACTGTTTAGTGTCTGATGGGCTTTGTTTAACTTCATCATATCTGAACAAAGCCCATCAGACACTAAACAGTTCAACGTTGCACCTCAATTTTCTTGAGAAACAAGAGGTTTCCTTACAATTTCAGTATGACGTCTTGGATTGACCTCCTGTGCCGGCCGGTGTCTCAAATCAGCAGAGTCTAGATTGATTGGAAAGTATGGGGAGGCCTTCTGAATTTTAGCTAGCGTCTCTTGCTTTGAAGTCCTGATGAAATTCAGGGTGGCAGGATGGATGGAAGCTGTGGTTACGGCTCTCAGGGCCTCATCTCATAATCTCATAAATTAGCTGGCGCGTCAAACGTCACCTGTACACCTTGAGCGCAGGCCAGCGCAGGGTTTATTCACATCACGTTGAACTTACATCACTGCTCCCAAACTTAGCGATGTGAACAAACGCATGCAGAGACAATCAGAAGAGCGTTTTTGCCGCTTGGTTTGCGTCATGCTGCAACAGTCTTTTGGCCCCTAAAGAATGTCAACCAGCCTCCGGATTTCCTGACATCGAGACCAGAGATGATATGCAGCTTTTGATTTGCCAGGTGTCCACGAGTGTCTCTCCAAGCGACATCCTCAACCCCAAAAACTACCCCGACTTCGATGCCCGTGCGGAACGAGATGTTGGGTCCTTTGTTTCCAAGCTCTGCGCTCTAAGGAGGTGCTTTGTGACATATACCTCCCCTGCTGATCTACTTGGGTTTGGCAACATGAACCGTTGGCATGAATACGCCAATTTGTACTTGTTGGTCCCAGAGGGAAGCTTTCAAGTGGAGAGTACCGAGCAGCCACTGAAGCCAGGCGACTTGCAAAGGTACGCTTAAATTTAGATTGGACCTTCGAAGTTTCGAAAGCTTTCGAGAACGGGACTGATGACGTTGCAGTTTAAATAGTTGCTAGACTAATTGGTAAATGTGTCTAAGGTTCATGAGCGCACGGCCACTGGATGCTTCGAGAGGCAGACATTTGATAACCTGCACTTGTTAGCAGCGTTCTCAACCGCACAATTAGGTCTTTGACGGAGTACCGAAATTCACTTTAGGAGAGTTGGGTTTGGCTCTTTGTGTCAGCTTGTTTTTAAGGTCTCATATATTTCGCAGGATGTCACCCAAGCCCCTTAAGGAGAACCCAAGGTTCAAAGAAATCGGTTACGACCGATTACCTGCCGTAAAACGTGATCTCCAAGCCTGTGTTTCGATGGCGAGGCAACGACCTTTTTACATCAGCAACATCTCTTTGTAAGATGTATACGGTTCGGCCTTTTCGCTCCGGCTCCTGACCGTTTCAATTTTGTTCACATCTTGACATGGCAGGCAAAGGCCAAGCATTAAGACTTGCGACACCTTGTCACCATAGCCCGACCAAAGCAGGAACACGAATCAATCACGTTGTTACCCCTTCTTTGCGTGTGCTCAAGCTGCACTGCCGCTCATCCTCGCCGTTCGCAGGAAACTTTCGACAGCGCATTTCATAGAAGCAGGTGACTGTACGGATTTCCTTTTCCAATTCCGAGCGCTTCTAAAATCAGGTCTTCACGACGCGCAGGATGATAGAGGGCGCGCAACAAGGGGGCGCCTGGGCGTTCCGCGGCTCCGATAACGACGGCTGGGTCATCCTTTTCGACGACTTGGGTGAGCCGCTCGTGCTCCACACACATTCCGAACCGTCGAAGGAGTCGGCGGAAGTCGGCAACAACGAGGATTCGGGGAACGCGGGGACGGTGAATGTCGAAGCCGTCTTCAGGGCCTTTGAGGAAGTGAGTGTTGTACGCAATCCGACACTTTAACAGAAGCATCGACCGGGCCGAGGTCTGGAGACAGTCGTCTTTTGTCGGGAAGGCCGTTCTATTTATCCAGGGAACCACACACCTGCACAACTCGAACAAGTTTCTATTGTTTTTCGTATGGGCATTAAGTTTTGCCAGTTACCCCTTGCTTAGAGAGACTGGCGACATTCGTGGAGCACTCGAAGCCTGGTTCCGTTCAGCGCCTCCTAAAAAGCCCCTCTTTCTTTCGAAGCAGGTGTCGAGCAACCCCGCGATGTGGGATCCCTCCACCCGATCCCTCTTCGTATACATCACGGACAAGACGGCTGCTTATGACGCGTACGTGACGCTGAGTGAGCGCGCACGTGACGTCATTCTCATCGACGCGCGGCGCCACAGGGCTTTCTACGGACACCAGGAAGAGGGCAGTCTGATGCATTCGTTCAAGGTGCTCGAGGACCTCGCGCGTGACTGGCATACCTTGTGAGACTCAACGCGCGCTTTTTTTTGTAGTTATTTTTAGGTGAAAAGTGCGGTGTGCGGGCATCTTTAGGTGCAAGCTGGGCCTTTTTCGTTGTATCGGTGGGCTGATTGTGTCCGGACAGGGACTGTTCTGAAAACAGTGCCGTGCAGTGGACCCGTAATCCTCATGCTGCTATCTTTTGAAGCATCTTCAGTCACCAGCTGTTGAGTGACTTGCAATGCTGTGCCATCCTCGGCACATTTTCAAGAGCGCGGCTAACGATTGTGCTTACACAACCTCAGATTGCGCTAGCATACTAGCTTGGCGAGACATCTTGTGCTGCTGGTTGGCCTTTTACTCTTCGCTTACGTCAGCCGTACGTGAGTCTCTTCAATTTTATTCCTAATTCAACAAGCCCTGATGTGAGCTAATCTGCCTTTTCTGCCTGGTGTAGTGGGTCGCCCCCTCCACCGCCACCCCACTTCCCTATTGGCGACCACCTGGAATAGTGGCCCGAAGACCTCAACTCGAAGAGGGTCTGATTAGCGCACTTTGCCAGGTCTTCAAGCCGAGGACGCAACGGAGCCAGAAGCTACCGACTTGGAAGCGGGTTAGGATGATGGTTAATTGTGAAGTCACATATAGAAGCGGTGCATCCTAAGATACGGTTCATCTTTTTTGGGTTCAAATCTTACATAGGCGGTATGTATGAAGTTAGTGCAATAGGGCACAGTACTATTAGTAAATCAGCTGTGTAGGATGTTGGCTGGGTGAAATGTAAGAGGGCAGGCTGCTGGCGACCGATTACCAAGAGAGCATGACCTACATATGCTCGCAACTTCGGATTGACTCTGCTTGTCAATCAATACGGCCCGGGTACTATGCTTGTAACTTGCGATCCAAGCTGCAAAAGCGAAGAGAATAATCAAGCGCCTGATGAGACGTAACGTCTTGGTTGAACTATGTCGTATAGACAGCGACTAGGCGAATGAACGGAACCAAGAATGCTGTCAGGAGCTTGTATCATTATCTAGGTTATACAGGATGTTTCATCGAACGCCTTTTGAGCCTCTTTCAAGGGGTTGGCACAATCCAGGTCGTCTTCCAGTCCATTTGTGTTGGTCGGAGATCTTGAGCCGCGGATCACTAGATCACAGTGAGGAGCGGGGGATCGAGCCTGTATACGCGCACGACTTTCAGGCTTCGATCATTAGAGTATGTAGATATGTACGTTGTAAGTTCACTATTTCCGCGGCAAAACGATGATCGGCCCGTTATTGCGAAGGGGCGGGCGGGGGGCGGGCGCCGCTGCCGGCCGCGCGGTTCCGAGTCAGGGTTTCTCTTGACCGCGAACTTGCATGGCGGATCATTGTTGTTTGCCGGCTCTAGTTAGTCTAGCTAGCGAGATTGTAGGTTAGAAGAGTATATAAAGTTAATTTTTTAGAGAGTTTGTAGGTCGGAAAAAGAAATAATTTAGGAAAATTGCGGCGGTTAAAATTTGCGGAGTTTGTGCTGACGTCAGTACTGCTGACGTCAGCATTCGCATCGTTGACAGAATCTACTGAGTTGTATTCACCGCGGCGCGGTGGATATCACTATCTTGGTGTTAAAGCTACACGTTGCATCCGGTCTTCAAAAGCCGGTACTTATTTATGCTGACAATCACTTCAAGACAATACACCGCGGCGCGGTACATCATTGTGTGTGTCATGGTTCTAGTAGTCGCTCCTCAAACCTTCAAACCCTAAAACCCTAAAACCCTAAAACGGTAAAAACCAACAGGCCTATATGAGGGTGTTAGGTTATTGACGCTAATTGTTATGATATAATGTTATTACTGCCACTCGTCGTGTATCGACTGGCAACTGTGGTAGTGTACACGATAAGGCTTTCGCTCTTGCCGATAGGCACACTTTAAGCACTTGATCAATCCTTTTCTTCCCCATTGCTTTCACTTTTCGCCTCCGGCCGGGTGATAACGAGTGGACTCATACTAACGTATTTGCATGCCACTGCCATGATCCACCAACAGTTGGATAAGCCACACATATTATGCTACATAAGATCATTTCGTATTATCTATCACCACACACGAGACACAATTCTTTTTACGAACACGTTCCATGTGGCTTTACATTGGTACAAAAATTTTAGGGCTCCATGTGTTTCGCACAGAGTGCGATCTTTATGAAATGCGGTTATATCAAGCATACCCACCACGATCTACACTTCATAACACATTTGGAGACTGAGGTGCATACACTGCTAGTGCCGTAGCATCCCGGCTGTTGACTTTGCACGTTCTCGATTCCACCATGGTTTCCGCACTCGGTGGCAAATTGGGTCTTCATGTACTAGACATTTTCAATCAGACACTTTGTTCTACATACATGTACACTATATGATTGTTTCATATTACCGCAATCCACGCTTACTTTAGCACCCGGTCACAATATCCTACGCGCCGTTGACCATGAACGCGCCCTGCAATCCTTCCGCATTTGAATTGACCATGCCGTAAACGTAGATTCATCATTTTTGGATACAGTTCTAAAAGAAAGGCTAGATAGCTTTCGGATGACACGACATCAACCTTATTTTGTCGTGCCCGCGTTGGCTCGTATAGTGTATTGCGTGTGTTTGTCCTGAAATAGCGTCTTCGACACATAACGTCAGGCTATATTTGCACTATGTTAAGAGCCTACATACGTTAAGGGCCTACATAGTTGTTTCAGCCTTTCAATGCGTTTGTCGGGTGAATTGCAGGACACGCGGGCCGGATGGCATACCCATGATCACCTCGGAGAGATATCAGACGCTATAGTTCCAATCACTTAGCACTATTAGGGTTTCCAGAATGATTATTGCGGTCACGATTACAGCGAGGTACGTTTAAAAGGTTTATATTCTCGTCGTTTTAGTGTATGCTTAAATTTGACTGCACCAACACTCTCCACCCGAAAGCAATGACTCACAAACACTTTGTGTCGCTATTTATTGTTCACAGTTCTTTACCCCACGATTGGGTTAACCACTTTGGATAACCGGCGTGTTCCAACTTGCCGGTGGAGGCAGAGGCACGTGCGCGTGGTATATCGAAATGTAATCCACTCGCGTGAGGTGGGAGTGGGAATTTCAATGTGTGAGCAACGTCCGGTTCTGTACCGCGGCGCCTGCTGTACCGTACCTTTGGTACGGTGCAAGAGCTGTACCGGGCGGGAGCGAAAGCACGTACCAGCCGTCCGAGTCGATAAGACCAAGTATGCAGACCGGCCGTAGGATAAGTCGGTCATCCCACTCGGGGGTCGACAATACGGGTCATATTGAATCCTTCGGCGAGATATTCCAACTCGGGCGACCGCCCTCGTGGAATATCACGCATTGCGGCTCAACATCACCGGTATTCTCTCCCTCTCGTTCGATAACGTTTACAAATCACTATGCACACGTTTGCAGGCATACAATCCGTTTGCTCTATTCAAGCGTTTGTCCAAACACATACGTTCCCACACTTTCGAACTTTCAAACTTTACTCTCATGCTTATTGGTTTCAATCACGTATCATAGCGAAAACGCAGCCATATTAAAGTGTAAGTGTTCGATTAGCCCGAACAGAAACACATACCCTACCCCGTTAGTCGTCATACACAACTGTCTGCGTAATCGCAAGCAATTTTTCTTGCCCTTTGTTTTCATTTCCTTTCCGCTATTTGCATTAACGCCATTAAGCATAATTCAAGAGGCCGCGTCTACGTACAATTTTTTGCATAAGTTAGTACCCCGTTTTCATTCAATCAGCACCATTTCCTATCTAACACCTTCATTCATATGCACGACGATATGCGATTGCAGACTGTTATCCCGGCCCTTCATGACATTTCATTCGACGGACGCAATGCATAGCGCATGCATGCTAGTACATTACTTCGAAACTCATATGTTACAATATGATACATCTGGGTCGGTCGATTGAGACCTTAACGCTACCTCCGCCCCTACTACCCTTCCAACCTCTTTAGGTCCGCCTGCTTACTGTCTACCTCTCGCCTCTCTCGTTCGCTGAAAGCCACTACTTTCAACAAAGGCGAATTGACGGGATACCCTAATACCTTGATCATAACCGCGTAAATGTGCTTGCACCAGGTGAAACCCGTCCTAGTGTCCGCCATCATGTCTCGGTACGCAGGGCACGTGCAGGTGCACAACTTGCCGATGTGCACAGCGTACGTCATGCCCGTATCCGACCCTGCCAACCCCTCCGTAGCGATCGTAAACGTCCGCTCGGTTAGACCCGTCGTCGCGTCCACCTCCAGCTTCACCGACACCACCTTCCCTTTGTACATCTGCCCCTTCACACTGCTCTCTCTCATCTGCTTTGTCATCTCGGTCCTGTTTCGCACCTTCTTCCCCTTCACCAGAAAAGCCCCCCGGTGCTCCAGCGCCTCCCTCTCTTTCTTCGCCTGCCTCTGTTGCTCGCGCGCTCGGCCTTGACTTTTCCTGTCCGCAGGACCATTCCCGGACGCCGGCGCCGCACCCAACCACCTGTACACCTGGGGCCCTCCGCTTTGCGAGAACGGCGACACTTGGAGCTTCGGAGGGAACATAGACCCCGGATCCTTCACTCGAGGGAGCGCCGCCAAAAACACGATCCCCTCGTGCGCTAGTGCTACGCGTTCCTCCTCCGTCACCTCCGTTCCCTCAAACAGGGGGAACACGTGGGTATCCGGATCCGGCAGTGCCACCGTGCTCGAAACGGTGTAGCACAACCCCCAGCAGCGACGCCTCGCGCACTTCTTGATCCTCGCCGGATAACCAATCTTCTCCTCTTGTCCTCCCGCCGTGCGACAGCCCGCTAGCCTCGGCCCCACCCTACAATACAAGAACGTAATACAAAATCAACATATATTCCCGATTGCTCCAAATGAAACAGCTACTTGCAAGCTATGTCGAAGCATGCACATTGACTACGAGTTGTAAAATACGTAAAATTTGACACTCACTTCATCAGCACTAGCCTTCCCACACCTCCCGGCTCCACCCCCTTATTCAACAGCTCCGGGCATCTGTACCCGCAACCATCATCCACGTACACTCCGCAGCAGGACCCCATGTCGTCTCCCTTCAACCTCGCCAACCCCCACTCCGTTTCATACTTCTTTGCGTCCGGTCTCAAACGCTCTGGCGCGTTGGATGCCATGAACAGCGCCTCCGCTTCGAACAGTGTCTCCCTTGCACCACCATTCTTTCGTACCGGCGTTTCTCCTCTATGCAATCCACCCTGGTCCATCTCGTCCGCGCTCCTCTCCTCAAGCTCATCTGGGCCCATCTCTTCTCCTCCTCCAATCCTTCCCTCTTTCTCCAACCTTTCCCCCTCTAACAATTCTTCCATGAGTTTTTTCGCCATCGCCTCGTCCGCCTCATTCGTTTCCCTGGTCTTTCCGTACCACTGTAGCCCCTCCGCTTGCCAGCGCATTTCCTCTACCGTCAACCCCCCTACGGCGCTCGCTACGTCCGCTCGAAGAACTGTAGCCAATCCTGACCCCCCCACATCTTCCTCTCCCCCTCTCGAGCTTTGTCCCTTCTTCAACCACGTTTCTCTCCTCAACTTGTCAGCTCGATGCGTTTCCTCCAAGTCCTCTTGCAGCTTTCCCTTTCCCTTCCCTACATCCCCCGCCTTTCGCTTGACCGTCATTGACAGAATCCTGTCTGTCCCCATGGGCTCCGCCACGTACCCCGCCTCTTCCACCCTTTCCTCGAATTGTTTTTGCGCTTCTCGCACACTCCAACCCTCCTCCAGTCTCTTTCCCATCTCCTGCACCCTCTCTCTCCACCCTTCATTCCTTCTCTGGTTGTCCTCCAGCGTTGGTCCCCCGGCCCTCCCGATAAGGCCCTCCTTCCTCGCGCGTGCGTCTGACATCTGAAGCAGCATAGCCGCTCCCGACATGAGGACCGCCGCTGCGAGGTCCATCTGCTTCTTCTTCCCCCCCAGCGCCACGAGGTGAGACGCGTGCCCTGGCTCTGCGAGGTTGCTTCTCGTCGCGAACCCTTCCCTGGTGGGCGGGTCGAACAGGCACTCCTCCTCCCTGTAGCCGACGAGCTTCGCTGCCCTGCGAAATCAATTCATTCATCGGATTACTTTACTTTGTTATTGAGCGAAACGACAATTGCCTCTGTGTGTGATCGTACATCATACACTTTCAGCAAAAAAGTTCAAAGTGTTGCCAAAATTATTATATACCGCGACGCGGTAGTCTGGAAGTAGTTACGATACTGTTTTTTCTAAAGGGTAAATCCACCGCGGCGCGGTAGATTACAACTACTAACGACCTTCTTTTCTCGCAGTCGCAATACACCGCTCCACGGTGAATTGCAAGCTCCCATAAAATTAATTCGCGCTGTCAACATCCACCGCGACACGGTGAATTGCAATTCCTAAAATTCGTTTTCTAGAACCCTGAAAACTATAAGTGTAAAAATTCTACGAGAACTGTAAGTGTAAGAGTAGGGAGACACTTCAACAGTTCAACGCGTCAGAACACACAAATAATGTATTCGAACCTCCAAAGTATACACTGCTTCACTTCATCGTGTCTTTCCCCAATAAAGTCCAGAGGAACATTGTCTCCAAGCAAAGCGTGTATCAGTACAAGATGATCATTATTCAAAATGCATATTTTTTACTCTATCAAGAACATGTATCAAGCAGAAACAAACATATGCACATATGCCAGTATGCCTTAATTGACTCTCTTCAAATTCTAACTCTATCTGAATATCTTACCTTTGCAACCAGTATTGAAGCCAACCCTCCATCCTGTGTGCGTCCCCCTCCGTCTTGCACCTCATCTTGTAGAACTCCATCATTTCCGACGCAATTGCCTCCACTTCATCCGCGTTCTTTGCTCCCAAAAGTACCTCTGCTATGTCCCTGTGAGCCCCCCACCACTCCACCGGTAGATACTTCTGCTCGTGCTTCCTCCTGCATTCGTGAAAGTGCAGCGAACACGTGTGCTCGACTGCTCGACCAATCTTCCTCTGGTCCGCGAACTGCTCCTTCATCGCACGGTTCGGCCCCTCCGCATTGTCCATCATCGTGTCCGACGGGGACACCACGTGCTGCTCCACCGGCTCCCCCCCCTTCGACCCATCGTACCCCCGCAACCCTATCGCCTTCCACGTCGCGAACAACTGCGACACCGCCTCATACGACTCCGACTGGATGAAACCCACCCACGCCTCTTGTAGCTTCCCATTATGGTGGTCGTACACCGTCGCCGTATACCTCAGCCACTTCACCACCAGGTGACATCCGTCGAAGTACACCATGTTGTTCTCCAAATCCCCCCCTACCGACAGCCTCCTCGACATGTCCAATCCCGAACCCGGTCCCTGCGTCGTCATCAGGAAGATCATTGGCACCGGCCCACCGAACACCAACGACTGCCCCGGGAGCTGAACTGCCTGGATCAGCTCAAAGGGCACAGTTCTCATCAACCTGATGACACCCTCGTCCTCCCCCT